AAAGAAGGCAGGGCATGTAAGCTAAGCTCCTCCTCCTAAGGCAGTTTATATAAATACACCTTGAGGATTTTTTTGCAAAGCCTCCTTGCAGGTAGAAATCTAGCACCTCAGGGAGAAGAGTCCTGGTTCCCCTGACATGCTCATTCTGCAGAGAACTCTTCCCCAGCCCCTAGTGAACAGCATTCAAGCATATTTTAAAAAACTAAATATATCAAACAGCTCCTGGCAGTAATAAACTCCTGCTGCCCTTTTATGACCAGATGAAGCTGAGCTTTCAACCCAGACGAAAATGAGGGCTCCTTGCAGTTCTCTCATCCCTCAGATAAGAGGCACGAACCATCTCCAGAGAAATTAAAACCCTCAGTTCTAGCTTTCTGTTAGTGGGCAATGATTTATTTCTCCCTTCCGAAAATCCATTTCAAACCCTCCTTCGCTGACACAGATCTTTCAGTGTGTTGGAAGCGATCACTGCCTCCTTTCGTTCTCTGGCAAAACTTGTTTAAGCTTCAGAGCCTGCGTATGTTAAGGTTTCCCTTCACTGGATTGCACACTGTGATAACAGAGGGAAGAGATCCCCTGAGCACGTGCAGAGTGCCTTTCGCTGACGGCTGAGAAACCCAAGCAGCTCTGCCCCATCTGGGATTAACATATCCAGGCAGGTTAAGGAGGATCTCAGTGTCCGATGTGTGGGGTAATGAAAAGACTCAACTTGGGAGGAAAAAATAGGAGGCAGGAGAGGATGAAAAATGAGGAACGCATCGGGCAGGAAGGAAATGATGGAGCATTTGCTATCATTCAGCAACGATGGAATTGGAAACCATAAATTAGAGGAAGTTAAAAAAAATAAAAAGCCTTGCTGTGAGCTGAGGAGACAAGATAGCAAAGCATTTAATCAGCCTTTAAGGAAGGCTGCGGTTGTCCTAACAAATGAAAATGTCATTCCATGGTTAATAATGTTGGTGATTTCTGCAAAGCTATTCCCATGCTATACAGTGGTACCTTGGTTCTCAAACGCCTTGGTACTCAAACAACTTGCAACCCAAACACTGCAAACATGGAAGTAAGTGTTCCGGTTTGCGAACTTTTTTCGGAAGTCAAACATGCTCCATTTTGAGTGTTACACTTCCGTTTTGAGTGTTGCAATTCCATTTTGTGTGTTACACTGAGGTCTGTTTCTGCTATTTATTTTGCGTTTTTGTTTTTGCGGCTCTTTTTGTGTGACTGTGTGCGACCCAGCTCAGCTACTGACAGGTTGGTTGTGTGCCTACAATACATTGTTTATTGCTTTCATTTTATGGATCAATGGTCTCGTTCAATGGGTAGGCAAACTAAGGCTTGAGGGCTGGATCCGACCCAATCGCCTTCTAAATCCAGCCCCCGGACGGTCTGGGAATCAGTGTGTTTTTACATGAGTATAATGTGTCTTTTTATTTAAAATGCATCTCTGGGTTATTTGTGGGACATAGTAATTCGTTCATCCCCCCCCCCTTCAAAATATAGTCTGCCCCCCCCACACAAGGTCTGAGGGACAGTGGACTGGCCCCCTGTTGAAAACGTTTGCTGACTCCTACGTTACATAGTAAAATCCATGTTAAATTGCTGTTTTAGGGGTTGTTTTTAAAAGTCTGGAACGGATTAATCCCTTTTGCATTACTTTCTACAGGAAAGCACGCCTTGGTTTTAGAACGCTTTGGTTTCGGAACGGACTTCCGAAACAGATTCACTTTGAGAAACAAGGTACTGCTGTAGTTTGAAAACCTCTTGGAAAGCCTGGGGGCTTAATCACCATTCAGAGAAGGGGTTTTGTGTTCTGGATAGCTGTTGTGCTTCTTGCGAACGGCGGCAGCAGGAGGCCACATTAGCTAAAGTGGTTCCTCAGGTTAAGAACAGTTTCAGGTTAAGAACGGACCTCTGGAACAAATTAAGTTATTAACCCGAGGTACCACTGTAATTCCCTTGCGATTGTCATTCTGTCTCCCTCATGAAACAGCACCACGGAAAAGACTACATTGAAGCCTTCCCCCTTTCTAGCTGCTAAGCAAGAGGAGGGTTTTAAAATAGAAAGATGATAGATAGATAGATAGATAGATAGATAGATAGATAGATAGATGATAGATAGAGATAGATGATAGATAGATAGATGATAGATAGATAGATAGATAGATAGATAGATAGATAGATAGATAATAGATAGATAGATAGATGATAGATGATAGATAGATAGATAGATAGATAGATAGATAGATAGATAGATGTTGTTGTTTAGTCGTTTAGTCGTGTCCGACTCTTCGTGACCCCATGGGCCAGAGCACGCCAGCCACTCCTGTCTTCCACTGCCTCCTGCAGTTTGGTCAGACTCATGTTTGTAGCTTCGAGAACACTGTCTTTACAGCATTGGACTTTCCTTTCACTTCTAGGCATATCCGCAACTGAGCGTCCTTTCGGCTTTGGCCCAGCCGCTTCATCAGCTCTGAATCTGCTTGTACTTGTCCTCCGCTCTTCCCCAGTAGCATGTTGGACACCTTCTGACCTGAGGGGCTCATCTTCCAGCGTCATAACTTTTATATGCCTGTTGTCTTTGTCCATGAAGTTTTCTTGGCAGGGATACTTGAGTGGCTTGCCGGTTCCTGCTCCAGGTGGATCACGTTTGGTCAAAACTCTCCACTATGACCTGTGGCCCTGCACAACATAGCTCATAGCTTCAATGAGTTATTCAAGCCCCTTCACCACGGCAAGGCAGTGATCCATGAAGGGGAGATAGATAGATAGACAGACAGACAGACAGACAGACAGACAGACAGACAGACATATAGAAGATTGAAACATCTGGTCACTTTCACCATCCAAAACAGTGGTGCTTATTTAACAGTGCAAATCCTCTCCACACTAAACACAGGCTCTGTTCCTTCCTACTTCAGATGCCAGCGGTGAAATTAGAGCCCTAATGCTGGAACGGTGCATCCCAGCGTGGATTTAATGGCCCGAGCAATTGAATGTTTGCCATTTTTAAGTGCCCGTGACAGCGCACATTTCTCTCCCCAGGAATCGAATCCCCTTGCTCTTTTACAAATGTAAAAACCCATCAGGCTAAACAGGCAGGGAGTGGTAAAACAAGGAAAATACTCAAAGGTAATAATAATAATAATAATAATAATAATAATAATAATAATATGCTTCATTGGAGGTTTTTAAGCAGAGGTTGGATGGCATCAATGCCAGGGTTTCTTTAGCTGTAATAATAATAATGATAATAATGATTAATTATTATTATTATTATTATTATTATTATTTATACCCCACCCATCTGGCTGGGCTTCCCCAGCCACTCTGGGCGGCTTCCAACAAAATATTAAAATACAGTAATACATCAAACATTAAAAACTTCCCTAAACAGGGCTGCCTTGCATTCTTCTTCTTTCTTTGGTGATCCCTCATAGCCGACTAAGATTGTCTTCCATAAACACGGTCTTAACAATGAGTCCGTAATTGACTGTGGAGGCCAATTCTGGATCCACACATCCTTCTACAGTGGGGACATTGGTTTCCAGGCGGGAGTTGATCACAGTGTGGATTTGCCAAACGTGCCTTCCTCTTAGCACGTTTCTCCCTTGCATCCTGAGTTCGAGTGTCTTCAAAGCCCATGACACCTTTGGTAAAGGCTGTTTTCCAACTGGAGCGCTCGCAAGCCAGTGTTTCCCAATTGTTGGTGTTTATAATACCTTTTTTTAGATTTGCCTTGAGACAGTCTTTAAACGTCTTTTGTTGACCACCAGCATTATGCTTTCCATTTTTAAGTTCAGAATAGAGTAGTTGCTTTGGAAGACGATCATCAGGCATCCGCACAACATGACCAGTCCAACAAAGTTGATGTTGAAGAATCATTGCTTCGACACTGGTGATCTTTGCTTCTACCAGTATACTGATATTAGTTCGCCTGTCTTCCCAAGTGATGCATAAAATTTTTCGGAGACACCATTGACGGAATCTTTCGAGGAGTTGGAGATGGCGTTTATAAGTGGTCCATGTTTCACAAGCATACAGTAAGGTTGGTAGTACAATAGCTTTGTCAACAAGCATTTTGGTTTCCCTGCGAATGTCCCAGTCCTCAAACACTCTGCGCTTCAATCGGGAGAAAGCTGCACTCACAGAGCTCAGGCGATGCTGGATTTTAGCATCAATGTCGGCCTTTGTGGACGATGGGGTTGGACTAGATGATTTTTGGGGGTGCCCTTCCAACTCTACAATTCTATGATTCTACAGGCTAAAGCCAGCCCACCCTGACTCTAAAATGATCCAGATCCTATTAACTCCTTTCATCATAGGCTGCAGAGATCGGGAAGTTCCCTGGAGTATCAAATTCTTTCTTTCCTGAAATCCGTCAGAAAACAGCATGAATCACTCTTAAACAATGTTTGACCTGCCTCTTCCTATCTGAGCAAAGGTCTTAGGACAATCCCTGCATACCAACCCAGATATGTAGACTATTTGCGTGCGTTTCAAGCTGCTCTTAGCTTATCGCTGATTTAAACGGCCATTCGCATGCTTAAAAAAGGTGTTTTCCACTCTTTTTACGCATGGTTTTATTGCTTTAAGCTTAGGCACGGACTACCTGAAGGACAGTGCAAAACGAACAAGGCTCTGAGGTCTTCAGAGACCCTCACAGGAATGCTTGGTGGGGAACAGAGGAAAGGGTCCTTTACCTGGCTGGGCTTTCTGTGAATCTATACCTCTACTGCTGCCTTCAGAGGTCTTTGATCTCCTCCACCAGAAGTAGGGTTTGGTCATCCCACAAATGGTCAGAGAATAGCCCCTTTCTCGGATCCCGCCTTCAGGAAAACTTCAAAGCATTTCAGGGATGAAGATAAGAGGACTATCTTGTCGCCATGAAATTTCTTGCCTTATCTCCCTGCTCTGAACTGAAACCAGGACCTCTCAGGCCAGACAGGCCTGTCTCAAGAATTTCTTAGCCCTCCAGATCTGATGCTGGGCAAATCCTGGTTATGCATTCTGGAGGAAGGAACTCTGCGTTCAGCCAAAGAGCCACCTTTTTTCACCCACAAAGTCCTGCCATTTATTTACCTTTCTTCCTGGGGACGGTGAAGATGGGGTCCCCTCCTCTGCGCGGACAGGTGGTAAGTTGTGAGGCTCAATACTGTCGTGCAAATTTTGCATAAATTCAGGGGCGGGGGACCTGTGGACTTTCAGACGTCCTTGGACTCCGATTCCCATGAGCCCCTGCCAGCATGGCTAATGCTCAGGGTTGATGGGAGTTGGAGTCCAGTTTCATCTGGAGGACTATAAATTCCCCATCCTTGTTCTATTATCTTAGTAGGGCCAGTTCTGGGGTGACTTCTAATACTTGCTCAGTTATTTTGCGTATGCGGATGATACCCAGCTCTACCTCTCTTTCAAATCAGAACCAATGAAGGCGGTGAAGGTCCTGTTTGAGTGTCTGGAGGCGGTTGGAGCATGGATGGCAGCTAACAGATTGAGGTTGAATCCTGACAAGACAGAAGTACTGTTTTGGGGGGACAGGGGGCGGGCGGGGGTGGGGGACTCCCTGGTCCTGAATGGGGTAACTGTGCCCCTGAAGGACCAGGTGTGCAGCCTGGGAGTCATTCTGGACTCACAGCTGTCCATGGAGGCACAGGTCAATTCTGTGTCCAGGGCAGCTGTTTATCAGCTCCATCTGGTACGCAGGATGAGGCCCTCCCTGTCTGCGGACTGTCTCGCCAGAATGGTGCATGCTCTAGTTAACTCTCGCTTGGACTACTGCCATGCGCTCTACGTGGGGCTACCTTTGTAGGTGACCCAGAAACTACAACTAATCCAGAATGCGGCAGCTAGACTGGTGACTGGGAGCGATCGCTGAGACCACATAACACCAGTCTTGAAAGAGCTACACTGGCTCCCAGTGCGTTTCCGAGCACAATTCAAAGTGTTGGTGCTGACCTTGAAAGCCCTAAATGGCCTCGGTCCAGTATACCTGAAGGAGCATCTCCACCCCCATCTTTCTGCCCGGACACTGAGGTCCAGCTCTGGGCGGCTTCCAGCAGAATATTAAAATACAATAACCTATTAAACATTAAAAGCTTCCCTAAACAGGGCTGCCTTCAGATGTCTTCTAAAAGTCTGGTAGTTGTTTTTATCTTTGACATCTGGTGGGAGGGCGTTCCACAGGGCGGATGCCACTCTGCCTGGTTCCCTGCAACTTGGCTTCTCGCAGCGATGGAACCTCCAGAAGGCCCTCAGCCCATGGCCGGTAAACCTTGCCAACCCCTGTTCTAGATGGTAGGTTGATCATTGCAATGCATCAGGGTCAAACCCAAGGCCCGGCCAGGGTTGCGAAGTTGACCAAAAATGGCACCGTGAGCCACATCAGGCCTGCAAGTCGGGGGTCTCCTCCAAAGTCAGTTGGGGTGCAAGTGGGAACTCAATGCTGTGCTGTTGAATTGCATCAACTAGTTCCTTGGGAGGTGATGATAAAGATAAAATTACAGTGGTACCTTGGGTTGCATATGCTTCTGGAATAAAATCCTAAAGGTTATTAATAAAAATTTTAAAGTGAAGCTTTCAATAGACTTTGATTTCATGACAATGGGTATACAGTGGTACCTCAGGTTACATATGCTTCAGGTTACATACACTTCAGGTTACAGACTCTGCTAACCCAGAAATAGTGCTTCAGGTTAAGAACTTTGCTTCAGGATAAGAACAGAAACCGTGCTCCGGCGGTGTGGTGGCAGCGGGAGGCCCCATTAGCTAAAGTGGTGCTTCAGGTTAAGAACAGTTTCAGGTTAGGAACAGAGCTCCGGAACGAATTAAGTACTTAACCTGAGGTACCATTGTATCTCTTTGTGTTTCATTATGGCTGCCAAAATTAACAGACCCTACAAGGATCCCTATTTTCCAGGGACGTCCCTGATTTTGAGAAGCCAATTGATCCTGGAATGTCCCATTTTTCCTTACGACGTCCCTATTTTCATCGGAGAAATGTTAGAGGGTATAGAGTTATCTGACCCCCCGAACCATCTGAAGGCAATCCTGTATAGGGAATGTTATTTTTTTAATTATATCTTATTATGTTTTTACATCTGTTGGAAGCTGCCCAGAGTGATTGGGGCAACCAAGTAAGATGTGTGGGGTATAAATAGTGAAATAATCACAATGGAATGGGACATCCCTATTTTCACAGGAGAAATGTTGGGGGGCATGAATTAATGGAAGTTTGGCTTTTTGGATACCATTGCCGTTACCCTGAGGTAATAGATCACACACAAACCTCACTTTATTTTGAAAACAATTACAAGTATTCTCCAAAGTCAGCCTTCAGCAGGCTTGTTCTAAAAAATGATAGATTCCCTTTCTGCTCCTGGAGATAAATAGCATTGTCAGTGGGAAAACAATAAATGAAATTAGCCGAAAGATCCTTCCACTCTGTTTGCTGCAACAAACGATTGCTGACTTGAGAGCGAAATCTGCCTCGCTCATGAGTAAAGGCGCGAGGTTGTCTCTTATACCCATGTTACTTTTGGGGTGACGCATGCTTTTTTTAAAAAAAAAAATTAATCATTTTTCCAATACAAACAACAACCGCAAAAAACACTACAACAAAAGTCATAGTAACAATAACACAATTTGACAATTCAGATTTAAATACACTGATATACCTATGACTGCACCCTTTTAACAATATTTTCCCACCTCTCTCTCCTCCCACCACTGTCCGCCTTATCGCTTAAATATTCCTTCCAGATTTCTTCATATTTATCCATTCTTAATTTGCGTCGACATGCAATTCGTTCATATGTAGCTAATCTGTCCATATTATCAATCCATGTGCTCAATGGAATCTTTTTGCGGCTCTTCCAATTAATCAAAACAAGTTTTTTTGCTTCTAATATAGCATGGTACATCCATTTATTTTTTTTACCCCTTGAAATCTCCCACGTATCCGGAATATAATTTAGAATTAAATTCAATTCCCCTAAATAACAATTTCTCTTTATTACTCTTACTATAAATATCCTCACCTCGCACCAAAATGATCTTATCATCGGGCAGTTAATCATCATATGTACTAAGTTCGCATTTTTACTCCCACATCTCCAGCAGTTGTCTGCCCTTGTTATTTTCTTCTGGTATAGTTTTGCTGGGATCCAGCGGACTCTGAATATTGTGCTTAAAAATGTGAATCAGCTCTCAGAACAAAAGAGTGATAGGCAGCCCTCTGAGCTAATTTAAGAATGTAAACAGAACTTCTGGGTCAGGCCAGTGACCCATCTAGTCCATCTATTCTCACAGCGGCCAACCAGATGCACATTATGGGAAACCAGCAAGCAGGATTCGAACACACTCTTCCCTCCTGTAGTTTCCAGCAATTAGGATTCAGAACCATCACTGCCTCTAACTGTGGAGGCATGGCCCAGTCATCCTGGCTAGCAGCCATCGATAGCCCTCTCCTCTAATCCTCTTTTAAACCTCTCCAGCTTCGTGGCCATCACTGCCTCTTGTGGCAGGGAGTTCCACCGTTTAACAATGTGCTGCGTGAAGAACAACTTTCTTCTGTCCATTTTGAATCTCCCAACATTCGTCTTCATTGGACCTCCACAAGTTCTAGAGATTATTATGCTTGTGATGACATTCCTATTATTGCGTTTTGCAAAAATAGCACTATTTAACTACAGTGGTATCTCGAGTTACAGGCGCTTCAGGTTACAGGCGCTTCAGGTTACAGACTCCGCTAACCCAGAAATAGTGCTTCAGGTTAAGAACTTTGCTTCAGGATGAGAACAGAAATTGTGCTCTGGCGGCGCAGAGGCAGCAGGAGGCCCCATTAGCTAAAGTGGTGCTTCAGGTTAAGAACAGTTTCAGGTTAAGAACGGACCTCCGGAACGAATTAAGTTCTTAACCCGAGGTACCACTGTCTGTGTTTTCCCCATGCCATGCATTTTTATAAACTTCTATATGAAGAAGTATTTTTGTGTGTCCGTGAATCACCTCTCAGAAGAAGGGAGTGATAGGCAACCCTGGTCTTTGAGCATCTTGGAAACCTACTCCCGAGTAGACCTGCCTATGCTGCCTGCCTGAAGGGGCCTAAGCCTTCTTGCTTGAGAGCAGAGATGATTTCTGAGCTAACCTGAAGAGTAAGTTTTGTTCACGGTTCTGCAGCTGTTGCTTGGGAAGCAAATGCCACTTAAAACCAGGGAATTACTTATGAGTAACATGCATCTCAGAACTGCCAATGGGGGGAGAGTTGCTGTTGCGCTCAGGTACTGCTTTTGGCCTTCTGATTGGCCACTTTGGACGGCCAATCAGGACTTAGCTGAGCCCTGGGCCTGATCCAGTACGACACTTACGTTCTGCTGAGAGGGCCTCTGTGAGCAGGATCGTATCGGCAGCCACGGTCTCCTAACCTCCATGGGTTCATTCCTGTCCGGTCTTCTGAACATGCTGTTGTTGTTGTTTAGTCGTTTAGGCGTGTCGGACTCTCCGTGACCCCCTGGACCAGAGCACGCCGGGCACTCCTGTCTTCCACTGCCTCCCGCAGTTTGGTCAAACTCATGCTGGTAGCTTCGAGAACACTGTCCAACCATCTCGTCCTCTGTCGTCCCCTTCTCCTTGTGCCCTCCATCTTTCCCAACATCAGGGTCTTTTCCAGGGAGTCTTTTCTTCTCATGAGGTGGCCCAAGTCTTGGAGCCTCAGCTTCATGATCTGTCCTTCCAGTGAGCACTCAGGGCTGATTTCCTTGAGAATGGAGAGGTTTGATCTTCTTGCAGTCCATGGGACTCTCAAGAGTCTCCTCTAGCACCATAATTCAAAAGCATCCATTCTTCGGCGATCAGCCTTCTTTATGGTCCAGCTCGCACTTCCATACATCACTACTGGGAAAACCATAGCTTCTTCTGAACATAGCTGTCAACTTTTCCCTTTTCTTGCGAGGAATCCTATTCGGAATAAGGGAATTTCCATTTAAAAAAGGGAAAAGTTGACAGCTATGCTTCTGAATGAGCAAGGGGCGGGGCCAGGGGCGGGGCCATCCACCAGCAAGACCACGCCCCTCTCTGTGCACCATTCACACCTTGTTGTGTGAATGATTCAGCTTTCGAAATTCGCCAGGCGCATTTTGCACCCGGCTATCGGCCACTCGCAACCAAGTAAAGATGCCCAGAGACCAGGATAGCGCCTGACATTTCCACCATCCTGAGATACAAGCCTGGGGATCTTGGCTGTTTTCACACACTAGGAACGCATCCTGCAGAATTCTATCTGTTCTATTTTATCTACGCCGTCAGAATGAATTTCAGGAACCAAAAATTGAAAAATACAAATTTTAAGCCACCGTCCCCCAAAATGGCAACCAGACATTCCGTTTTGGCGACTGTAACCCTGGTTTAAGGAGTCATTTGGCGCCTAGCTTATACAGTGGTTCCTTGGTTCTCAAACGCCTTGGTACTCAAACAAATTGGAACCCAAACACTGCAAACCCGGAAGTAAGTGTTCCAGTTTGCAAAATTTTTCCAAACCGAAAATGCTCCGTTTTGAGTGTTACGCTTCCGATTTGAGTGTTACGCTGAGGTGTGTCTGGTTTTGCTATTTATTTTGCATTTTTGTTTTTGCAGCTCTTTTTGTTATGTACTGAAGTTCTCACCCTGGGCCAGCAGGGGGGACACTGCAGATAGTTTTCACTCAGGTCCACACATGCAAATAAGGGATTGAAAGTGACGTTCAGTGATTGAATAGTTACAGAAAGTGGTTACTGTTGCGTTGTAGTGGAGCCCTATATAAGCAGGCTGGCTGAACCCTTCAGTTCAGTTTTGTTCTGGCCTGGGAATAAACAAGAGCTGTTTGAAGAATCGCTGTATCGTCTGATATGTTCACCCACAACTTAGCACTTTTGTTTTTGTGACTGTGTGGAACCCAGTTGAGCTACTGATGGATTGTGTGCCTGCCGTACATTGCTTATTACTTTCATTTTATGGATCCATGGCCTCATGAGATAGTAACTTTCATGTCAAATTGCTGTTTCAGGGCATAGCTGTCAATGTTTCCCTTTTTTAAAGGGAAATTCTCTTATTCCAAATAGGATTCCTCTCAAGAAAAGGGAAAAGTTGACAGCTATGTTTCAGGGGTTGCTTTCAAAAGCCTGCAACAGATTAATCAATTTTGCATCACTTTCTATGGGAAAGCGTGCCTTGGTTTTGGAATGCTTTGGTTTTAGAACGGACTTCCGGAACGGATTAAGTTTGAGAACCAAGGTACCACTGTATATCTGAGTTTCTAATGCTGGAATGAGGCTCTCGGGGTTAGGATGGAAGACAGAGAGGTGGGACTTACTGACGCTCATGACAAATAGGGCAAAGATCCCAACCACTTGCCAGAGGCGCAAGCCCCAGATCACCACAGTCTCCGATGTGATGGGGTCCGGTTTCTTTTTCGGCGGCTCGGTGGTGGCCTAAAAAAAGAACAGGAAATGTTAGAGCATACGGGTGGAAGGGTCAGGGGATCGTACCCAGCTAAGCCCTAATCAGAGTAGACCCATTGGAATGAATATATCATACACTTAAACAAAGGTCCAACAAAGGTCCATGTAATTCAAGCTCTGGTTTTCCCAGTAGTGATGTATGGAAGTGAGAGCTGGACCATAAAGAAGGCTGATCGCCAAAGAATGGATGCTTTTGAATTATGGTGCTGGAGGAGACTCTTGAGAGTCCCATGGACTGCAAGAAGATCAAACCTCTCCATTCTCAAGGAAATCAGCTGAGTTCTCACTGGAAGGACAGATCCTGAAGCTGAGGCTCCAAGACTTTGGCCACCTCATGAGAAGAGAAGGCTCCCTGGAAAAGACCCTGATGTTGGGAAAGATGGAGGGCACAAGGAAAAGGGGACGACAGAGTACGAGATGGTTGGACAGTGTTCTGGAAGCTACCAACATGAGTTTGACCAAACTGGGGGAGGCAGTGGAAGACAGGAGTGCCTGGTGTGCTCTGGTCCAGGGGGTCACGAAGAGTCGGACACGACTAAACGACTAAACAACAACAACCTGAGTTATATTGTTTTCCAAGTGAGGTCTTCACTAAGGTAAATTCACAGGAATTTAAAGGAAGAGACTCTCTCTCTCCACAAACACACACACACAAAATATACAACAGGGCTAGTTCCCCTCTCTTCCTCAGAAAGTCCAACACCATCTCCTTTGTCTTGCTAATATTTAGGTGCAAGTTATTCTCTAAACACCATGTAGATACTTTTTGAACCTCTCCGCTGTACACTGATTCATCTCCACCTGTAATTAGACCCATTATGGTAGCATCATCTGCAAACTTAATAATTAAAAACTAGGGGGGTTTAATACCTACGGGACCGCATCTCCTGGTATGTCCCACAGAGGAACTTATGGTCTTCAAACAAAAACATCTTGAAGGTCCCAGGCCACAGAGAAGTTAGGCTGGCCTCAACCACAGCCAGGGCTTTTTCGGCCGTGGTCCCGATCTTGTGGAACGCTCTGTTACAAGAGACTAGGGCCCTGCGGGACTTGACATCTTTCCGCAGGGCCTGCAAGACAGAGCTGTTCCACCAGGCCTTTGACCAAGGCACAGTCTGACCCCCTCGGTTGGTTATCCTCATAGAACTCTAGCCCAATGGTTGCCATTAATCTGATTTGAATTGATTTTATAATGAAATGATTTTAGAATGTTGTATCATTTTACTGTTGTTAGCCGCTCTGAGCCCGGCTTCGGCTGGGGAGGGCGGGATATAAATAAAATTTATTATTATTATTATTATTATTATGGCTCATACACAGATTTCAGACTGCAGAGCTCTAACTGCGCAAAAGGAATTCAGAGATGAAATAAAATGGGGGGATGTTCTTACATGCGCACAGCCTTACACCTTGTGGCAGTGAGTTCCACAGTTTCACTATGCGCTTCGGGAACAAAAACTTTATTTTGTCTGCCCTGAGTCTTTCAACCTGTAGCTCCATTGCACGGCCCCAAAATCTAGTATTGTACTACCGTTATATCGGCTGCCCTTTCGGATAGCGTTCTCTCTCCAGCTCACAAGAATAAAATACAATCAGCAGCAACATAAAAACTTCTTCGGCTGCAGGAAAAGAGATCAAACCAGTTTAGCACACAAATAAACCATAAATTGCATGTTGGGTATTAAGAGGCCAGATTTGCAGTGTCTTTAAATGCCAGTGCAATGTAGCGGTTTGGCGGTCAGAATAGGACCTGCGAGGCGCGGGTTCAAATCCCCACTCGGTCATGAAGATCGTCTACCTAGCAGGGCTGTTGGAAGGATAAAACAAAGATTGGGAGGAGAATTATGGACCCCACTTTGAGTTTGTGGGAGGAAAGGTGATGAAGTGTGCGGCCATCTGGTGGCTTTCTGGAGCCGAGTGAAGACAATATTATAAATGTTCCACCAATTCTGGCTTCTGAAGATGCATCTGTTTACATAGTTCCTTTCATCTCTCAGCCTGAGGACTCAGCTATACAGCTGCAAATACCACATTTTAAGCGCATTGAATAAGTGGATCTTATTATTACGGTCAAAGACCAGTTCCGTCTCACTTAGAATATCAGGAAAATCGTAAAACACAAGAGGAATACATTGAATTGCAATTGGGTATAACAGAGGGACGGGGGTGGCGCTGTGGGTTAAACCACAGAGCCTAGGATTTGCTGATCAGAAGGTCGGCGGTTCGAATCCCCGTGACGGGGTGAACTCCTGTTGCTCAGTCCCTGGTCCTGCCAACCTAGCAGTCAGTCACGACTGGACCTAATGGTCAGGGGTCCCTTTACCTTTACTTTATAAAAGAGACAATACAGATATAGCAGTTAAAAATATATAAAAAATCTTGAGCACTAAAATATAACCTAAAATTGTCATTTAAAACCTCAGTCATTTTGGTAGTACAGCTTGTTCCCTAAGTTTTATACAAATGTGACACTAGATGGCGATGATGAGCTTATGGCAAATTCAATATATTTTTCAACACACACCCTTTTTTCCCCCTTCAAAGCATTTTCACAGTGTTTTTATATGCGTCTAGATTCCACCAGTGTCTCTGGTTTCTATCACTGCGACGGTTGAATGGTGTTGTTCCTCTGCACCTTTTAATCGTGGTCGTTTACACCTGAAAGTTTCAATTGCAATCTTTTTTTACATGTATTTTAATTACTGTATGAGGTTTGTTGTTGTTGTTGTTTTAGGAAACAAGATTCTGTATTTTGACAATGCTGTGCAATTCTTTTTTAAAATTTTGTAAGCGGCTTAGGAGTCAATCTGGGCACTCAGTGGTTACAAATTAAACAGCAGCAACTCTCCCGACCTGGAAGTAAGCATGACAGGTAGAGGAAGCTGCTAGGAAAAGCAGAGCAGAGGAGCAGAAACAAGAGAGCGAAGCAAATAAGTTGGCAATCCCTAGGAAAATTAGAGCGCCCCGTAATTAATGTTTGAAAAAAGCAACTTCAAAGGCAGCAAACCCTTTGAAGGAAGCTTGCGCTGTCCTTAGATCTTTGCACAAGTGAGGATTCAAAACGGAATCAAGCTCAGAGCAAGCTAATAAAAATATTTTTTCCAGCCGTATCTTGCTGGAATACGCGATTGCATTTGCAAATAACGTTGCTGGCAACAGTCTGCGGTGCCAATTAAACTGTGTTGCAGCGCCGCTTGCTGTTCAGAGTACGTACTGCAACTGAGGAAACGCAAACTGGGAGGGGCAGGTTATCGGAATTTAAGATGCATTTTCGCTTTTGTTTTTAAACAGTTACTTTCTAACTGACTGGTGCAATTGTAAATACAAAGACAAATTAAAAAGCAAAACGGGATTCCTAAAAACAACCCCCACCCCCCAAAAGAAATCCCTCCTCAATGCATTTTAATTCCCATTCCCACTGGCAGGCAAATTGCAATCGCTTGGTGCAGTCCTCGAAGGGATCAAAAGGAACGTGAGGGTTTTGCAAAACATCTATTGCATTGCTTTACTCCCTCCCTCCCCTTTCTTATCTGAATATGAAATTACAAGATAGAGGAGAAAGTCCATTAAAAGCTCATTAAAACATTTTTTTAAAAAGAAAGAAAGAAAGAAAGAAAGAAAGAAAGAAAGAAAGAAAGAAAGATGAATTATCAAGCCAGGGGCGAAATTAGGCTTTACAGTTGTACCTTGGTTCTCAAACGCCTTGGAACCCAAACGCTGCAAACCCGGAAGTAAGTGTTCCGGTTTGCAAACCTTTCTCGTGCTCCGCTTTGAGTGTTACGCTTCTGAATTGAGTGTTGCGCTTTGAGTGTTAAGCTGAGGTCTGTCTGTTTTTGCTGTTTATTTTGCTTTTTCAGTTAATTTGTTTTTGTGTCTGTGTGGAACCCAGTTCGGCTACTGATTGATTGATTGATTGATTGAGTGACTGCAGTACATTGTTTATTGCTTTCATTTTATGGATCAGTCGTCCTGTTATATATAAAATGCATGTTTGAAGTTCGAAAACCAATGTACCACCGCAATTCTCTTTTGATGCCATCAGGATTGGTGGCCATTCATGTTAAACTGCTGTTTTAGGGGTTGTTTTTAAAAGTCCAGAATGGATTAATCCATTTTGCATTACTTTCTATGGGAAAGCATGTCTCGGTTTTGGAACGCTTTGGTTTTGGAACGGACTTCCAGAATGGATTAAGTTTGAGAACCAAGGTACCACTGTATTTCACCCACGTCAAAGACCCAGTTTGGCACCTCCCTCTGTGCATTTGCATACACACAAATTGGGAGCCGGTTTGTGTAATGTCACCAAATAGCCGAAATGTGACCAGCTCCCTCTGCTTTTCCAGTCCTCTACTGGGCTCAGGGGAGCCCGTTTTAACCCTTTCTTGGCAACCCCATGAGGGCTAGGAACTTGCTTACTTTGTTTCTTTTAATAATATAAATATAATAGTAATAATTTATTATTTATACCCCGCCCATCTGGCTGGGTTTTAAAAGGTAAAGGGACCCTTGACTATTAGGTCCAGTCGTGGCCGACTCTGGGGTTGCGGCGCTCATCTCGCTTTACTGGCCGAGGGAGCCAGCGTACAGCTTCCGGGTCATGTGGCCAGCATGACTAAGCCACTTCTGGCGAACCAGAGCAGCACACGGAAACGCCGTTTACCTTCCCACCGGAGCGGTACCTATTTATCTACTTGCACTTTGATGTGCTTTCGAACTGCTAGTTTGGCAGGAGTTGGGACTGAGCAATGGGAGCTCACCCCATTGCGGGGATTCAAACCGCTGACCTTCTGATCGGCAAATCCTAGGCTCTGTGGTTTAACCCACAGCGCCACCCACGGACTGCTAAAAACATCAAACATTAAAAACTTCCCTAAACAGGGCTGCTTTCAGGTGTCTTCTAAAAGTCAGATAGTTGTTTATTTCCTTGACATCTGACGGGAGGGCGTTCCACAGGGCGGGCGCCACCACCAAGAAGGCACTCTGCCTGGTTCCCTGTAACCTCACTTCTCGCAGGGAGGGAACCGCCAGAAGGCCCTCGGAGCTGGACCTCAGTGTCCGGGCAGAACGATGGGGGTGGAGATGCTCCTTCAGGTATATAGGGCTGAGGCCGTTTAGGGCTTGAAAGGTCAGCACCAACACCAGAGGGAAGAAGATAAGCTGCAGTTCTGCCAGGCAGACTTGCTTTCTAGGGAATTCTAATGCCTGCTATTTGATCTCCTGTTCAGTTGCTGCCAGCTAATTCTTAGGGAAGAGGGTTAGCAAGGTTCAGGTTACAGCTGATGGATCTTTGGGCAGCAGAAGCCCATCTTTCAGCCATGCCCAGCCTCTCGCTGCATCCACCCAAAACAAACTCCCTTGACAATCCATTGTGGGAGGCTTGCATTTCTGTCTCCCCCTCGGAAGGCAGTGTGTCTGCTGTTAAAAGGCAGAATCCATGTGAGCAGCCACTGTGCAGGGGGGTTGCTGAAACACAGCCTTGCCGATTACATCCCTGTAGGGCTGTTATCCCTCCAGGTTCACCTGGTGTCCTCCCAGTGATGGGTGACTCTTCAGGCGGGCAAGAGCGCAGGAATCACATCTCAGTAAACCCCAAGAGATGGGACACCCAGTCGTAAAAAGATGTAAATTGTGTTGCATTATTTACATATTCCTCAATATATTAAAATAAAAAATATTAAGGTCTTATATCTACAGTGGTACCTCGGGTTACATACGCTTCAGGTTACACACTCCGCTAACCCAGAAATAGTGCTTCAGGTTAAGAACTTTGCCTCAGGATGAGAACAGAAATTGGGCTCCGGCGGCGCGGTGGCAGCAGGAGGCCCCATTAGCTAAAGTGGTGCTTCAGGTTAAGAACAGTTTCAGGTTAAGAACGGACCTCCGGGACGAATTAAGTACTTAACCCGAAGTACCACTGTATATATGTAATAAATATTCATAACTGCATATATAAACCACATGTTTGAAACCCCACAGAAAAAGTCCTGAAACCATTTTGTCCCTCCCAAATTGACCTCAAATATTTCTCTGCAAGGTGGAAGGAAAATGGAAAGGCCTCCCCATTGTCTTTTCCTTCACAAATCCTGTCTTAAGGGTATGTCTGTTTATGAACAGGGTGAGCCTGTGACCTGGCTCAGGAACTAAGTATTTATCATTACAAAAGACTGGCCAGGCTCCCCAGGGTATCCAATCAAGTAACCATTAACAGGTAACCTGCCAGACAGGAGATAAACAACGCACTCAGATTTCTGTTGTAGACTGCCTCTTCTGTGATGTAGGTATGATGTTTCTGGGGGTGGTCTTGGACTCCAGGGCAGGCAATTTAAAATGTCTATATAAGGGCAGGTACACCTTGGTTCTGGGTCCTCCAGAACCTGCGTGTGAGGGGAGCACCCTGTTGCAACAGTTCAATAAAGGTCAGGCTTACGAGCTACTTTGCTTCTCAATATTCTCAGGTTGGCCTCTGTTATTTTCTCCGACTGATGGAGAACCTACAAAGGACTCTATAAGGGCTCCTGTGTCCCCCATAAGGGCAGATTTTTGTTTATTACAATAGATAAGCGCTCCTTCCAGCCCAGTGTCTAGAATCAGAACCGTAGACTTGGAAGGGAACCCCCAGCGATCATCTAGTCCAACCCCCTGCGATGTCGGAATCACAGCTCAAAAATCCCCAACAGATTGCATTGCAGCGGGTTGGTTTGGATGACCCTCAGAGGTCCCTTGAAACTCTGTGATTTTATAAGACGGCCACCTGACCTTTGCTGGAAAACATCCAACGAAGGAGAGTCCACCATCTTGCGAGGGGGTCCATTCCCCTGTCAAACATCTCTTACCATCAGGAAATTCTTTAAATGTTTCGTCGGAATCTCCCGGGAATCCAAATCCATCGTTTCAGGTCCTATCCTCTGGAGCAGCAGGAAAAAAGCTCTGCCTGCGTTCCAGCCTGCCAATATCCCCCAGAACTGGACACATCTTGCTGCAGGATCCACCCCTTTACCATGAGAGCGCAGGGTGGCCGGGCTGCTCCCATCCCTGGTGCCTTCTGCCTGGTGCCTGCAACTTGATCTCTGGCTATTAGCAGATGGTGTGTTTTCTCAGCAGACTGCTAAAAGCTTCCTGATGTCTGCAGTTATTGTTGTTGTTTAGTCATTTAGTCGCCTCCGCCTCTTCGTGATCCCCTGGACCAGAGCACGCCAGGCACTCCTGTCTTCCACTGCCTCCCGCAGTTTGGTCAAACTCATGCTGGTAGCTTCGAGAACACTGTCCCACGATCTCGTCCTCTGTCGTCCCCTTCTCCTTGTGCCCTCCATCTTTCCCAACATCAGGGTCTTCTCCAGGGAGTCTTCTCTTCTCACGAGGTGGCCAAAGTATTGGAGTCTCAGCTTCAGGATCTGTCCTTCCGGTGAGCACTCAGGGCTGATTTCCTTCAGAATGGAGAGGTTGGATCTTCTTGCAGTCCATGGGACTCTCAAGAGTCTTCTCCAGCACCAGATGTCTGCAGAGCAGACTGCAATGGAAAGAAGGAGAGGAGAGTTGTCAGGCTGGGTTAACCCCCTGCCCCAGGGCCATAGCTCAGTGGCAGATCATCTGCTTTACACGCAGAATGTCCCCGGTTCAAGCCCTAGTAGCTCCAGGTAGAGCTGTTGCCGGCCATCGATAGCCCTCTCTCCTTCAGGAATTTGTGGGATCCTTCTAAAGCCATCTAGGTTGGTAGCATCACTGCCTCCTGTTGGAAGGAGTTCTGCAGTTTCTTCTTTGGCGATCACTCATAATAATAATAATAATAATAATAATAATAATAATTTATTATTTATACCCCACCCATCTGGCTGGGCTTCCCCAGCCACTCTGGGCAGCTTCCAACAGAATATTAAAATACAGTAATGCAGCAAACATTAAAAGCCTCCCTAAACAGGGCTGCCTTCAGATGTCTTCTAAAAGTCTGGAAGTTGTTGTTCTCTTTGACATCTGCTGGGAGGGCGTTCCACAGGGCGGGTGCCACTACTGAGAAGGCCCTCTGCCTGGTTCCCAGTAACTTGGCTTCTCACAGGGAGGGAACCGCCAGAAGGCCCTCGGAGCTGGACCTGAGTAAGATTGTCTTCCATAAGCACGGTCTTAACAGTGAGTCCGAAAGTGACTGTGGAGGCCAGTTCTGGATCCACACGTCCTTCCACAGTGGGGACAATAGGTTTCCAGGCAGCAGTTAGTTGATCACGTTGTGGATTTGCCAAGCATGCCTTCCTCTTAGCATGTTTCTCCCTTGCGTCCTGAGTTCGAGTGTCTTCAAAACCCATGACACCTTCAATAAACGCTGTTCTCCAACTGGAGCACTCGCAAGCCAGTGTTTCCCAGTTATCAGTGCTCATACTACATTTTAAAAGATTTGCCCTGAGAGCGTCTTTAAACCTCTTTTGTTCTCCACCGGTATTTCACTTTCCATTCTTAAGTTGGGAATAGAGTAGTTGCTTTTGGAAGACGATCATCAGGCATCTGCACAGCACGACCAGTCCAACAAAGCTGATGTTCAAGAATCATTGCTTCAACACTGGTGATCTTTGCTTCTTCCAGTACACTGGTATTAGTTCACCTGTCTTCCCAAGTGATGTGTAAGATTTTTCGGAGGCACCGTTGATGGAATATTTCGAGGAGCTGGAGATGGCATTTATAAGTGGTCCATGTTTCACAAGCGTACAGTAAGGTTGGTAGTACAATAGCTTTGCAAACAAGCATTTTGGTTTCCCTGTGAATGTATTGGTCCTCAAACATTCTGCGTTTCAATCGGGAGAAAGCTGCGCTTGCAGATTTAACAAAGCACTGTGTGAATAAATCATTTCTTTCTCTGGCCTGAATCTTCCAACATTCATCTTCCTTGGGCGTCCAATAGTCCTTTCCCAGCCCTTTGAGTAGAAAAGCCGCTTTTCCTCCCAGTGTCCAAATATTAAAGGGACAGGAGCTCTCCATTTAAAAGCAGCTGGCAACCTTGCTATTGCTAGTTATGCAACCTTAGGAATTTTACAGGAATCTTTAACACACATTCTTTTCTGCAGATCTTGGTGGTGGTGGGTGGGAATAAACAGTTCTCCTTTTCTTCTTCTTCATTTCCCAAACCCCAGTGAACCTCTAGCCCACGAGGAAGTCTTTACACTGCACTTTCTACTCAGCATTCAGCCCCAGATAGTTGAATGGGACTTACTCCCAGGTAAATGTAGGCATCTAGCTTCAAGCAGGAGAATTCCTCTCCCCATTCACTGGCCTCCATCTTTTGCAAAGTTCCACTCTTCAGTCGGTTTGGCTAGGAGGCGGGGCTGCTGCTTTTTAGACCCGCCTCCTCTCCAAATGGGAGCTTTATAAAAAGAGGAAATTGAAGCAAAGTCTTTCTTGAAGAAGCAAAAAGAGGGAAAGGGAAGGAAGGGGAAAACAAGCTTTTCAAAAGGACACAGTGGCCTAGAAAAGAAGAGGCTACCAAGATTTGACCAGGGACCCAGGACAAAGCTCAGGTAGGATGTGTGACACTTGGATAGCAAGATGTGAAGATGTCTTGCATGCAAACTTGTGGTTAAAATGTGTTCTTTTGGAGGCAGCTTGTGTGTTACCTAAGCACTGCCTCTGGGAGTCAGATCTGGGACTTGGGTTGAGACAATATTTGCTCTCTGAGACAAGAAGTGTGTGTTGCAACCCATCTTTCCCTGTTTGCCTCTTAAGACCTGGTAGACAGAGGTGCTTTGCCTCTAATAATATAATAATAATAATAATTTATTATTTATACCCCGCCCATCTGGCTGGGTCCCCCCAGCCACTCTGGGCGGCTTCCAGCAAAACACTAAAATACAATAACCTATTAAACATTAAAAGCTTCCCTAAAGAGGGCTGCCTTCAGATGTCTTCTAAAAGTCTGGTAGTTGTTGTTCTCTTTGACATCTGGTGGGAGGGCGTTCCACGGGGCGGGTGCTACTACCGAGAAGGCCCTCTGCCTGCTTCCCTGTAACTTGGCTTCTCGCAGGGAGGGAACCACTAGAAGGCCCTTGGCGCTGGACCTCAGTGTCCAGGCAGAACGATGGGGGTGGAGACGCTCCTTCAGGTGTACTGGGCCGAGGCCATTTAGGTCTTTCAAGGTCAGCACCAACATTTTGAATTGTGCTCGGAAACGTACTGGGAGCCAATCTAGGTCTTTCAGGAGCGGTGTTATGTGGTCTCGGCGGCCGCTCCCTATCAGCAGTCTAGCTGCCGCATTCTGGATTAGTTGTAGTTTCCAGGTCACCTTCAAAGGTAGCCCCGCATAGAGCGCATGCCAGTAGTCCAAGCGGGAGATAACCAGAGCATGCACCATTCTGGTGAGACAGTCTGTGGGCAGGGAGGGTCTCATCCTGTGTCCCAGACGGAGCTGATAAACAGCTGCCCTGGACACAGAATTGACCTGCGCCTCCAAAATGAATCTCAGGCTGCGCACCTGGTCCTTCAGGGGCACAGTTACCCCATTCAGAACCAGGGAGTCTTAATAATCATGGCAAAAGGTCTGTGGCAAGCAAATTCAGAGGGCAACTTCTTAAAAAGTGCTGTATGGGTTGTAAGAATCCAGTGTTTTAGTGTGGCAGCATCTGCACTTTGGAACTCCTTTCCTATTGATATCACTATACTGTTTTCGGCACCTGCCAAAAACATTTTTGTTAAATATGCCAGGTGTTTAGAAAGTTGATGTGAGTTTTCATCTCTTTTTAGCGTGTTGTTGTTATAATTTTTCAAATGTCTTAAATTATTACTTAGTGGTAACTATATTGTTTTATTCCTTTTAGTAAACAGTTTGTTTGTTTTTACCATCAAGAGGTGTATAAATTTTATGAAATAATGGTGGTGATAATGATGTTTTGAACAATACAGTGGTACCTCAGGTTACATACACTTCAGGTTACAGACGCTTCAGGTTACATACGCTTCAGGTTACAGACTCCGCTAACCCAGAAATAGTGCTTCAGGTTAAGAACTTTGCTTCAGGATGAGAACAGAAATTGTGCTCCGGCGGCCTGACAGCAGCAGGAGGCCCCATTAGCTAAAGTGGTGCTTCAGGTTAAGAACAGTTTCAGGTTAAGTACGGACCTCCAGAACAAATTAAGTACTTAACCTGAGGTACCACTGTACCTCCAATTTCTCCTTCTGTGTTTGTAACTGGTGCTTGCTTTAAATATTCAACGATGGTGAGCCGATGGGCGGAGCTAATTGCTGTTAATGATGGTCTGAATCTGGAGCGGGTTTTGCAAACTTGCTTCTGAGATGGGAACTTTGGGATATGCTTGGATTAAGAACTGGCCTGAATTTGCCTCAGATAACTGAGGGGCTTTACCTGCCCAAGTTGGCAAGCTCATGGGCAGATTTGTAGCTTTTTATTCACCCGGAGTTAAGAGCAAGTTGGCCTAGGGTTGCCATACGTCCTCTTTTTCCAGGACATGTCCTCTTTTTCAGGGATAAGTTTTCTGTCCTGGCAGGTTTTTTGAATTTGCTAAAATGTCCTTGTTTTTTTTCCTTTGGTACTAAGGGAGCACTAGGGAACTGGCGTTCTGGGAGTTTTAAAATTGGACAAGAGCTAATTCAGACATGCGTGTTTGGTTATTCCTTTACTTATTTTCAACAGCTGTCTCCTCCTTTCCCATAAAAGAAAAAAATAAATCAAGGCAGCAAACAATAAAATGCAAGCAATAATAAATAATAATAATAATTTATTTATATCCCGCCCTCCCCAGCCGAAGCCGGGCTCAGAGCAGCTAACAAGAATAAAACACAGAATTCTAAAATCAATTCATTTTAAAATCAACAAGTGGGCGAAAACAACAATAAAACATGAAGCCTGTTAGGTTGTGGGTGAACATATCAGACGACACAGCAATTCTTCAAACAGCTCTTGTTTATTCACAGGCCAGAACAGAACTGAACTGAAGGGTTCAGCCAGCCTGCTTATATAGAGCTCCACTACAAGGCAACAGTAGGGACGCGGGTGGCACTGTGGGTTAAACCACAGAGCCTAGGACTTGCCAATCAGAAGGTCGGCGGTTCGAATCCCCGTGACTGGGTGAGCTCCTGTTGCTCGGTCCCTGCTCCTGCCAACCTAGCAGTTCAAAAGCACAAAAGTGCAAGTAGATAAATAGGTACCACTCCAGCGGGAAGGTAAACGGCGTTTCTGTGTGCTGCTCTGGTTCGCCAGAAGCGGCTTAGTCATGCTGGCCACATGACCCGGAAGCTGTATGCCAGCTCCCTCGGCCAATAAAGTGCCGCAACCCCAGAGTCGGTCACGACTAGACCTAATGGTCAGGGGTCCCTTTACCTTTACAAGGCAACAGTAACAATCTTTCTGTAACTATCCAATCAATGAACGTCACTTTCAACTCCTTATTTGCATATGTGGACCTGAGTGAAAACTATCTACAGTATCCCCCTGCTGGCCCAGGGTGAGAACTTCAGTACATAACCAAGCCAATATGCTGGAGAGAGAACCTGTTCATCAAAAGTAGGGCTGAGATCTCGGGATGCATGGTTTGTGACTGACACCTCCATCTGGACACCTTTCTTAAGCAGGCCAGCAGAAGAGCTCATTTTTTGCCTTTATCTCCCACCTTATTCACCCCCCTCCTCAGTTAATCCCTACAGCAACCCTGCGAGGTAGGTGAAGAGACTGGGACTGACTCCAAGGTCATCCAGTGAGCTTCAGGACCGAGTGGGGATTTGAACGCTGATCTTCCAGGTCCTAATCCAACACTCTAACCACTATACCACACTTCCGCCCTAGAGTTCTTCTGCTATAGGGCAGCTCTAAAAATTAAGCAGGTAAACAAATACAGTGGTACCTTGGTTCTCAAATGCCTTGGTACTCAAACGTTTTGGTTCTCAAACACTGAAAATCTGGAAGTAAGTACAGTGGTACCTCGGGTTACATACGCTTCAAGTTACATACACTTCAGGTTACAGACACCGCTAACCCAGAAATAATACCTCAGGTTAAGAACTTTGCTTCAGAATGAGAACAGAAATTGTGCTCCAGCGGCACGGCTGCAGCAGGAGGCCCCATTAGCTAAAGTGGTGCTTCAGGTTAAGAACAGTTTCAGGTTAAGAACGGACCTCCGGATTGAATTAAGTACTTAACCCGAGGTACCACTGTAATGTTTTTCGGAAGCCAATTGTCCGATGTGGCTGTCGGCTATTGTTTCTGGGGCGCCTGCACCAATCAGAAGCTGCGCCTTGGTTTTCGAACATTTCGGAAGTCAAATGGACTTCCGGAACGGATAAAGTTTGGCGCTTTTGTTTTTGCTTTTTATTTTGCATTTTGGTTTTCGAGGCTTTTTCAATTACTTTGTTTTTGTGACTGTGTGGAACCCGGTTCCGCTACTGATTGATTGTGTGACTGTAGAAATGGATAAAAGCCCCCCATTCAAACAATGACTATCATCAGTGCAGGTAAGGGGAAAAAAATAGTTTTAATTTTTATCATCTACAGTGGTACCTCAGGTTAAGTATTTAATTCGTTCCGGAGGTCCGTTCTTAACCTGAAACTGTTCTTAACTTGAAGCACCACTTTAGCTAATGGGGCCTCCTGCTGCTGCCGCGCCGCCGGAGCACAATTTCTGTTCTCATCCTGAAGCAAAGTTCTTAACCTGAAGCACTATTTCTGGGTTAGCGGAGTCTGTAACCTGAAGCATATGTAACCTGAGGTACCACTGTACAATACTGTCTTATTTACAGTGCAATGATTATTACTTTCATTTTATGGATCAATGGTCTCGATACTAAAATCCATGTTAAATTGCTGTTTTAGGGGTTGTTTTTAAAAGTCTGGAACGGATTAATCCCTTCTGCATTACTTTCTATGGGAAAGCGCACCTTGGTTTTGGAACATTTTGGTTTTGAAACGGACTTCCGGATTAAGTTTGAGAACCAAGGTACCACTGTAAAGGGAAAGCCAATTGTCCATTAGAGAAGGATCCGAAATATTTTCCTTGAAGCTTGAATTTGTTTAATTCTGGATTGTTGTATTTGATGTTTTAATGTGTTGTAAACTGCACTGAGATTTTTTTCTTTAAAATACAAAACAGTATATAAAATTAACAACAACAGCATCTCTCATTGAAGGGGAAAAGGCACCTAGACATTCTGTTGTGCTGACCGTAACCCAGGTTTAAGGTGTTATTTGGCGATTAGCTTTTCTATCTCAGTTTCTAACACTGATTTGCGTCTAGTATCCATTAATAGCCCTCTTCTCTATACAGCCTTAATGACCAGGGCATCTCCACCCCTGGAGAACAGCACACTAATTTGAAAGAAGATATAATTATTGAGGATCGCCCCTCCTTTTTCCTTCCGTTCAAGACAGACAGACTTGCCCCAGGGCAAAGAGGGAGGATAGCACCTGCCCTCTCTATGGTGTCCAGGGCAAATCTTTAAATACACAACCGCCGAGGCTTAACCCTATCTGGAAGAAAATACCCACTGATTTGGCAGCTCACCCTCTATGTGTGTGTGGGGGGGGAGCTGTAGTTACATGGCGATGATAGAAGTAGTCTTTGCACGTTTTCAAAATAAGTTCTCTTACATGCGCTGTCCATTCCCCAAACAAACGACAGCGCCACATTTCTCAGACTTGGGCAAGCTTTCTTACAAACCATATAACACCGGTCTTGAAAAACCTACACTGGCTCCCAGTACGTTTCTGAGCACAATTCAAAGTATTGGTGCTGACATTGAAAGCCCTAAATGGCCACGGTCCAGTATACCTGAAGGAGCGTCTCCACCCCCACTGTTCTGCCCGGACACTGAGGTCCAGCGCCGAGGGCCTTCTGGCGGTTCCCTCACTACGAGAAGCCAAGTTACAGGGAACCAGGCAGAGGGCCTTCTTGGTGGTGGCGCCCGCCCTGTGGAATGCCCTCCCACCAGATGTCAAAGAGAACAACAACTACCAGACTTTTAGAAAACATCTGAAGGCAGCCCTGTTTAGGGAAGCTTTTAATGTTTAATAGGTTATTGTATTTTGGTGTTCTGTTGGAAGCCGCCCAGAGTGGCTGGGGAAACCCAGCCAGATGGGCAGGGTATAAATAAATTATTATTATTATTATTATTATTATTATTATACCTTGGCCATGAGAGCTAGAAACTTGATTTCTCTCCCCCAGGCCTCCCCCAGTACAGATAAACCAGCTGTCTCTCTCGGGGTGCAAAATTCAGAGTCCGGATCATCATAAGAAGAAAACTAGCTCAGCCGAGCCCCTCTGGCTTGCTGCTACCACCTGAAACCCAAACAGGGTCTCTGAGTTGCCCTGGTGCTAGATGCAGTTAAAGGAGAATAATTCCATTCTGTGCAGGGGTTTTTTTCCCCTGAGGGGTCTTTCTCCTTACCTCTATCAGCTGACTCAGAGCGGTCCGGGAGTAGCATAACAGCAAGGAGGGCGACCCGCTGAACGGACAAAGCGTCGGTCTCATGGGGTGGTCCAGCGCCATCTTTTCCCCTGTGTGTGTCTCGCTCCTCTTGTCTCTCTGCAAAGCGGAGCCTGCGAAGGGCGGCTGATGGATGGTCCAACTAGCTGGCTGCTAGCTGCCTTGTCAATTGCCTGCTCGCCACCAGCCACCCCCCTAACATCTGCCAGCGATGGCTCTGCACCCTCCAGCAATCTGCGGCCGCTTCCCTCGCAGCCACAAAGGCAGCCCTGGGGAGGCATTAATTAATTCATTAGGCTGGGTTCGTTTACACTCAGCAGCCTTGGTCCGGGGAGCAGCCAGGGTGGATGGGTGCGATCTCCCAGGTTGGCAGTGGGATGATATTGCTGGCTGCTTTTGCCCGGCTCCCCGGAGACCCGGCTTATTAACTTATCCAAGGCCTGTTTTCTCTCCGGCGGAGGAACCGGGTCTGAATCGCCTGGTTTCCTCCTCCTGATTGCACAGATGGGTAAATGAGAAGGGCACCTGTATGGGCTGTGCAAGCTGCGGAACGGCCGCTCGCCTATGACGAGCAGCGATGACCTCCAGGCGACTACACGCAGAAGCTGATTTATGCTGGAAGAGGGTTGCTTATCTCTCCCATCACCAACACCACCCAATTTCCCTCTTTTGAAAAAGAGTAGGGAATTATTATTATTATTATTATTATTATTATTATTTATTATTTATTATTTATACCCCGCCCATCTGGCTGGGTTTCCCCAGGGAAGAGAACTCTGGGGTGGTGGTGGGGTGACCAGTCGTGGTTGGATGCTGAGTTTTGATTTGCGTTGAGGAGCAGATCAAAATGTAAAGGTAAAGGTAAAGGGACCCCTGACCATTAGGTCCAGTCGTGACCGACTCTGGGGTTGCGGCGCTCATCTCGCTTTACTGGCCAAGGGAGCCGGAATACAGCTTCTGGGTCATGTGGCCAGCATGACTAAGCCGCTTGTGGTGAACCAGAGCAGCGCACGGAAACGCCGTTTACCTTCCCGCCGGAGTGGTACCTATTTATCTACTTACACTTTGACGTGCTTTCGAACTGCTAGGTTGGCAGGAGCAGGGACCGAGCAACGGGAGCTCACCCCGTCGCGGGGATTCAAACCGCCGACCTCCTGATTGGCAAGTCCTAGGCTCTGTGGTTTAACACACAGCGCCACCCGTGTCCCTAGAGCAAAATGTACTCCTCCATAAATGCTATTGCACCCTCAGTAATATCCTCTGCCTTGCATTCTTGCAGGGCAAGCCACAAACTCAGTTTAGGTAACAATGTGGATGCCCAACAGATCCCTCGCAATTAAGTTCCACGTTTCAAAATGTCAAGTTTGAGTGTGCGATTGTGTAACCATCCAAACTTCCTGCCCCCTGCCAGTCGGATTGTAAGCTCTTTGGGGGCGAGGACCCTTCCTATCCTTGTTGCAGAACAGTGTCTGTTTTTCCCATCCTGGATGCTGAACCCAGTGTCTGCTTTCTGCTTTCTGGCTTAGAGCTGTCAGCTGTGATGTATGTATCCTTGCTTCTTAATTCTCTCAAACGCTTGCTAGCTTAGGTTCGACAACAGCCGCTGCGGCCTTCTGCCAAGGCGTACAGATCTTGGCTGCCGTTCAAGCAGTTTCCATGAACACCAGGAATGCGCTCGCAGTGCATCCTGGGAGACATAGATGTGCCTCTCTATTTTTTTTTCTTCCTTGGGAGAGCAAATCCGAAGGGTTGGCCTGGGAGACTTCCGTCAACAGGGAAGCATGTGAGCCTGAGAATTCTTCTGAAGGGCTGGGACTTTGGGGAAGGGCCAGACAGGGGAGCAAAGGCCATTTGTGTTTCACAGAGGAAAACGATGCGCAGCTCAGCTGAGGTCCTTGCCCTGTGGTCGTGCCTTGCTGGTATCGCCTGACCCCACCTTCTAGCAGAATGAGCCTCTGTCTTCTCTGCGGGTGAGTTGCGGGCGACTGAACAAAACCCGAAACTCATTATTGGGGGGGAAGTGTGTGGAACAGGTCTCGGTGTTTCGATTTCTGGGAATGGAGTTGAGAGATGACCTAACCTGGGGAGAAAACAGCAAAGACCTGATGAAGAGAGCACAGCAGAGGTTATATTTTCTGAGAATCCTCTGGAAAAACAATCTCTCAAAGGACCTGAGGACTGCTGAGTGTGTGTTAATTTATGGTCTGTGTGTGTGGTTTGGGAGCTGCACGGTCAGGGGAAAAACAATGCTGTCCAGGGTTGTAAAGACTGCAGAGAGAATAATTGGGTGCACTCTTCCCACCTTGGATCAACTCTATGCTTCCAGGTGTCATAAGAAAGCTGCAGATATAGTGCAGGATAGTGCGCACCCCGGAAATGATCTCTTTCAGCTTCTGCCTTCTGGAAGAAGGTAAAGGTAGAGGTACCCCTGACCATTAGGTCCAGTCGCAGACGACTCTGGTATTGCACCGCTCATCTCGCTTTATTGGCTGAGGGAGCCGGCATACAGCTTCCAGGTCATGTGGCCAGCATGACTAAGCCGCTTCTGGCGAACCAGAGCAGTGCACGGAAATGCTGTTTACCTTCCCGCCACAGTGGTACCTATTTATCTACTTGCACTTTGATGTGCTTTCGAACTGCTAGGTTGGCAGGAGCAGGGACCGAGCAACAGGAGCTCACCCTGTTGCAGGGATTCGAACCACCGACCTTCTGATCGGCAAGCCCTAGGCTCTGTGGTTTAGACCACAGTGCCACTCAAGTCCCTCTGGAAGAAGATACGGGGTTATAAAGACCAGGACTAGCCGCCTGAGAAACAGTTTCTATCCAAATGCGATTTTGGTTTTAAACGCAGTGTAAGGTAGTCTCTATGTGAGCATATTGTATTTACTTATGGGGTATCAGAGTTTTTAGGGGGTTTACCAGGCTGGGAGAGCAGGCTTGTTGGTTTTTGAATGTCTGATGTAGATTTTTTCAATTTCGTTGTTCTGTATGGGACAATGACAATAAAGATCGTATCGTAACGTTCTCTATAAATTTCTCCCCTGCCCGTCGCTGTCCAAAAAGTGTCAGGGAAAGAACAGAGTTTGCAAAGAGAAAGAGAGGGGTCAGTCTTGCGCTATGCACAATCTGCTGAGATGCAACTTTAGGAGGATGTGGCTGTGAGCTTTTGATTTACTCTTGTCAAAGGTACAGAAATTTCTCGACTTGATACTGTGTTAGCAAAGGCCTGGATGTTTTCCTGTGTGGTCAAATCCACACTGTACAAGTACATTTAGAACATATTTTAAAGCGCATGGCTCCTTCATCCCACCCAGGATCTTGGGAATTGTAGTTTTTTAAGGGTGCTGGGAGTGGTAGTTTTGCAGGGGGTAAAGCGATTCCCCCCCCCAAAAAAAAGATTTCTGGGGATTGTAATGCGCCTTAAATGTTTAGTGCAGATATGGCCATCTTAGGGCAGAAAGTTGGGATAGGAAGAAAGTGAGAAATTACTGCTGGGTTTGATCATTTAATTTTAAAAGCCTTTTTTTTATCCCCAGGAGATTACTGCATGAAAGACAACAACAGAGAAAGGCAGGGAGTGGAGGCAAGGGATGCAATGCCTTGTTGTATTTAGTTACAGGAGGGCATGGAAACTGAGAGCTTGCCCGTGGAAGGCTTGAGGTTAAAGATGGATCTTTTGAGGAGGTGTTTGAGAGAAGTCGGAGGTGTGGGATTGTTGCTGACTTATTTATTTGCAATTGCATCCTGCTCTTTAGCTGAATAGACTCCCAGATAGGCCTGCATGCAGACAAGTAAAAAACGAGACAGTCCCTGCCCGCAGGCTTGCAGTCTAAGAGATGCAGCAGCAAAGGAAAGCAGAACTGGGAGGGATGAGGAAAAAAGCAAGCTCAGATGCCAAGTCTTAAAACTTTAAAAACGGTAGGAAGATGGTCTAAGCAGGGCAAAAAAGGGAGAAAGGGCAAAATCCTTTGGCAATAAGCTCGCCTGCCGTGTTTGGTGATGAAAACACATTTCGTGTGCATTTTCTAAGGCGGCATGGAATGCTTTGCATGGAAAAAACCCAAGTTCCATGCCCAGGAGCTCCAGGTGGGGCTGGGAATACCCCACCTGCCTTGCAGGGGGTTAGACTAGATGACCCACTGGGTCCCTTCCAATTTCGCAATCCTATGAATCCCTAGAGTTTTGCACTTTATTGGTGAATCTAAGCTAGATAGTCTGACTCTAGCTGTGTATGCACCTTGCATTTAAAGCACACACACCCCAAAAATATATATATCCTGGGAACTGTAGTTTGCTAAGGGTGCTGGGGACGGCACCTCTGAAAGGGGTAAATGAGAGTTACCCCTGGGGAAAGGGCTTTAAGTGTGTCTGTAAGCCTGATTCCAACGCTCCGATGTAGTTGTGCCATTCGGCCACTAGATGTCCCCATTATGGTTTTCTCAAGGATGTGCTTCTCTGCAAAGAACAGATGATTTGGCCCCAAAGCAGGGAAGGAAAGTGGAAATTGTGAGGTTGTGGACCCTCCTTGAATGGACACATTGATGTTCAGCTGGGTGCTCACCTGTCACTGTAGACTGCAGTTGCATCCTGCATTGAGCTGGATTGGATGACCTCTGATAATAATAATAATAATAATAATAATAATAATAATAATAATAGATAAAATAAATAAATTATTTGTACCCCGCCCATCTGGCTGGGTTTTCCCAGCCACTCTGGGCATCTTCCAACAAAGATTAAGAATACATTAAAATGTCACACATTATAAACTTCTAAATGTCAGGTAGTTGTTTATCGCTTTGACATCTGGTAGGAGGGCATTCCACAGGGCGGGTGCCACTACCGAGAAGGCCCTCTACCTGGTAACCTGTAGCTTTGCTTCTCGCAGTGAGGGAAGAGCCAGAAGGCCCTCAGAGATGGACCTCAGCATCCGGGCAGAACGATGGAGGTGGAGGCGCTCCTTCAGGAATACAGGGCCATTTAGGGCTTTAAAGGTCAACACCAACACTTTGAACTGTGCTCGGAAACGTACTGGGAGCCAATGCAGGTCTTTCAGGACCAGTGTTATGTGGTCTCGGCAGCCGCTCCCAGTCACCAGTCTAGCTGCCGCATTCTGGATTAGTTGCAGTTTCCGGATCACCTTCAAAGGTAGCCCCACGTAGAGCGCGTTGCAGTAGTCCAAACGGGAGATAACTAGAGCATGCACCACTCTGGCGAGACAGTCTGCAGATAGGTAGGGTCTCATGTTGCGTACCATACAGAGCTGATAAACAGCTGCCCTGGACACAGAATTGACCTGCGCCTCCATGGACAGCTGTGAGTCCAAAATGACTCCCAGGCTGCGCACCTGGTCCTTCAGGGTCACAGTTGCCCCATTCAGGACCAGGGAGTCCTCCACACTGCTCCTTCTGTTTTCCAAGTTCTTGTTTCCGACACTGGCTTTCTAACAGGGATTTCGCCAGCCTCGGACACCCACGTGTTGTTGGACTACAACTCCCATAGTTCACGGTCAGTTTAACCAATGGACAGGGATGATGGGAGTTGTAGTCCGACAACCGCTATGCCGGTGGTACAGCAATTAAACCGCTAGCAGTGTGTCTGGAGGTCCGGGGCTCCCTCTCGGCCTCACTGATGGGGGGTCCAAAGGAAAGCAGAGGAAGACGTTTGGCCCCAGCTTGGCTGCAGGAGGGACTCCATTTTGGATTTGGGTAGGGTTTACTCCAGAGCCTTTTCTTCCCCCGAAGATGTCCGGCAAGGCAGTGGAGGTTTAGGATCAGAGTTTTCCTTCTTCTAGAGCGGCTCCTTTCCCAGGTGGACAAACCCCATCTGCCCCTCACTTCTCTCTATGGCATATGCAGAGACCACCTTGTTGACCGTTGGACCTACGATTTGTCTCGTCTGCTCAGTCTGCCTGATCCTGTCTTTGCACGCATGGGAAGCCCCTAATTCACTGAGGGCTTGAGACCCATTGGCTGTGCTCACCTGGTTTAACCAGGGCCAGATTTAGGTTTGATGAGGCCCTGAGCTACTGAAGGTAAAAAGGTAAAGGGACCCCTATCCATTAGGTCCAGTCGCGGACAACTCTGGGGTTGCGGCGCTCATCTCGCTTTACTGGCTGAGGGAGCCGGCGTACAGCTTCCGGGTCATCTGGCCAGCATGACTAAGCCACATCTGGCGAACCAGAGCAGCACACGGAAACGCCGCTTACCTTCCTGCCGGAGCGGTACCTATTTATCTACTTGCATTTTTGACGTGCTTTCGAACTGCTAGGTTGGCAGGAGCCAGGACTGAGCAATGGGAGCTCACCCCATCGCGGGGATTCGAACCGCCGACCTTCTGATCGGCAAGTCCTAGGCTCTGTGGTTTAACCCACAGCACCACCCGCGTCCCAACTGAAGGTAATGGGGCCCTTTATATGTCCAGTTGTCCTGTGTCAACAACAAATTGTCGTTTTTTTCCTGTTGAATATACGCTAGATGGTCATTTATGGACCTAATAGGTATCTCAAGCCATTTGCCCATGCATAATGTAGGCACCCCATAAAGTGGTACCTCGGGTTACAGACGCTTCAGGTTACAGACGCCGCTAACCCAGAAATATTACCTCAGGTTAAGAACTTTGCTTCAGGATGAGAACAGAAATTGCGCGCTGGTGGCGCGGTGGCAGCGGGAGGCCCCATTAGCTAAAGTGGTACCTCAGGTTAAGAACAGTTTCAGGTTAAGAACGGACCTCCGGAACGAATTAAGTTCTTAACCTGAGGTACCACTGTATATAGAAATGAGCATACCAGTGATATTTTAGGGAGCAGGCTAGCAGGCGGGGCCCATGACTTACATCAGGCTCCCTCAGCCTCGGCCCTCCAGATGTTTTTGGCCCACAACTCCCATGATCCCTAGCTAGCAGGACCAGTGGTCAGGGATGATGGGAATGGTAGTCTCAAAACATCTGGAGGGCTGAGTTTGAGGAAGCCTGACTTACATCCTAGGAGCCTACACAACACAAAACACTGTTGCTGTATGTAGGATTTTATATTATTGGTTTTTTTCTTATATTTTGGAAATGTACATCGTTGTTTTTTTCTTTAATTTTTTTGGGGGGGCCCCAAGAGAGTGGGGCCCTAAGCTATAGCTTCTTTAGCTTATACGTAAATCCGGCACGGGGATTAACCAACCAGTTGAAGCCGTTTCCCAGGATTATGGCCGCTGTCGCATGCAGACAGCTTCTAGGAGCCCCAGGTGAGAGCTAAGCGCAGGATGGGGACCACCGGTGAACAAACTACTCCAGAAGGAGCATGACGTGTCCCCTATCCAGGTACTAAAGGTAAAGGTAAAGGGACTCCTGACCATTAGGTCCAGTCGTGGCTGACTCTGGGGTTGCGGCGCTCATCTCGCTTTATTGGCCGAGGGAGCCGGCGTACAGCTTCTGGGTCATGTGGCCAGCATGACGAAGCCGCTTCTGGCAAACCAGAGCAGCGCACGGAAACGCCGTTTACCTTCCCGCTGGAGCGGTACCTGTTTATCTAGTTGCACTTTGACGTGCTTTCGGACTGCTACGTTGGCAGGAGCAGGTTGGCAGGTTGGACTGCTAGGTTGGCAACGGGAGCTCACCCCGTCGCAGGGATTCGAACCGCCGACCTTCTGATCGGTAAGTCCTAGGCTCTGTGGTTTAACCCACAGCGCCACCCGCGTCCCTTATCCAGGTACTACCCCTCCTCTAAAACCCCACACACCCTGCGGTTGGTGTTCTCCATTTTCAGCCGTGAGAAGCTACCATTAGAACAGGCAGTTGCGCACCGAGCAGCTAAGGTTTCCATAACTTCTCATTGTTACTCCCTGTCATGAGTTAAATAGCTATTCCTGGTCACTGACCGAAAAATGGCCACCTCAGCAGTTCCTAAGACATGCCACTCATCAGTTCTGTGCATCTAGGAGGAAGTTAGAAGACAGTCATTGCAGCCTGGAAACTTTAAGGCTGCTTTGAGCTGTGTCACATTCACCAAAGTGTCCTACACAGGGCAGTTTTAGAGCTCTGGGGAGAATGCCAGAGATCTGTGGTTTGCTGATAGACGTGGTGATGTGCACCAGGATTTTGGATACCCAATTGAACTGCAAAAATGGGAGGAATTATGGAAAAGCAATTTAAAATTTACAGCCTGTTATCTAATTCATTTTCCCAGTACAGTGGTACCTCGGTACTATTGTAGGTACTGTACTATTTCTGGGTTAGCGGAGCCTGTAACCTGAAGCGTCTGTAACCCAAGGTACCACTGTACAATAAAACACCATACATTAAAAACTTCCCTAAACTTCCCTTCGGATGTCTTCTAAAAGTCAGATAGTTTATTTCCTTGACACTTGGTGGGAGGATGTTCCACAGGGCAGGCGCCACCACCAAGAAGGCCCTGTAACTTGGCTTCTCGCAGGGAGGGAACTGCCAGAAGGCCCTCGGCACTGGACCTCAGTGTCCGGGCAGAACGATGGGGGTGGAGACGCTCCTTCAGGTATCCTGGGCCGAGGCCGTTTAGGGCTTTAAAGATCAGCACTAACACTTTGAATTGTGCTTGGAAACGTACTGGGAGTCAATGCAGATCTCTCAGGATTGGTGTTATGTGGTCTTGGTGGCCGCTCCCAGTCACCAGTCTAGCTGCCGCATTCTGGATTAGCTGTAGTTTGCGGGTCACCTTCAGAGGTAGCCCCACGTAGAGCGCATTGGAGTAGTCCAAGCGGGAGATAACCAGAGCATGCGCCACTCTGGCAAGACAGTCTGCAGGCAGGTAGGGTCTCATCCTGCGTACCAGATGGAGCTGGTAGAAAGCTGCCCTGGACACAGAACTGACCTGTGCCTCCACGGACAGCTGTGAGTCTAAAATGACTCCCAGGCTGCGCATCTGGTCCTTCAGGGGCACAGTTACCCCATTCAGGACCAGGGAGTCCTCCACACCCGCCCGCCTCCTGTCCCCCAAAAACAGTCCTTCTGTCTTGTCAGGATTCAACCTCAATCTGTTAGCTGCCATGCTCTTATATGTCCTTGGAGGGCTGCTGGAGGTTCCCGAGCCCTAGAATAAATTGTGTGCATCGTCTATCCCTCCTCCGTCTCCCACCTAAGCTCCGGTTCTGACTGGCTGGTCCAGGAATGTTCTGTCCCAGGTCGCTCGGGTTGGTCCGTCGAGCGAAGGAGGATCGGCTTGGCATCTCCTCGCCTACGAAGAGCAAAGAGCGCCTGAGAACACAAAGAGGCTTTTGTAAGGACTCCTTTAGCGCTTCCCTGAAGCAAAGGGAGGCCGTGGGATGCTTTTGCTGAGCTGCATTCTTGCCAGAGAGCAAACGCCTGGTGGCTGCAGCACGTGAGGAGAGGGTTTTGCGTTCTTTGGCTAACTGGTTTGGCTTACAGTTTTACTTTTAAAAAATAATAATTAACAAATTCAACATAACAAATCAACAATACAAATCATCTTCATTATTTTTCCCCTCCCACCTCCCCAACATACCCTCCCTCCCCCCCCCCCCCAGGATTTCCCTCAGCTCCTCTCTCTGATTTCTTATCCCATATTGTTCTCTGCATATTGCAAAATTGTATGCATCCTTATTGGTGCTGGAGGAGACTTTTGAGAGTCCCATGGACTGCAAGAAGATCAAACCTCTCCATTCTTAAGGAAATCAGCCCTGAGTGCTCACTGGAAGGACAGATCCTGAAGCTGAGGCTCCAGTACTTTGGCCACCTCATGAGAAGAGAAGACTCCCTGGAAAAGACCCTGATGCTGGGAAAGATGGAGGGCACAAGGAGAAGGGGACGACAGAGGACGAGATGGTGGGACAGTGTTCTCGAAGCTACCAGCATGAGTTTGACCAAACTGCGGGAGGCAGTGGAAGACAGGAGTGCCTGGCGTGCTCTGGTCCATGGGGTCACGAAGAGTCGGACACGACTAAACGACTAAACAACAACAACATACATCCTTATATTATCTATCCACCATATTAATCCAATAAATTTGTGTATGTTTATTCAAAACCTGCCAAGGAGTCCAGTTCATTTTGTTGTCTTGTTAAATAGGCTGTAGAAAGTTCCCATTCTTCTTTAAAGTCACAGTTGTCTTTATCTCGCAATTTACGTGTCAGTTTCGCCAGTTCTCCATAGTTCGTTAATTTCTCTTGCCGCTGTTCTTTTGTCGGGGGTTCCTCATTCTTCCATCCTTGCGCTATCAAGACTCTCGCCGCAGTCGTTGCTTACATAAACAAATTCTTTATTTTTCTTGGCAGGTCTTCTCCAACAATCCTTAACAAAAATGCTTCTGTTTTTTTTTTTACAAATGTCATCTTAAACATTTGGCCTACAGTTTTACAGAACAAGGTTTGCCCTCAGGGTGCTCTGGCAAAGCGGGTTTGTGGAGCTGGAATGGATTTGTGTGGGGCCATAATTGGCTTGCAAAAAATCAAAATCTGAGATCAAAGGAACCCCTAGTTCTTCAACACTCTCTCCTTCAGCAGTTTCCCGCAACGGAAAGCATTGCTGCCCCTAACTGTGGAGACAGAGAACAGCCGTCCGTCCAGGCTAGTAGCTCTTGATCATGGGTAGGCAAACTAAGACCCGAGGGCCGGATCTGGCCCAATCGCCTTCTCAATCTGGCCCGCGGACGGTCCGGGAATCATCATGTTTTTACATGAGAAACCCAGCCAGATGGACGGGGTACAAATAATAAATTATTATTATTATTATAAATATGTGCTTTTATTTAAAATGCATCTCTGGGTTATTTGTGGGGCATAGGAATTTGTTCCTATTCCCCCCCCCCCAAAAATATATATATATAGTCCGGCCCTCCACAAGGTCTGAGGGACAGTGGACTGGCCCCCTGCTGAAAAAGTTTGCTGACCCCTGGACTTGATAGTCCGCTCTTCCACGAATTTGGCTACAGTGGTACCTTGGTTCTCAAACGCCTTGGTACTCAAACAACTTAGAACCCAAACACTGCAAACCCGGAAGTGTTCCGGTTTGCAGACTTTTTTTGGAAGCCGAACGTGCTCCATTTTGAGTGTTACGCTTCCGTTTTGAGTGTTACGCTGAGGTCTGTCTGCTTTTGCTATTTATTTTGCATTTCTGTTTTTGTGGCTCTTTTGTTTTTTGTTTTTGTGACTGTGTAGAGCCCAGTTCAGCTACTGGTGGATTGACTGTGTGACTGCAGTACATTGTTTATTGCTTTCATTTTATGGACCGATGGTCTCATTACATATAAAATGCATGTTTGCAGTTTGAAAACCAGTTTGAAAACCACTGGATCTGTAAAATGAAAGCAATAAACAATGTACTGCTGTCACACAATCAATCCACCAGTAGCTGAACTGGGTTCCACACAGTCACAAAAACGAAACAAAAAAGAGCCGCAAAAACAGAAACGCAAAATAAATTGCGAAAACAGACAGACTTCAGCGTAACACTCAAAACAGAAGTATCCGATCTCAAATCGGAAGCATAACACTCAAAATGGAGCATTTTCGGCTTCGAAAAAAGTTCGCAAACTGAAACGCTTACTTCCGGGTTTGCAGTGTTTGGGTTCCAAGGCGTTTGAGTACCAAGGCGTTTGAGAACCAAGGAACCACTGTACCAATTTCTGAAAACTGCAGAAGGAGACTGTGCATTTGTGTTGGGATTCTGTTTGTGTGTTTCCCTCTCTGGACGACTTTCTGAGAACAGAATGCTGACTAGATGGGCCGCTGGCCCGATTCTCTGGCCAGAGTTGACAAAAACTCTCTTCTCGATAAGTTTCAATTCAGCGTTTTTCGGACTGGCATTTTTTAAAATGCCAGCCTCTCTCTTTTCAAAGCTCCTTTGTTTGAGATGCACTGCTCTGTAAATTCCTCAGCCGCTTTGGCTTGGCAGTTTAGCCACCGCCTAGATCATGGGTAGGCAAACTAAGGCCCGGGGGCCGGATGCGGCCCAATCGCCTTCTCAATCCAGCCCGCGGATGGTCCAGGAATCAGCGTGTTTTTACAGGAGTAGAATGTGTCCTTTTATTTCAAATGCATCTCTGGGTTATTTGTGGGGCCTGCCTGGTGTTTTTTACATGAGTAGAATGTGTGCTTTTATTTAAAATGCATCTCTGGGTTATTTGTGGGGCATAGGAATTCGTTCATCCCCCCCAAAAAATATAGTCCAGCCCCCGACAAGTTCTGAGGGACAGTGGACCGGCTCCCTTTCTGTTTTACAATTTAGAGTACAGTGGTACCTTGGGTTACATACATCAGGTTACATACACTTCACGTTACAGACTCCGCTAACCCAGAAATAGTACCTCGGGTTAAGAACTTTGCTTTAGGATGAGAACAGAAATCGTGCTCCGGCGGTGCGGTGGCAGCGGGAGGCCCCATTAGCTAAAGTGGTGCTTCAGGTTAAGAACAGTTTCAGGTTAAGAATAGACCTCCAGAACAAATTAAGTTCTTAACCCGAGGTACCGCTGTATTCATTTAAACAACGTTAAAATATATATGATCTCCCTTCCTCTTTCCATGGTTTGTTTTACATAACATAAATCCCTGCATATTTTACATAAACTAAACTAAACTTCTTTACACTGAATTTATCTCAGTGCTGTCAATGTTTTCAAATATACACAACCCCACCCCCATATATTCAATAAACATGTTCCAATCTTCTTCTTTTATATAAAAAAAAAGTTTGCTGACCCCTGGCCTAAATCTTCCTCCCAGGCTCCCGATCTTTTAAAACTAAATCCTTGCCCTTCGCCAGGCTGCAGGCAGTAAGGCTTGTTTGTAAACAGGCGGGACGAAGGAGGAAACGAATTGTGCGGCTGGCTTGAAACCTTCTGCCCAGGATGGTTTTGTAATCGTACCTCTGGGCTGCGGCGGCTGTGTGTTGTGTGTGTCATCCAGGAAGCAGGATCTGCAGCTGAACAGAAAAGGAAATTTGGCAGTGGGAGGCAGGCGGGAGTGGCATTGCAGGTTCCTAAACAGCCAGGCATGAAAAGCTGCCCAGAACTGCTCAGAGGTGCCGCCGGCAACGAACCACGCAAGCTATGTTGCTTTCAATATAAGGCAAGTTGTTTTTCCGTCTTCTTTTTTCAAATCGTAGAGTTGGGGCCCAGGGGATATCTAGTCCAACCCCCTTTTGACCAGCTGGGATTTTTCAGTAGCGACTGAGACCCCTCACTGCCTCAGCCTGTGAAATCGGGCCATCTGTGAATTAGACTGCCCTCTCTTCTTGAAGGCAAGGAGCCCGAGTTGAATTCAAGCCTGGCTTCTTCTGAAGTAACAGGACTGTAGAGCATGCGCAGACTGCTTTCTGATGAACAGGCAGCCTGTAGATTGCGAGAAATAGGAGTCACCTAGGATGTGGACGCAATGGAGGCTGGTTTGCCCAGCTGGTTCCTTTTCTTAAAAACTTTTACAATGCACTATTTCAAATCAAAGGCGGTTTTCCTGTTATTTTTAAGCGTGGGATGATGCAGTCTAGGTTGGCCGAATTGGCTTAAATGTGTGTCCCAGTTTAACCAGTGCTTGCGAGGGGAAGAAGGATACTTACTTGGGAGTATACCTCCTCCAATTGGATTCAGGTGGCTTGCTCCTGAGTAGACTCACAGAGAGGATTGTATTGTGGAGGAGTCTGGCTGTATGGCTATTCCAGAGGGAGTGATGCATTAAGAAGGAAAAGCTGACTGTCGCTTGCTTCCTTCTTGTAAATGGGCATCTCGTTGGCTACTGCAATAACAGGATGCTGAAATAGAGGGACCACTGGCCTCATCCACCAAGACTGTGGCGCTGTGGTCTAAACCACCCAGCCTCTTGGGCTTGCTGATTGGAAGGTCAGCGGTTCAAATCCATGCGATGGGGTGAACTCCCGTTGCTTGGTCCCAGTTCCTGCCAACCTAGCAGTTCGAAAGCACATCAGTTCAAGTAGATAAATAGGTACCACTGTGGTGGGAAGGTAAACGGTGTTTCCGTGTGGTCTGGTTTCCGTCACGGTGTCCCGTTGCGCCAGAAACGGTTTAGTCTTGCTGGCCACATGACCCAGAAAGCTGTCAGTGAACAAACGCCGGCTCCCTCAGCCTGAAAGCGAGATGAGTGCCGCAACCCCATAGTCTCCTTTGGCTGGACTTAACCGTGCAGGGGTCCTTTACTTCTTCTTTTTTACCACCAAGACCTTATTGATGTTCTTGGCAGGACATGAAGGCAACAAAATTCCTGGAATTCAGTGGACTTTGAGCATGGAGATGGAACATACTCTCTCCTCTGTGATTTCTGTCTCATCCACTTTTATAGCATTCCAAGCTAGTAGCCGTCACCAACGGCACCTTGTGGCAGCGAGTTCCGCACGTTCTGCATTGCGCAGAGGAGTCCTTGACTTTTGTCTGCCCATCAGCTTTGCTGAGTTTCTAGGATTCTGGGAGAAAAGGACACGCGCTCCATCTATTGCTATTGGATTTTGTTCTTTTTGAAGCATGTGATATTTCGCCCTACCTTGTGCCAGGCATCTGGACGGGGATAGGGGGTTGAAATTCAATTCCGTTTGCACCGTAACGTGAAACTACAGGTGCCCTCCCTCTCCATTTTGCAGGGCAGCTCTTTGGCCAGGAAATGTGTGCCAAAATGGGTATGTTATGGGAGGGCACGGTAAAATAATATGCAGAAATGAATTGTAGAAGGGGGAATTGCTAGCACAAATGTGTGCGCTTGGAAAATGCTGACGCGTTTAAAAACCTGCAAGCTGCTGCAGGAGTGTGGAACACTAAATTTAAGACTGGAAAAAATGGGGGGGGACCTAAAAAAAATGGAAATTGACAGATTTCCCCCCCTCCCAAGCCTGTGGATGCATCTACACCATACATTTCAAACTCCCCCTCCAAAAAAAGAATCACGGGTGCTGGGAATTATAGCTCTGTGGGGGTAAACTACAGTTCCCAAGATTATTGGGAGTGTGTGAGAAATGTGCTTTGAATATATGGCATGTATGCAGCCTACATTTGCACCTGATGTGTGGTAAAGTAGTAGTAGTAGTTGTTGTTATTTATTATTATTATTACAATTAAGTTATTAACATCTAAAGCACCATTTCAAGGCCATCTGATGCTGTGGGTTAAACCACACAGCCTAGGACTTGCCGATCAGAAGGTCGGCGGTTTGAATCCCTGCGACGGGGTGAGCTCCCGTTGCTCGGTCCCTGCTCCTGCCAACCTAGCAGTTCGAAAGCACGTCAAAAGTGCAAGGAGATAAATAGGTACCTCTCTGGCAGGAAGGTAAACGGCGTTTCTGTGCGCTGCTCTGGTTCGCCAGAAGCAGCTTAGTCCTGCTGGCCACTTGACCCGGAAGCTGTACTCCGGCTCCCTCGGCCAATAAAGCGAGATGAGCGCTGCAACCCCAGAGTCGTCCGTGACTGGACCTAATGGTCAGGGCTCCCTTTACCCTTACCTTTACCTTTACACATGGGATAATGCAGAGTTGGTGAAGCAAAGGACATGTATTTGCAGTGTGGGAATTTGGTTGTACAGTATGTCTGGGTTTCTGCCTGTGAGACCTACATCAAGATACGTGCAGAAAATCTCACAAGCTGGCCTTGACAACCTTTTGCAAGGATCCCTTGTGGGCGCCACCTTACACCCTGGTTTTGACGCTTCTTTTACGCCTTGCTCACTGGAGCACCAAATGGATTTCCCCCATTTCCTCTGAGGCATCGGGGATGGTGGCATTCGAGGAACTGAGCAGCGTGGCATTGCATTAGTAAGGTTCTCTTTTTGAGATGATTCAGTTGGGTGGCTTTTCCTCTGATTCTCTGCTGTGGGGTCGCCATATCTGGAGTCGGAAAGCAATTCCTGACAGGTCAGGTGGAACCGTTGTTGTCTGTTTTTCCTTGGAATAATAATAATAATTTATTATTTATACCCCGCCCATCTGGCTGGGTTTCCCCAGCCACTCTGGGCGGCTCCTAATGGAATAATAAAAACACAATAGAACACCAAACATTAGAAACTTCCCTAAACAGGGCTGCCTTCAGATGTCTTCTAAAAGTCAGATTGTGGTTTATTTCCTTGACATCTGAAGGGAGGGCGTTCTACAGGGTGGGCGTTCTACAGGGTGGGCACCACCACCGAGAAGGCCCTCTGCCTGGTTCTCTGTAACCTCACTTCTCATAGGGAGAGAACCACCAGAAGGCCCTCAGCACTGGATCTCAGTGTCCAGGCAGAACGATGGGGGTGGAGACATTCCTTCAGGTACCGTATTTTTCGCCCTATAGGACGCACCGTCCCATAAGGCGCACCCAGTTTTATGGGGGGGAAATAAAGGGGGAAAAAATTATTTCCCCCCCAGGCGCGGGGCTGGGGCGGGGGAAGCCCGAGCTTCCCCCGACCCCAGCCCCCAAACAGGCAGCTCTCTGCAAGCCATGCGAGCCCAGCGCTGGCTCCTGCTGCTTGCGGAGTGGTCCGCGAAGCCTGAACGCGCTGAGCTCAGCGCACGCGGGCTTCAGCATGCAGGCAACTCTCCGCAAGCAGCGGGAGCGCTCCCGCTGCTTGCGGAGAGGTCCGCGAAGCCTGCATTCACCCCACAGGACACACACACATTTCCCCTTCATTTTTGGAGGGGAAAAAGTGCGTCCTATAGGGCGAAAAATACGGTATACTGGGCCGAGGCTGTTTAGGGCTTTAAAGGTCAGCACCAACACTTTGAATTGTGCTCGGAAACGTACTAGGAGCCAATGTAGGTCTTTCAAGACTGGTGTTATATGGTCTCGGCGGCCGCTCCCAGTCACCAGCCTAGCTGCCGCGTTCTGGATTAGTTGTAGTTTCCGGGTCACCTTCAAAGGCAGCCCCATGTAAAGCGCATTGCAGTAGTCTCTCATTCAGTTGGAGGCAGCATTCCTCTGGACTGCACTTTCTGAGAATCACAAATAGGAAGTGTGCTTGGTGGCGTTTGGGTTCAGCTGGTGGGCACCGACGCTTTCTGTTCAGAAAAGAGCAGCCCAAACGATCATGGGGATGGAGCCGTTTCCCCTGTGAAAGAGGTTGCAGCTTTTTTGGGGGGGGATTGGAGTCAGAGGGAATATACTAGAAGTTTATAGAATTATGCATGGCACAAAGAAAGTGGATACAGTGGTACCTCGGGTTAAGTACTTAATTCGTTCCGGAGGTCCGTACTTAACCTGAAACTGTTCTTAACCTGAAGCACCACTTTAGCTAATGGGGCCTCCTGCTGCTGCGGCGGCGCCGGAACACAATTTCTGTTCTCATCATGAAGCAAAGTACTTAACCTGAAGCACTATTTCTGGGTTAGCGGAGTCTGTAACCTGAAGCGTATGAAACCTGAGGTACCACTGTATAGAGAAACGCTTTTCTCCCTCTTATAATACTAGGACTTGTGGACAGTGAAGCTGAGCGTTGGAAGATTCAGCACAGAGAACAGAAAGTCGTTCTTAATGCAGTGCTGTCGAATTATGGAACTCCTTGCCACTGGAAACAGTGATGGCCTGGATGGCATTAAAAGAGGTTTAGACAAATTAATGGAGGAGGAGAGCGCTATCGATCGCTTCTATTGTGCCACCCAGCTTGGAGGCAGTAATGTTTCTGCTGGAAACCTGTGCCAGGACTGAAACTCTCTGTGTCTTGCATTTTGTTCCCTACGATGTGAATCGTGCCGGAGCGGCGAAACTCCCATTCAGAACCGGGAGACAGCGGGGCGCCCTCCCCGGGCTTGAACTCTGAGGTTTTCCTGGCAACGGAAAGGGGCAGTTTTTGTCTGTGCTGAAACTTGCCTTTTTCTTCCCTTTTACCTCTTTCGTTTCTTTCCTTGGGCTTGAATGGAAGCTTTCCTACCGCGGTCGGCTAGGCCAAGGAATCCAGCCTTAACTCTTGCAGCGTAAACAGATGCCAGGAGAGTTAGTCATGGGGAGGGACTGGCGTCCCTGGAAGGCTGGACCAGGTGAGAGGCTTAAGCCGGAAGGCTGCGAGAAAGGCTTGCTCATTCGCCAGAGACTTGAGGATTCACTTTGGGGTTATAAGTGGGGACCAGCCTATACGTGTAGGTGGAGGGGTGTGTGTGCGTGTGTGGAAGACTTCCAGAGGAGTGTACCAAGTCAGTCTGCATGGGGATGGAAGAACGACTTCTTAATGCTTATATAAAACTTCCTGCAAGTGGAAAAATAATATCTGGGATCCTATATTGAAGATTGCAAGCCATATGATAGGAGTATATGAAGGTTTCTACAGGTGAAACTCGAAAAATTAGAATAGCGTGGAAAAGTTCATTTATTTCAGCAACTCTAGGATTCTGTCTCAGGGCGGTTCGCAGCATAAAAATACAAGACAGAAATACAAAATGTGTAATAAAAACGAGAGCTGGAAGGAACCCTGAAAGTCATCTAGTCCATGGGTAGGCAAGCTAAGGCCCGGGGGCCAGATCCAGCCCAATCTCCTTCTCAATCCGGCCCACGGATGGTCCGGGAATCAGCTTGTTTTTACATAAGTAGAATGTGTCCTATTATTTAAAATGCATCTCTGGGTTATTTGTAGGACATAGGAATTCGTTCTTTATTATTTTTTTTAAAAAGAGTCCAGCCCCCCACAAGGTCTGAGGGACAGTGGACCGGCCCCCTGCTAAAAAAGTTTGCTGACCCCATTCTAGTCCAACCCATTGCAATGCAGGAACCGCAGCTAAATACACAAACAGAGACACGGCTACACCCCTGTCTGCTCCATTCACCAGCCCCCTATGTTTTCCCCTACATTAACCCACTTTGCAACCTGCCTTTCCCCCCCTTTCCTTCCCCCTTCATACAAATCCTGGATTCTGAAGATGCACTCCAGATGCTCTAATGGGTGTTGCGTGACGACAGCCTTACATGTCTATGCATATAGGAAGATATCATCTGGAACTGTCTAGAGTGGTGTTCAAGGCTAGTTCTGATTCAAGAGGTACCCAGTGGCAGATCTGTCTTCTGCCATGAACTTGCTTGTTGGCCTGAGGCTGTGAGGTTGTGGCTTCCCCCAGCCTTGTGCCTACCATTGGAGATGGAGGAAGAATGCCCATCTACCTTGCAAGGTTGTTGTAAAGGTTGCAATTTGAAGGTCACTGGTATTGGCTCCAGAATCCCAAGCGATACCCATTTGGTTCCATCAGGCCTTAAAAACTCATTTATTGTAAGCTGCTTTTAGTTGAGATGCAGAGGTGAATTTCTTGAGGGCCCCCCCCCACAAAAAACCCAATGTTAAAGAAATAAAGATCTGGACCATAGACGGGTCTCACCAACTCCAGCAACATGGTTAACGTCTGGCATGTTTCCTGATTTTAGCCAACAGTTGTTACAAGAGCCAACTTAATATTCCTTCCTGTTATGGGTCTAATATAGAATAAGAAAAATGTTCTGGTTTTCGGGTGTGTAAATGGGGTCAGGGGGGAATCTTGCTGGCAAAATGTCAGGGGAAACCGGGATGTATGGCAGTGCGATGGAAAAAGCAGCGAAAACAGCTCCCAAAGTAAAAGTAAAAAGGGGGGTGGTCTCCCCCAAAAAGCTCAACACTTTGCAGGTCTCATGAATTTTTCTTTTCGAAATATGACAATTGACGATCATTCCCCTGAAACTTGACTCACAAGGTCCACCCCCCCCAAAAAAATTGTCACATACTGGACTGGGGGTGACTTTCTGCTGTCAAGTCTGAACAGTGACTGTTGAAATATTCAACTTTCATTGACCTGGTGGCCTCCAGATTTTGGGTCCCCACTCCCCCCCAGCCCCCAGCCAGCATGCTCAATGGTCAGGGCTAATGGGATTTGTGGTCCATCACAGTTGAGAGAGTGCCAGATCCCTTACATTAAGAGATTTTTCAGGGCCCTTTCTCCACCAGCCATGGCAGGCAAACATACTTACTTCGTGCTAAGCTCACTGCCCAGAATATTGGCTCCTCCAGCTCCACCATCCCAAGGTCTCATTCTTCCTCAAAAGACTTTGTTCTTTCTCCCTTTCTGTCCTGTAGATGCAGATTATCCTTCCATCATTTCCCTTTCTTTTTTCTTTTAGCTTTTAAGGCATCGTACCTCAATTCGCTTTCTCACCTCTTCCCTCCCAGTTCCGTTTTCCTTTTGTGCTGCGTCTATTGGATGGTGAGCCTGCCGGCAGGGACTGTCAGTGACCCTGTTTAGCTCCCAGACAGCATGACCCAACAGTTGGGGGTGATGAGAGCTGTATTCCAGCAACGTCTGACTGGGACCGGCTAGCGGAAGGCTGAAAGAATGGAACAAGTGAATGAATGAAATGACAGCCGCTGTGAAAGTTCCCCATTTTGCGAAAGGCCGGTGTACGCGTGGGGCTGCTTCTTATGAATGGACTTGATGCACATTTTTTCCTGTTACATCACACCTGGCTTTGTTTGGTTTCCTGTGTTTGAAACTCAAACCAGGCTTCAATAAGGCTTCAAACAGGCTTCAATACCTGTTGAGTTTTTTGTTTTATCTTTCCTGGAAGAGAAGTCTCTTGTGCCTTAACAATGGGAGATGCTTTTTTTTTCCCAGCAGGAAAAGGGAGAGGGGGAAAATAGCCAACCTAGCATCACCAACCTGGTGCCCCTCTGGTCGTTCAAGGTCACCAGTATAAGCAAATGTCTGTCTTATTCAAGAGACATATTCTGTTGTTGTTTTAGTCGTTTAGTCGTGTCCGACTCTTCGTGGACACACCAGGCACTCCCGTCGTCCACTGCCTCCCGCAGTTTGGTCAAACTCATCCTGGTAGCTTCAAGAACACTGTCCAACCATCTCGTCCTCTGTCGTCCCCTTCTCCTTGTTTCCTCCATCTTTCCCAACATCAGGGTCTTTTCCAGGGAGTCTTCTCTTCTAATGAGGTGGCCAAAGTCTTGGAGCCTCAGCTTCAGGATCTGTCCTTCCAGTGAGCACTCTGGGCTGATTTCCTTAAGAATGCAGAGGTTTGATCTTCTTGTAGTCCATGGGACTCTCAAGAGTCTCCTCCAGCATCATAATTCAAAAGCATCCATTCTTTGGCGATCAGCCTTCTTTATGGTCCAGCTCTCACTTCCATACATCACTACTGGGAAAACCATAGCTTTAACTATACGGACCTTTGTTGGTAAGGTGATGTCTCTGCTTTTTAAGATGCTTTCTAGGTTTGTCATTGCTTTTCTCCCAAGAAGCAGGCATCTTTTAATTTTGTGGCTGCTGTCACCATCTGCAGTGATCATGGAGCCCAAGAAAGTAAAATCTCTCACTGCCTCCATTTCTTCCCCTTCTTTTTGCCAGGAGGTGATGGGCCCAGTAGCCATTATCTTCGTTGTTTTTTTATGTTGAGCGTCAGACCGTATTTTGCGCTCTATAGAACCTTTATTCTCTAGAATGATGGAACTCACAAGTGGATGAGACTTTTCTTTTTCTATATCTTGGTTATTTTTAAAGGGAATCTTTGTTATGAGTCAATATTTCTTTATTTTATTCCCCCTCCTTCTTTCTTTTGAGTGCTTTAATGATTAAAAACTTTATAACAGAAGTATACAATAGATATTATAGGCAAAATGAGAAATAAAAATAAACCGTTATTCCTTTTTTAACTTAATACTTCCTTTGTACATCCATTTGTGATTAAATTTGTCAAGACTTCTGATCTTCCCCTTGCATCCCTGATTTAAACACGCGCTTAAACTTTACTTTCTCCATATTATTTGAGTTACTATAAATTTTGTTTTGTACCGTTATCCTATTAACCCACCACAGCTCAATCAAGAACTTCCAACTGATTGATCTTTTGACAGTGTTGTTTTTACATGAACTCTATAAATACCCCGCTCTCTGGAGAATTTTTCAACAACAAAAAATGGTTACGAGTCAATATTTAATTATCCCTGCTGCTTTGTACATTTGTGCTTCCAGGTGGTGGTGATTTCTGGTTTAAAAGACTGAATCTTTGTTTTCTGTTTCTTTTTGTAATGTTTGCACGCTTCTTCTGTTAACAAGTCAACAAGACCAAAAAAGAATGGAAGAAGAAACAGCAGCAGATATCAGCAGATCTGTCGGTTTGACTTGCATTCCAGAAATAGGAGGAGTCGGGGAACATAAGCAATTTTCACTCCCGTTTCTGTTTCTGTTGCAATTCTCCGACACCCTTTCGGTGCAGGGCAGGTGAAACTGCAGCTGCTGTTGTTGTTGTTTAGTCGTGTCCAACTCTTCGTGACGCCCTGGACCAGAGCACGCCAGGCACTCCTGTCTTCCACTGCTTCCCGCAGTTTGGTCAAACTCATGTTGGTAGCTTCGAGAACACTGTCCAACCATCTCGTCCTCTGTTGTCCCCTTCTCCTTGTGCCCTCCATCTTTCCCAACATCAGGGTCTTTTCCAGGGAGTCTTCTCTTCTCCTGAGGTGGCCAAAGTATTGGAGCCTCAGCTTCAGGATATGTCCTTCCTGTGAGCACTCAGGGCTGATTTCCTTCAGAATGGAGAGGTTTGATCTTCTTGCAGTCCATGGAACTCTCAAGAGTCTCCTCCAGCACCATAATTCAAAAGCATCAATTCTTTGGCGATCAGCCTTCTTTATGGTCCAGCTCTCACTTCCATACATCACTACTGGGAAAACCATAGCTTTAACTATACAGACCTTTGCTGGCAAGGTGATGTCTCTGCTTTTTAAGATGCTGTCTAGGTTTGTCATTGCTTTTCTCCCAAGAAGCAGGCGTCTTTTAATTTTGTGGCTGCTGTCACCATCTGCAGTGATCATGGAGCCCAAGAAAGTAAAATCTCACACTGCCTCCATTTCTTCCCTTCTATTTGCCAGGAAGTGACGGGACCAGTTGCCATGATCTTCGTTTTTTTGATGTTGAGCTTCATACCGTATTTTGCGCTCTCCTCTTTCACCCTCATTAAAAGGTTCTTTTATTCCTCCTCACTTTCTGCCATCAAGGTTGTGTCATCTGCATATCTGAGGTTGTTGATATTTCTACCGGCAATCTTAATTCCGGCTCGGGGTTCATCCAGCCCAGCCTTTCGCATGATGTCGTACTCCTTTCCCAATGTTGAACCAATCAGTGGTTCCATATCCAGTTCTAACTGTAGCTTCTTGTCCCACATAAAGATATCTCAGGAGACCGATGAGGTGATCAGGCACTCCCATTTCCTTAAGAACTTGCCATAGTGGTCGACACAGTCAAAGGCTTTTGCACATAGAAACTGCAGCTACTGAGGACTAATTTGGGAGCCCACTAAGTAGAAGCAAGCAGGGAGGGGGAAAATCATGGCACTGTAGTTCATTTCTTTTACTGGTACCCTGAATATGCAAAAATATCTCTCCTCCCATCCTGTTAGATTTGCCTTCGCTCATCGCAAAGGACTTCCCGATATCCTTTCGGTGGCAAACCGTGGGGGAGAATGAAAGTTAATTTATCAACTGACCATCATAAGCTGCGGCTTCCTGTTTTCCACATTAATCATACCACTTCTGGAGAAAAAGCTTTCTAAAAATGGCACTGAATCAGCGGTATTTCTTCAGCTGGGTTTTGCAATGAGTTTCCCCAGTAGCCTTCTCCCCTACAGATTTTGTCAAGCTATGACTGCCACCAGCTGTCAGTAAACACGGTCAAAGGGTCAACATTACCCAGAGGGCACCAAATTGGGGGAGCTAGGCTTATAACACTGAAATAGGAAAATATTCATTTCTGCAAAAGCGTTGCCAGTCCTTATTGTTGTTCTTTTTTAAAAAGGGGGTTTAGGTTGTATGCTTGGGCTCCCTTCCAATCCCTGTATCCAGCAAGTGTTAAAATCTAAGCAGGGATAGAAATCCCTGGAATAGCCAGGTTAGCTTCCTGGTGAGGCGATGGGCTATTAAGGTAACAAAGGAAGTGGTTCTGTGCCAGATGAAAAATGCGTAGGTCCCCCTCTCTCAACTTGTTGGGCAGTTATCTTTCCACAAGGGCCGACAGTGATGCCGAAATCCAGCATCACCTTCGCCAGGCATAGGCAAACTTGGCCCGCCAGATGTTTTGGGACTACAGTTCCCATCATCCCTGACCACTGGTCCTGTTAGCTAGGGATCATGGGAGTTGTAGTCCCAAAACATCTGGATGGCCAAGTTTGCTTATGCCTGGCCTGAGCTCTGTGAGTGCAGCTTTCTCCCGATTGAAGTTCAGAGTGTTTGAGGACCAGGACATTCGCAGGGAAACCAAAATGCTTGTTTACAAAGCTATTGTACTACCAACCTTACTGTATGCTTGTGAAATGTGGACCACTTATAAACGCCACCTCCAACTCCTTGATAGATTCCATCAACTGTGTCTCTGAAAAATGGAGGTTTCTGCAACGCGCAATGAAGATTTGTGAATGTTACACAATGTTAACTTAAGTGTCCGATGCAGATTATGTTGAGTTCTTTTATTGCTCCGAACCCTGCTGGAATCTTGTATACAGTGGTACCTTGGGTTACATATGCTTCAGGTTGCAGACTCCAGAAATAGTACCTCGGGTTAAGAACTTTGCTTCAGGATGTGAACAGAAATTGTTCTCCGGCGGCAGCTGGAGACCCCATTAGCTAAAGTGGTGCTTCAGGTTAAGAACAGTTTCAGGTTAAGAACGGACCTCCGGAACGAATTAAGTACTTAACCTGAGGTACCACTGTATATGCCAATAAAGATTTGCAAATTTGATTTGTTCAACGTGGTTCAGGCTACTTGGGTTGGGATGGGGCTTCATAAACAGCAAGCTGGGTGGCTGGTTTTTATTCTCATTTTGCAGCTCCGGTCTCATTTGGAGTCTTTTGTGTTCTCCCCTATTTCCTGATCCCTGGCAGGACATGAGCATCACAGACGTCGCTGCCTCACTGCTTAGGACGGAGGATTCCTTCTCTGCCTGCCTTGCTCGGATCAACAGCGTTGTCCTCCAGCCCCTGCTGCAGTCAGGTGAGCGCAGAGGGCAAACTTGTGTAGCGTGGGCATCCGGGCCTTGAAATTTCACACTCTGTGCCAGGGATGAAGGAAGGCTCTTTGGCACCCGGTGCGGTGTGTTGAGGGGCGGGGCAAACCGCCCAGCAGCGCATGCGCAGCGCCACTACGTACGGCGCATGTGTGTGCGCTGCTATGTATGCCGTACGGACGGCAGGGTGGTCCTCTGCTTGTGGCTGCAGCAGGGGGCAAATATAATTATAGTAAAAATACAGTGGTACCTCTGGATGCGAACAGGATCCATTCCGGAGCCCCGTTCGCATCCTGAAAAGAACACAACCTGCGTCTGCAAGTCGCGATTCGCCGCTCCTGCGCATGCACGTGACGTTATTTTGAGCGTCTGCACATGCACAAGCGGCGAAACCTGGAAGTAACCCGTTCCGTTACTTCCGGGTCGCCGCGGAGTGCAACCCGAAAATGCTTAACCCGAAGCAACATTAACCTGAGGTATAACTGTAATAATAATAATAATAATAATAATAATAATAATTTATTGTTTATACCCCGCCCATCTGGCTGGGTTTCCCCAGCCCCTCTGGGCGGCTTCCAACTGAATATTAAAAACAGTACAGCATCAGACATTAAAAACTTCCCTAAAGAGGGCTGCCTTCAGATGTCTTTTAAAAGTAAAATAGTTCTTTATTGCCTTGACATCTGGTGGGAGGGCGTTCCACAGGGCAGGCGCCACCACATCAGGTGCCTCCCATCAGATGTCAAGGAAATAAACAACTATCTGACTTTTAGAAGACATCTGAAGGCAGCCCTGTTCAGGGAAGTTTTTAGTGTTTGATCTTTTATCGCTTTTATCATAATAATTATTAATAATAATCTTTTGGGAGCCGCCCAGAGTGGCTGGGGAAACTCAGCCAGGTGGGTGGGGTATAAATAAATAATTATTATTATTATTTATTATTATTTAAAGTTAAGGGAACTCAGTTTTCCCAAGTTCCTGCTCAAAAAACCCCCCTGAGGCTGGGAAAAGCTGGTTAATGGGCTAAATCCTGACTTGGCCATTTCAAGAGTAAAAAGCTAAAGGGTAAAGGGACCCCTGACCATTACGTCCAGTCGCAGACAACTCTGGGATTGCGGTGCTCATCTCGCTTTATTGGCCGAGGGCGCTGGCGTTTTTCCGCAGACAGCTTCTGGGTCATGTGGCCAGCGTGACTAAGCCGCTTCTGGTGAACCAGAGCAGCGCACGGAAATGCTGTTTGCTTTCCCGCCAAAGTGGTACCTATTTATCTACTTGCATTTTGACGTGCTTTTGAACTGCTAGGTTGGCAGGAGCTGGGACCGAGCAACGGGAGCTCACCCTGTCGCGGGGATTCGAACCGCCGACCTTCTGATCGGCAAGTTCTAGGCTCTGTGGTTTAACCCACAGCGAGTAGACCTCTTGAAATCCATTGGATTCAGCCAACACAGGGATGACTGACTTGTGGACCTGCCAGATCTTTTGTTGGAGACGAACTCCTCCCATCTCTGGCCAGCATCTTCCCAAATTTTGGAGCAGTGAGCACTGAACTTGAGCATTGGTACCTGCGTCAAAGAGCCCCTGTCAGCTCCCGGCGGAGGCTGCTTTTGCATAACAGCTCAGTGGCAGAACACCTGGCTTGCATGCAGAAGGCCTGACAGAGGCCCTTTCCTGAGACCCCAGAGAGCTGCTGGCAGTCAGTGTGGACATTATGGAGCAGGACGGATCAATGCTCAGACCTGGCATTGGGAAGCATCCAACGCATGGGTAGGCAAACTAAGGCCCGGAGGCCGGATCCGGCCCAATCACCTTGTAAATCCGGCCCACGGACGGGTCCAGGAATCAGCGTGTTTTTACATGAGTAGAATGTGTCCTTTTATTTAAAATGCATCTCTGGGTTATTTGTGGTGCATATGTTTTTTAAAAAATATATATATATTTATTAATTTAAAATTAATACATTTATGAAAAACAGACGTACATACAAGTAAACAAACATGCAATCAAACAAATAACAGAAAAATCAAACAAACCACCGCACTACAAGATATAAGAAAATTAATATAATCATCATCATATATACTGGTTTTGAACACAATTATAAAATTTATAGAGAAGAAATTTAAAACTCACTGTGCTTTTTCTATCTATTACTTTATACTGCACAGTTACATATTTCTTATATAATTACTTGTTACCTCCCTACAAACTTATATTTATACAGGGATCGGTCTAATTCTGCCAATATGTTTCCTTTTATTCCATAGTTTTCTAAATATTCTTTAAAGATTCTCCAATCCTTATAGACTTTTAGTTTCGGTTGGCCTCTTACTCTTCCTGTCGCTTTCGCTAGCTGCAGATATTCTAGCATTAGGATTTGCCAATCTTCCTTGTTGGGTATTGCAGCTGTGGGGCATAGACATTTGTTCATTCCCCCCCCAAAAAATATAGTCTGGCCCCCCACAAGGTCTGAGGGACAGTGGAAAAGTTTGCTGACCCCTGATTGAGAGTGACTAGTGGGGTGCCACAGGGTTCTGTCTTGGGCCCGGTCTTATTCAACATCTTTATCAACGACTTGGATGATGGACTCAAGGGCATCCTGATCAAATTTGCAGATGACACCAAACTGGGAGGGTGGCTAACACCCCAGAGGACAGGATCACACTTCAAAACGACCTTGACAGATTAGAGAACTGGGCAAAAACAAACAAGATGAATTTTAACAGGGAGAAATGTAAAGTATTGCACTTGGGCAAAAAAATGAGAGGCACAAATACAAGATGGGGGACACCTGGCTTGAGAGCAGTACATGTGAAAAGGATCTAGGAGTCTTGGTTGACCACAAACTTGACATGAGCCAACAGTGTGACGCGGCAGCTAAAAAGCCAATGCAATTCTGGGCTGCATCAATAGGAGTATAGCATCTAGATCAAGGGAAGTAATAGTGCCACTGTATTCTGCTCTGGTCAGACCTCACCTGGAGTACTGTGTCCAGTTCTGGGCACCACAGTTCAAGAAGGACACTGACAAACTGGAACGCGTCCAGAGGAGGGCAACCAAAATGGTCAAAGGCCTGGAAACGATGCCTTATGAGGAACGGCTAAGGGAGCTGGGCATGTTTAGCCTGGAGAAGAGGAGGTTAAGGGGTGATATGATAGCCATGTTCCAATATATAAAAGGATGTCACATAGAGGAGGGAGAAAGGTTGTTTTCTGCTGCTCCAGAGAAGCGGACACGGAGCAATGGATCCAAACGACAAGAAAGAAGATTCCACCTAAACATTAGGAAGAACTTCCTGACAGTAAGAGCTGTTCGACAGTGGAATTTGCTGCCAAGGAGTGTGGTGGAGTCTCCTTCTTTGGAGGTCTTTAGGCAGAGGCTTGACAACCATATGTCAGGAGTGCTCTGATGGTGTTTCCTGCTTGGCAGGGGGTTGGACTCGATGGCCCTTGTGGTCTCTTCCAACTCTATGATTCTATGATTTAACATTTGCTCCTTGCCCTACCTTCTCTGCTTGCGCCGAAGGGTCTTTTGAGAACGCGAAGCTCTTGGACGAGCTGAACGACCGCTTCCAAGTCATCTGGGACCTGACGGAGGAGAGCTACAGAACTCTGAAGCAAACCTTCGGCGTGTCAGAATCCGTCAGCATCCAAGACCTGTACCTGGCCCAGAAAGCCGACTTGTTCCTTGACGCTTACATCCAGTGAGTACAACCGCAAACCCGTGGAGGCAGCGTGGCGTAGTGGTTAGAGCACAGCTTTCCAAACTTTTCCTGTTGGCGACGCACTTTTTAGACGTGCGTCAATTTGCGACGCAGTAATTCAGTTTGGCTAGCAAACCGGCCGGCTGCCCGCTCTCTTTCCAGACCTGGGAGGAGCACAAGGAGCGTTTGTGCGACTACACACTGCAGCCGACATACTAATGTGTCGTGACACAGAATTTGGAAAGCTTTGCGTTAAGAGTGACGGCTTGGACCAGGGCCAGATTTAGGTTTGATGAGACCCTAAGCTGCTGAAGGTACTGGGGCCCTTTATATGTCCAGCTGTCGTTTGTCAACAACAAACTCGCTGTTTTTTGTGTTGAATATATGCTATATGGTAATTTATGGACCTAGCAGGTATCTAAAGCCATTTGCACATAACAAAATATGTAAGGTAAAGGTAAAGGGACCCCTGACCATTAGGTCCAGTCGTGACCGACTCTGGGGTTGTGGCGGTCATCTTGCCTTATTGGCCGAGGGAGCCGGCATACAGCTTCCGGGTCATGTGGCCAGCAGGACTAAGCCGCTTCTGGCGAACCAGAGCAGCGCACAGAAATGCCGTTTACCTTCCCGCCGGAGTGGTACCTATTTATCTACTTGCACTTTTGACGTGCTTTCAAACTGCTAGGTTGGCAGGAGCAGCGACTGAGCAATGGGAGTTCACCCCGTTGCGGGGATTTGAACTGCCGACCTTCTGATCGGCAAGTTCTAGGCTCTGTGGTTTAACCCACAGCGCCAACCATCTCCCTAACAAAATATGTATTTTATCAAAATAACTTTTGTTATTGCCAAATGCCAATGTGTTTGCATTATTAAGTTTGCTATGAATAAAAAATCATTTTAAGTAAGAGCTTAATAATTATTTCACTACAGTGGTACCACGGGTTAAGTACTTAATTCGTTCTGGAGGTCCGTTCTTAACCTGAAACTGTTCTTAACCTGAAGCACCACTTTAGCTAATGGGGCCTCTCGCTGCTGCTGCCGCACGATTTCTGTTCTCATCCTGAAGCAAAGTTCTTAAGCCGAGGTACTATTTCTGGGTTAGCGGAGTCTGTAACCTGAAGCGTCTGTAACCCAAGATACCACTGTATTAATATACTTCTTCTTCATTGTATTTCACCATTAATATACTTCTTCATTGCATTTCAGTTCAATAATTACTTTGATAAAATACATGTTTTGTTATGTGCAAATGGCTTTAGATACCTGTTAGCTTGCCCTGACCTTCCCATCAAACTTTCATAAAAGAGCATTGCAAAACGTCTGCAAAGTTCCTTCAACAACAACAATCTTTATTATGGTCCAGAGACCCAACAAATCATCACAAAGCAATACACAATTCATACAGCCTACCTCCAGGTTAAAGAAGCATTTTGTTCAGAATATAGGGATCATTGGTTCTTGCAACCACTGATAAAAACTTTGCCACTGCTAATGTTCTAGCATTTGTCTAGTCTTCCAATAGGAAACTGATATAGAGAGCCTCTGATTTTCCCGGGAAAGGTACCAGCAAGGGTAGTATCAGTTCTGCCCTGGCTTGCTCATATTTTGCACAGTGAAACAAAATATGTTTTATGGAATCGATGTCTTGGGGACATGAGCAAAGTCTGTCCTGGTAGGGAACTCCTCTCAACCTGCCATCCAACACTGCAGAAGGAAAGACATTTAGTCTGGCTTTGGTGAAAAGCCTTCAATAGTTTGGTACTGTCAGGTTTTTAATGTAAGATGTTAACTTAAAGACATGCCCATATTGTACTCCTACTGCCAGCAAAGATCCTTCAGTCCCGGGTAGCTCAGACACGCAGCCTAATGCTTGTCCCGATTTATTTTAAACAGGTACTTCTCCACTTTTGCCAGTTGTGTCGTGACCCAAGTCTTTGACCATGCTGCCAGGAATAAAAGGTGAGTGTGGCTTGTAGCGTGCTTGAAGACCCTGCAGGATCAGGCCAGTGGCCCACCTGGTCCAGCATCCTGTTCTCACAGCGGTTAACCAGATGCCCATTATGGGAAACCCACCAACAGGATCTGAGCGCAAGAGTTGGAGGCCATCACTGTGACAGGGAGTTCCGTAGTTTAACTCTGCACTGCATGAAGAAGTAATTTCTTTTTATCTGTCCTGAATATTCCTACATTCAGCCTGATCGGATGTCCACAAGTTCTAGGGTAATGAGAGAGGGAGAAGGACCTTTCTCTCTCCACTTTAAATGAGTTTAAAAGAGAATTAGTCAATTCTAATTAGGGAAGCTTTTAATGTTTGATGCATTGCTGTATTTTAATATTTTGTTGGAAGCCGCTCAGAGTGGCTGGGGAAGCCCAGCCAGATGAGCGAGGTATAAGTAATATATTATTATTATTATTATTATTATTATTATTATTAATTAGAGAAGTCTATTGATGGCTACTAGCCAGGATGGCTGTTCTCTGCCTCTGTAGTTGGAGGCAGTGGTGATGATGATGATGATAAATTTATTATTTATATCCCGCCCATCTGGTTGGAAGTCCCCAGCCACTCTGGGCAGCTCCCAACAGAATATTAAAAACATGATAAAACATCAAACATTTAAAAAAATCCCTAAACAGGGCTGCCTTCAGAGGTCTTCTAAAAGTTGGATAGTTGTTTATTTCCTTGACATCTGATGGAAGGGCGTTTCACAGGGCAGGCGCCACCACCGAGAAGGCCCTCTGCCTGGTTCCCTGTAACCTCACTTCTCGCAGGGAGGGAACCGCCAGAAGGCCCTTGGAGCTGGCCCTCAGTGTCCGGGCAGAATGATGGGGGTGGAGACGCTCCTTCAGGTCTACTGGGCCAAGGCCGTTTAGGGCTTCAAAGGTCAGCACCAACATTTTGAATTGTGCTCGGAAACGTACTGGGAGCCAATGTAGGTCTTTCAGGACTGGTGTTATGTGGTCTTGGTGGCCACTCCCAGTCCCCAGTCTAGCTGCCGCATTCTGGATTAATTATAGTTTCCAAGTCACCTTCAAAGGTAGCCCCATGTAGAGCGCATGGCAGTAGTCCAAGCGGGAGATAACCAGAGCATGCACCACTCTGGCGAGACAGGCTGTGGGCAGGGAGGGTCTCATCCTGCGTACCAGATGGAGATGGTAGACAATGATGCTTATGAAGACCAGTTGCTAGAAACCACAGGAGAGGAGAGGTCTTGTGTTCAAATCCTGCTTGCTGGTTTCCCATAGACATTTGGTTGGCCACTGTGAGAATAGGATGCTGGACCACTGGCCTGATCTATTCTTATGTTTTTACAAAAGCATTCTATATGAAGGAGCCTTAGGATTCCCCTATCACACACAGAGAGCAAATTTGCTGTAATAGAATCCACACCAAGGCATGACTTGTGGTCGCATTAATTTATCCTCTGGCCTCCTGCTTGTGGGAATGTTCAGGGATGCAGGAGAAGGATATATTGTTTGATTATAGCCTTTCCAACTTGTGTTAACAAGTTCACAATTTAGCAGAGTAACATTCCCCATTTTAAACTCACAGCGGATGCATTTGCTCAGGCTCGCTAAAGCCTTTATAATAACTGTTCTGGTTGTTGTTGTTTAGTCGTTCAGTCATGTCCGACTCTTCGTGACTCCATGGACTAGAGCACACCAGGCACTCCTGTCTTCCACTGCCTCCCGCAGTTTGGTCAGACTCATGCTGGTAGTTTTGAGAACACTGTCCAACCATCTCGTCCTCTGTCATCCCCTTCTCCTTGTGCCCTCCATCTTTCCCAACATCAGGGTCTTTTCCAGGGAGTCTTCTCTTCTCATGAGGTGGCCAAAGGATTGGAGCCTCAGCTTCAGGATCTGTTCTTCCAGTGAGCACTCAGGGCTGGTTTCCTTCAGAATGGATAGGTTTGATCTTGCAGTCCATGGGACTCTCAAGAGTCTCCTCCAGCACCACAATCCAAAAGCATCCATTCTTTGGCGATCAGCCTTCTGTATGGTCCAGCTCTCACTTCCATACATCACTACTGAAAAAACTACAGCTTTAACTATACGGGCCTTTGTTGGCAAGGTGATGTCTCTGCTTTTTAAGATGCTGTCTAGGTTTGTCATTGCTTTTTTTCCAAGAAGCAGACATCTTATTCCCTCATAAAAGATAAGACACGACACGGTCTTCTATAAAAGCATAAAAAGGTTTACTCACACATCATTCTGTTCACAGTTGGATCCCAGAAGGCAGACTTAGCTTAGAAAAGTATCATACACCTGGAAACTATCTCATAAAGAGACAGTCCCTTTGTCCTCCCTTGGCTGGAGGCCAAGAGAGTATCTTTGGCTAAGCAGATGTTGCTTCTTCGATGCATGTAGTCAAAGAGAGAGAGATGGTTGCCGTGCCCTGTGCTTTTGTCGCATGTAGAAGTTGTCCCAGCCCAGAAGGAAACAGGAAGTTCACCTGCTGGCTGGGCAAACATTCCTCCCCATGGGTAAACATGTTCACTCTAGGAATGCTGTACTTCACTGCTCTTGTGTTTCACATCCCACACCACTCACAGCTTGTTTCTGTCTTGCCAACTCTGAATCATTGCAGCGATTTCTGGAAGAGCCACAAGCCGTCACTGCAGCAGTTCCTCAGCGACTTCTCCCCGGGGACGTCAATCGCTGTCGCTCTCCACACTGTGCTTCACAAGCCCTTCTGGGAGCACCTCCAGAAGTACAGCCTGGTCTTCTCGCAGCTCAAGGAAGCTCCTGGCCAGGTAACGGATCCCGTACACCTTCCAGTAGGCAGCGTTGCATAGTGATTAGAGCGCTGGGACCTAGGATTCAGGGGACCTGGGTTCGCACCCCCAACTTGGCCCTGAAGCTCACTGGGTGAGCTTGGCTCGGTCACCACCTCTCAGCCTTACCCACCTCACAGAATCAGCGTTGTGGTTTGGGGGATTAATTGAGGAGGGGGAGAACTGGGTCGCATCACCTTGAGCTCCTTGGAGGAAATGCAATAATAAATAAATAAAGGATATATAAAAATAATTTAAAATAAGCTGTTAGACTTGTCTGCGCAGATTATTTTATTTTATTTTGGTGACGTAACCCGAGGTACCACTGTATTTGTAAATAAACTGCCAAATGGTTTACATAACGTACATTTTTTGGACAGAAACCAGAAGTTAAAAACGATGTGGCCTAAGAAAAATCATAATATGAATAATACAAGGAGTTAGAAATAGCAGTAAAAAACTAAATTGTATTTAGCTTATGCATCTGGGGTAGGCTTGCCAAAACAGAAAAGGTTTCAGTATGTGCTGGGAAATAGTATAGTGACGGTGCCTAATGTCAATGGGCAGGGAGTTCCACAGGCTAAAAGATTGATTCCTTGTAAGTGTGGAATGGACATTATGTGTTCAGATAGGTTGCAATTTTATGCATGGAGCTAAAAGTGGAGGACTGGTGGTAGGATGTCTCCTAACAATTCTCAGCATGCTTCCTGAGCTAGATTCCCAAGGATTTTTGTGCGGTAGGAGTTATATGCTACTTTGCAAACAAAACGACAATAATATAATACAATATAATAAAGAAATAACATCCACTTTTCCGGTGGTGTAGATCTGCCTTTTGGTGATTGAAAAAGAAAAAAAAGGAAAGATTTCTGAAGAGCTATGTTGTTGTTGTTTTATCCCCACCTCACAGAACCTGGTTAAAGAAGTGAACGAAGCTGCCGAAGGGTTTGCAAAGCTTCACTTGTTCATTTGCCAAGCTTTGGATGAAGCCAACCTCACCCGGAACCTCTGGAAGTCCCTGGGCCACAAGTTCACGGTGCGTCACAGAGGGGAAACGGTTGGGAGAGGTCTTAGGGCTCCCCTGGAGGGACGCGGGTGGCGCTGTGGGTTAAACTTGCCGATCAGAAGGTCGGCGGTTCGAATCCCCGCGACGGGGTGAGCTCCCGTTGCTCGGTCCCTGCTCCTGCCAACCTAGCAGTTTGAAAGCACGTCAAAGTGCAAGTAGATAAATAGGTACCGCTCTGGCGAGAAGGTAAATGGCGTTTCCGTGCGCTGCTCTGGTTCGCCAGAAGCGGCTTAGTCATGCTGGCCACATGACCCGGAAGCTGTACGCCGGCTCCCTCGGCCAGTAAAGCAAGATGAGCGCTGCAACCCCAGAGTCGGCCATGACTGGACCTAATGGTCAGGGATCCCTTTACCTTTACCTTACTAATATTTATAAATAGCAGAATGTAGGCACCCTATATATATAAATGAGCAAACCAGTGATATTTTAGGGAGCAGGCTAGTAGGTGGCGCCCATGACTTACACCATAGGAGCCTACACAACACACAAACACTGTTGCTGTGTGTAGGTTTTATTTGTTTTGTATCTTATATTTTGGAAATGTACATCCAGTTTTTTCTTACTTTCAATTTTTGGGGGCCCCCAGGAGAGTGGGGCCCTAAGCTATAGCTTGTTTAGCTTATACGCAAATCCGGCACTGCCTTGGCTAAGTGCAGGATCGTAGAATTGGAGAGTTGGAAGGGTCATCCAGCCAAACCCTCTGCAATGAAGGAATATTTTGCCCAACGTGGGGCTTGAACCCTGAGATTAAGAGGATCATGCTATCCCATCAACATGTTTTGATGTTATGTTGAGCTGGACCATTAGTTTTATTTTCATTTTTTAAATAATATTCTTATACATTTAAACCATTTCCCATTTTTACACATCTGAGATTACTCAAATCCCCAGACTTCCCTTAACCCACCCCTGATTTCCAATTTTTCCTATTCTTTCTATTACATCTAATTACGTTTTTCTCATTCATTTTATATTCTTTTTTAACTTTTAAAAAATTATAAGTGTTATAACAATCCTGCTAACATTTTTAAATACCTATGGTATTCTATAATTTCCAAACACTCTTTATTGAATTTTTCCTCATCTTGTTGCCTCATCTTCACTGTCACCTTTGCCGTTTTTGACATAGTCCATCATCTTGGACTATTTTGATTGGGACTTTCTCTTCCTTTCGCTTCTGGGCAAGAAGCATTATTGCGGCTGTCGTCGCATACATAAACAGTCTTTTAAAATCCTTTGTTATTTCATCTCCTATTATTCCTAGTAAAAAAAGCTTCTGGGGTTTTTTTGATTAAAGTTATCTTAAACATTTTTTTCCAATTCCTTATATATCATTTCCCAGAATTCCTTTACTATTTCACATGTCCGCCACTAGTCCTACACTTTTGACATATGACGGGAGTGTCAGGAGCTCGTTCTACACTTGAGTAGGACCCTGGCAGAGACACATTCCCGACTGGCATGTTCTCTCCCTCCTGGTCGATCGTTCGGGAGCTTCAAAAGTTTTCTTCAGCCCGAACATCACAGCGACTGATGCCAACAGACATCGGCACACTTAGGGATCCGCAGAGTCTTCGCAGCTCGCGTAACAGACCTCAGCAACTCAGCATTTTGGCTAATCTACTTTATTTACATATAAACACACACGGAGCACTGCAACATGGCTCCCTCTCTCTCTAGCATCAGACAGCAAAGAGAAAGAACAAAGGACAATAGTCCCACTTCACAGAACACAGTAACACAAACATCCTGTCTCCGTCACTTCTCACTCTGTAGAGTCAAAACATATACCGTCATGTGATAGACAACATTCCCATGACTGCAGCCATGGAGCAGGAATTCTAACAGGGAGGGCGTTCCACAGGGTGGGTGCCACTACCGAGAAGGCCCTCTGCCTGGTTCCCTGAAACTTCTCACAATGAGAGGACCGCCAAAAGGCCCTCAGAGCTGGACCTCCGTGTCCGGGCTCGACGATGGGGGTGGAGACGCTCCTTCAAGTATACTGTGCAATGATGAAATAACTCTGTTCTTCCAGGATGTTCTTTGCGTTCCTGAGAGGAGGCTGCTGGAAGACAGCCGGAATCTTGCCCTCTATCCCAGCACAGGAAGATCTGACCGGGTTCTGCTCTTCAATGACGTCCTTGTGCTGATTCAAGTAAGGAGTCCAGGTGCACTTTGACCTGTGCCAAAAATTGCTGCCGTGTGGAGTGTTCCCCATTCAGGATTCAAGCCGCTCCATCCCATTACCTTCTCCTCCCTCTGTTTTCCCATTCCCTCCCAGTCAGAATTCTGAAGCCACTGGTCATCGCCAGTGTTTTGGTGCCCTCCTTCTCCTTAACGTTGCTTTTCCTAAAGCTTTTTTGCCCTCCTTCAAACCTGAGCGAGATCCTTTCTGCGCTTATGTGGCGCTGTTTCCTCTCTGTAAGGATTCGCACCCGCAACTTGAACGTTGGAAATGGAGGGAACGATGGCCCTAACCCAGGCATGGGGAATCTTTGGGCCTCCAGATGTTCATGAACTACAGCTCCCATCATCCCTGGCCATTGACCATGTTTGTTGGTGCTGATGAGAGTTATAGTTCAGCAACTACTACTCCTTTTTTTTGAAATTTTTTTATTGTTTTTTTCACAAATATTTAAGCACACAAACAGATAAACAAACACATAAACAAATAAACAAACATAAATCGTAGCCTTTTTGAGCCTTAATCTAATTAACATTGTTAAGTGACTTCCTTGTATCCCCATGGTTGGGTTTCAATGGATATCATTTTAACGGTTTTCCAATTCAGTATTCTTATAAAATTTACTTAATCGCTTAACATCTTTCTTTCTAACCAGTTCAGTATTCAACATATTGAATCATCACGTATTGCCTATTTAAATCCTAAGCCTATCTGGTATTTGCAAGTTTCCTCCCCCCCAATTAATTTAACTTAACATATTTAACTAAATAGTTGTTGAATTTTGTCCATTCTTCCTGCTACACCTCCTCCTCCTGGTCACGGACTCTTCCAGTCAGGTCAGCTAGCTCTGAGAATTCCATCATTCTTCCACTGTTGGTACTTACTGCGTTTTATAGTTCAGCAACCTCTACAGGGCCAAAGATCCTTCACAATGGGATTCTTCTTTTGCATTCACCGCGTTCTGCTGTACTGTTTTCAGGGCATCTAGGTGGAATTCCAGTTTCTCACTGAATTGGAAGATCATCTGCTCCAACTCCCTGCAATGCAGGAATCTCAGCTTAAAAGCATCCCTGATAGACAGTCATCCATCTTCTGGTTAAAAACCTCCAAGGAACCTCTCGAGGGAGACCGTTCCACCAATTGTGAGGTTATCTTGAGTATCCAGATGAGCTCCTGGAACAAATCGCCCATGGTTCAACACACACCAGCTTTTCCTCGCATTATTTTTTTTAAAAAAATTTATAAAGCGCCCTTGACGTTGCTGAGGGCGTGTTGAAGAACTGATGCTTTAAATCTCTTTGGCCTTTCGCCTCATCGAGACCAACGCTGTGCAACATTTTGCTCTTGCAGTTCCCCCCCTTATTATTTATTTCTTTATTTATATTTTTGACAAAGGAATAATCATACATAAATAAGAATAAAAATGTGCACCCCGCCACAGAGACCGTTCCACTGTAACTATCCAACCTCCCAAAATTTCAACACCTATTGCGATGGTTTGACCGCTTTCCGTTTTAACAGTATAAATTCCACATCTCCTCAAAATCATTTCTTAATGGCACATGTTGATTTATCATTAGTAGCTATATCCCACACCTCTTTATGCCATTCTTCCATTTTATATACTGCTTGCCCCTTCTGCTTCCTAGCTATCATAATTTGTGCAGCTGTCAATAAATTTGTGGGGGACATGGGTGGCACTGTGGGTTAAACCACAGAGCCTAGGACTTGCCAATCAGAAGGTCGGCGGTTCGAATCCCCGCAACGGGGTGAGCTCCCGTTGCTCGGTCTCTGCTCTTGCCAACCTAGCAGTTCAAAAGTAGATAAATAGGTACCGCTCCAGCGGGAAGGTAAACGGCGTTTCTGTGCGCTGCTCTGGTTCGCCAGAAGCGGCTTAGTCATGCTGGCTACGTGACCCAGAAGCTGTACGCCGGCTCCCTCGGCCAGTAAAGCGAGATGAGTGCCGCAACCCCAGAATCGGTCACGACTGGACCTAATGGTCAGGGGTCCCTTTACCCCCCCCCAATAAATTTGTGAGGAAGTCGTCAATTTCCCCCCACCTCCGCAATGAAAAATATTTCAACATTTTCTTTCTTTTTTATATACATTTTTATTGATTTTTAACATGTCTTTTCCAACAGTCATTTAACATACTTTATTATCTTATACAGTATTTTGGACTTCCATCAACAACTTCTGAAGATTTTCCATTCTTAATCACTTATTCTGCCTTTCTTATTACTTTTAATTATCATTAACTAATAATTATTTTCATAGTCTTCCTTGCAATATTTCACATAGTCCTCCTTACAGAACTTCTTGCAGTCCTACTAGTGTAATCTGTTTTTTACAATTACTTTTCAAATAGTTCAGATATTTACTCCAGTCCTCTAAAAATCTCTGGTCCCGCAGGTTTCGAATCCTTCCTGTTAATTTATCTAATTCTGCATTTCAACGTTTTCTAGGGGAACACCTTCCAGAGTTTTGACCTGAAGCTCACCTGGGTGGACGCGACTTTCAAGGAAACAGGAAAGTAAGTGGACTTCCTCCGTGTTAAGTTGTGGGTGAACATATCAGACGACACAGCGATTCTTCAAACAGCTCATGTTTATTCACAGGCCAGGACAGAACTGAACTGAAGGGTTCAGTCAGCCTGCTTATATAGAGCTCCAGTACAACGCAACTGTAACAACTTTCTGTAACTATCCAATCACTGAACATCGCTTTCAATCCCTTATTTGCATAACTAGCTACAGTATCCCCCTGCTGGCCCAGGGTGAGAACTTCAGTACATAACACCCCAAGCCACAATGGCTCTGCCTTCGTTCTCAGAGGCAGAAATGCTTCCGAATTGCAGTTGCCGGGAATCGCAGGTGAACAGAGTGCTCTCGCACTCGTGTCCAGCTTGCAGGCTTCCCAAAGGCATGTGGTTGGCCGGATTCTGTACTAGGTGGGCCATGGGCCTGATCCAGAAGGCTCTTCTTGTGTTCTGCTGGTGACAAATTGTTTACAGTGGACGCTTGGGTTGTGAATGTGATCCGTGCGGGAGGCACGTTCACAACACTCAGCGCCGCATCTGCGCACGCGCTGGTCACAATTTGGCGCTTCTGCACATGTGCAAAGCGTGATTTAGTGCTTTGCATGCGCAAGTGCCGAAACCCGGAAGTAACATGTTCCGGTACTTCCGGGTTCAGCACTGTGCGCAACCCGAAAACGTGCAACCTGAAGTGTCTGTAACCCGAGGTATGACTGTATTTCCAAACATGTTATTTGATTTAAATCCCATCAATTCAAATCACGACTTAAATCGCAATTTAAATCACTAGTCAGTAAGACTTGATTTAAATAATTTTTTCACAGAAAGACTCATTTTTGCTGGTATAATCTTAATCTTTGCAACCAGATGACGGTTTCATTTTTGAAATAATAGATTTTCAGAGTAGTTTTTACAGTTGTATCAAAAATTACTGTTTTGGTTATACTACTAGAAATACATAGACAGGTAATTGTGAAATTATTGTTTATATTTGGACAACTTTTCTGCTGTACTTTATTGGAAGGAGAAAAAGAATCATTTCCTTAATAACAATTTAAACAATTTATTTAACTAAAACAATAACATTATAACATATGTATCCATGTTTGCCAAACATGGTTAAACAATTAAAAAAAACACACCTTAGACTGAGTTTTAGCACACATGGAAAACTTTAAACAAATCCTTATTTCCTGATGAATAGCCTTTGCACTATAATGTAACTTAAATACAAAGCTTTGGAAAGATTTTTCCTTCCGCTCTCTGTTTTGCTTGCTGTTTCTCAAGGCACACCCTCCGCATCAACACCCCAGAAGGCATGTTCTTCCTCTTGGCCAAAGAACCAGAGTCACGGGTATGTAGCTGTGTGGGACTCGCTGTCCGGGGTAGATGCTGGTGGTTAAAAGTTGGATCTGTCTGGGATGCGAGGGAGAAATTTGGCTCTAAAGGACAACCGACCTAATTTGCACCTAATTACATGAACTGAACGGACGCAGGTGGTGCTGTGGGTTAAACCACAGAGCCTAGGACTTGCCGATCAGAAGGTCGCGGTTCGAATCCCCATGATGGAGTGAGCTCCCGTTGCTTGGTCCCTGCTCCTGCCCACCTAGCAGTTCGAAAACACGTCAAAGTGCAAGTAAATAAATAGGTACCGCTCCGTTGGGAAGGTAAACGGCATTTCCGTGCGCTGCTCTGGTTCGCCAGAAGCGGCTTAGTCATGCTGGCCACACGACCCGGAAGCTGTACGTCGGCTCCCTCAGCCAGTAAAGCTAGATGAGCGCCGCAACCCCAGAGTCGGTCACGACTGGACCTAATGGTCAGGGGTCCCTTTACCTTTTTACATGAACTGAAGCACAATCGTCCTTTGAGATTCACACTTCTCCAAATTTGGCAATGCAGTTCTCCTGCCAAGGAATGTGTACAGAAATGCATGGGATGCGGGTGGCACTATCAGAAGGTCGGTGGTTTGAATCCCCATGACGGGGTGAGCTCTCGTTGCTCAGTCCCTGCTCCTGCCAACCTAGCAGTTCGAAAGCACGTCAAAGTGCAAGTAGGTAAATAGGTCCCACTGCGGCAGAAAGGTAAACAGCGTTTCCATACGCTCTGGTTTCCATCACGGTGTCCTGTTGCGCCAGAAGTGGTTTAGTCATGCTGGCCACATGACCTGGAAAGCTGTCTGCAGACAAACACTGGCTCCCTTGGCCTGAAAGCGAGATGAGCGCTGCAACCCCATAGTTGCCTTTGAATGGACTTCACCGTCCAGGGGTCCTTTACCTTTACAGTGGTACCTCTGGATGTGAATGGGATCTGTTCCGGAGCCCCGTTCACATCCTGAGCAGAACACAACATGAGCGGGTCGCAATTCACTGCTTCCGCGCATGTGCGTGATGTCATTTTGAGCATCTGCACATGCGCGAGCGGCGGAACCTGGAAGTAACCCATTCTGTTACTTCCGGGTTGCTGCGGGAAGCAACCTGAAAAGATTTAACCCGAAGCTACTTTAACCCAAGGTATGACTGTATATCTAGGATGCGGGTGGCGCTGTGGGTTAAACCACAGAGCCTAGGACTTGCAGATCAGAAGGTCAGCGGTTCAAATCCTTGTGACAGGGTGAGCTCCCGTTGCTCGGTCCCTGCTCCTGCCCACCTAGCAGTTGGAAAGCACGTCAAAGTGCAAGTAGATAAATAGGTACTGCTCTGGCAGGAAGGTAAACGGCGTTTCCGTGCGCTGCTCTGGTTTGCCAGAAGTGGCTTAGTCATGCACGCCACATGACCCGGAAGCTGTACGCCGGCTCCCTCGGCCAATAAAGCAAGATGAGTGCCGCAACCCCAGAGTTAGCCACGACTGGACCTAACGGTCAGGGGTCCCTTTACCTTTTACTTTAACACAAGGTATGACTGTATATAACGAGAACGAGGGGTTTGCATTGGCAATTGGGCAAACTTTGGGGTGCGTTTTGACAGGCAAACAGGCCTGGAGCTGCGAAGAGCTGGACGGGCACTTTTGTGCACCTCCCAGCGATGAGTTGATGCACACTTTGCAGCTGAAGCTCCCTCCTCTATCTCTGCTTCCTTGCTTAATCCCCTCATCCTCCCTGCTCTCCTCCTCTTTCCATCCCGCAGGCCGTGTGGCAGTGGAAGCTGAACCAGGCCGTGCGCCAGGCGTTGAGCGGGAAGCGAGACTTCCCTCTGTGGGGCGAGGCCGGCCGAGGGAGAGACCCGCCGGTCTGCCGCTTCTCCAGCTTCACTTTCCGGGAGGAAGGAAGGTTGAAGGGCGCGACCTACGAGGGAGAGTGGCGCCTGAGTAAACCGCATGGCAAGTAAGTCCATAGCCCCCATTTGTGTTCTCTCTCTCTCCCTCCGATCCCCACTTCCACTTTTAACTTGTAAAAAAAGGGTGGAGAGAGAGAAGCCAGCTAAATGGGCGGAATTGGACCTGCGGGCCGATAGTTGCTGACCCTGCTCCAATACACAGAGATTGCTTCCCTGGACTGAGTCAAACCTTGGGCTTTCCTCTGGCCATAATGGGTTTATCTTCTTTACAGGGGGACGCTGACATGGCCAGATGGTCGGAATTATGTCGGGGACTTCCAGGAAGGCATGGAACATGGGTAAGGATGCTCCCGGGCTCACCTGTCAGGTGTGCAAGGGGGAGACCTTTGGTCCACCCTGAATTGCACACCTCGATGGTGTGTAAATGGTACTGCTCTATTTTGCCTTGGTCGGACCCCACCTGGAGCCCTGTGTCCAGTTCTGGGTGCCACAATTTAAGAAGGAGGTTGACAAGCTGGAAGGTGTGCAGAGGAGGGAGATGAAGATTATTGAGGGTCTGGAAACTAAGCAGAACAGTTGAGGGCCATCTGGTTTGCTTGCCCTGGAAAGGAGAGACTGCGAAGAGATAGGATTGACATCTTCAAATATCGAAAGGGCTGTTACATAGAGGATGGAGCAAGCTTGTTTTCTCTGGAGGGTAGGACTCGAAAAAATGGCCTCAAGTTACATGAAAGGAGATTCCAACCAGGGTGGATTTGATTTAAATCAAATTGATTTAAAACACTAGTCAGTAAGACTAATGATTTAAATCATTATTTTTTACATAAAGGTTGAACCTTGCTGGCATCTTCTTAATATTTACAACCAGGTGAAGGTTTCGTTTTTGGAATAATTTTCAGAGTATTTTTTACAGTTTTATCAAACATTACTGATTTGGTTATACTATCAGAAATACATAGATAATTGTGAAATTGGTGTTTATATTTGGACCACTTTTCTGCTGTATTTTATTGGAAGGAGGAAAATAATCACTTCCTTAATAGCAATTTAAACAATTTATTTAACTAAAACAATAACGTTATAGCATATGTATATGTTTGTTAACCAATGTGGTTAAACAATTTAAAAACAAAACTTAGACTGAGTTGTAGCACACATGAAAAACTTAAAAGAAATCCTTATTTCTTGATGAATAGCCTTTGGACTATAATGTAACATAAACAGAAAACTATCTTTAGAAAGATTTTTCCTCCAAAAGCATTTTGTTTTAAAAATCCGATTTAAATCAAAGAAATCTAATTTAAATTTTAAAAAATCTTTGATTTTTATCCACCCGGATTCCAACTAAACATCAGGAAGAACTTTTCTGAGGGTGAGAGCTGTTCAGTGGTGGAACGGTCTCCTTTGAAAGATGGTGGACTCTCCTTCCTTCGAGGTTTTAAAATAGAGGTCGGATGGAAATATCTCAGGGGTTCTTGAGCTGTCATTCCTGTATTGTAGGGGGGTTAGACTAGATGAGCATTGGGGGTCCCTTCCGGCCCCACAGTTCTGTGGTTCTATGATCATCTTGTTCCTGGCTGCAGGTTTGGCATCTGCCTCATCCCTCGCGCCTCCGAGGACCGCTATGACTGCTACAAGTGTCACTGGCGAGAAGGCAAGATGAGCGGTTATGGGATTTGCGAGTGAGTAAGCCTTGCAAAGGTTATGGGGTTCACGGGTGGTGCTGTGGGTTAAACCACAGAGTCTAGGACTTGCCGATCAGAAGGTCGGCGGTTCGAATCCCCTTGACGGGTGAGCTCCTGTTGCTCGGTCCCTGCTCCTGCCAGCCTAGCAGTTGGAAAGCACGTCAAAGTGCAAGTAGATAAATAGGTAATGCTCCGACGGGAAGGTAAACGGCGTTTCCATGCGCTGCTCTGGTTCGCCAGAAGCGGTTTAGTCATGCTGGCCACATGACCCGGAAGCTGTACGCCGGCTCCCTCAGCCAATAAAGCGAGATGAGTGCCACAACCCCAGAGTCGGCCACGACTGGACCTAATGGTCAGGGGTCCCTTTACCCTTTGCCTTTTTTAAGCCTTGCAAAAGAGGTTGTTTCCACCTTCTCCATGCTCACACCTGCAAGTGGATAGGCTGTTTCCAACTTTACAATTCCATGATTTTATACTGCATAATCATCACAATCCTTAAGCATCTTATAGAAACTATATGTGCAAATTCTCAGTGGAATCAAACGTTAAGAACGAGTTGACCCCCTCCCAATTTTTCAAAATAAAACCAGCAGTTTCAAAAATGCACACTATGAATTGAAATTTACGTATTAAAATCCATGTCCCATTTAAATGTCTGGGTAGGCTTGCTTAAGCTTTTAGCAGGCACCAGAAGCAGTTACAACTCTAGAATCAATTGGCGGGGAGTTCCAAAGTTGCCAAATAGCATCCAAAATAGATGTTGCGTGCATTTTTCCCAGGTATGGCGACGAGATGGTCTACAAAGGATATTTCAAGGACAACGTTCGCCAAGGGTTTGGCATCTTGGAGAACGCTTCGGACGCTGAGCAGCCGTTCAAGTACTCCGGGCACTGGGAAAATGACAAGAAACACGGCTATGGCGTCTGGGACGACAAAGAGAGGTAAGTCACCCATTAATTTGGAGCCTTTCTCTTTAAGCCGCCCGCTGTACAGTGGTACCTTGGTTTCAGAACAGCTTATGTTTGTGAACAACTTTGAAATAGAACGCTGCAAACCCGGAAGTAGGTGTTCTGGTTTGTGAACTTTGCCTTGGAACAGGCATAGGCAAACCCCGGGCCTCCAGATGTTTGGGACTACAATTCCCATCATCCCTGACCATTGGTCCTGTTAGCTAGGAATGATGGGAATTGTAGTTCCAAAACATCTGGAGGGCTGGAGTTTGCCCTATGCCTGCCTTGGAAGCGGAACATGTTCCGCTTTCTGTTGAGTGTGTTCCGTTTTTAAATTGAGTCCCTCGCTGCTAATCAGAGGCTTTATGTTGAGACCGTCGGCTGCACCCATGCAACGCAGAGGTGATATTTGGAGCTTTAGTTTTTGCATTTTATTTTATTTTTTGCGTTTTTATTTGTGCAGCTTTTTCATTTTTTTGACTGTGACTTGTTCTTCGTTTTATGGGACTGACGTGTCACTGTGGCTTGTGACTTCGTTTTTGTGGCTCTGGCTTGTGACTTCGTTTTTGTGACTTGTTTTTGTGACTGTGCGGAACCCAGTTCAGCTACTGATTGACTGATTGATTGTGTGACTGAAGAAATAAGCCCCTCATCCAAACAGTGACTATCATCAGTGCACGTAAGAATTGTTTTTAATTTTTTTTTTATCATCTACCAATGCTGTCTTATTTATTTTATAGTACAGTACGTTGAGTATTGCATTTCATTTTCATTGTTTTGAGTGTTACGCTGAGGTCTGTCTGTTTTTGCTATTTATTTTGTGTTTTTGCTTTTGTGGCTCTTTTGTTTTTTGTTTTCGTGGATTGATTGTGTGGCTGCAGTACATTGTTTATTGCTTTCATTTTATGGATCAGTGGTCCTGTTAGAGAGTAAAATTCATGTTAAGTTGCTGTTTTAGGGGTTGTTTTCAAAAGTCTGGAACGGATTAATCCCTTTTGCATTACTTTCTATGGGAAAGCACGCCTTGGTTTTAGAACGCTTTGGTTTTGGAACGGACTAAGTTTGGGAACCAAGGTACCACTGTAATGAGGTCTGCAGAAAGAGAATATGGTCGGAATGATTTATTTGGCTTTCATCCTGATATTATGGCAGTGGCATATCCCGATTCTACAATTCTGTGATTCCTCTCGTTCTATTTCAGAGGGGAGAGGTACATTGGGATGTGGCAGGAAGACCAGAGACATGGACCGGGGCTTGTGCTCATGCAGTCGGGTGTCTGCTATCAGAGAACTTTCCACATGGATAAAATGGTGGTAAGGATCACCGGGAAATAAAATGTTTGAACTCTCATGCAGGCTTGTCAGGTAGCCTTCATCAAGTGCTTTCTTTAAAAAAAATAAAATTCAATTTTATACATTTCGATAATTTTACACTCATTTTGACATTTCAAAACTCGACTTCCTTCCCCCTGTTTCTGCGGTTCCTTAAATTTATTTTTCATAGTTTCTGCATATCCAAATTAGCTTAATTTGCTCATATATTCATCCACTTTAAATATATACTCTTTTATAAAACTGCAGGTTATTACAATAATCCTGCCAATGTTCTTATCTGTTTATAGTTTATTTGTAAATATTCCATTCTTTTATAAAAAAAAGTTTGTTATCTTGATTTCTTATTTTTCTGGTAAGTTTTGCCATTTCTACATATTCCGTAAGTTTTTGTATCCATTCTTCTTTCACTGGGACTTATTCTTCTTTCCATTTTTGCCGCTGTGGTCTCACACATTATTGCCGCTGTGGTCTCACACATGAATAAATTTCTATACAGTTTGGGTGGTTCTGTCCCTATAATTCCCAAAAGGAAAGCTTCTGGTTTTTTTTTTTACAAATGTTAATTTAAACACATTTTCCAATTCATTATATATCATTTCCCAGCAAGCTTTAACCTTACTACAAGACCACCACGTATGATAAAAAGAACCTTCTTTACATTTCCTATACTTACAGTGGTACCTCGGGTTACAGACGCTTCAGGTTACAGACTCCGCTAACCCAGAAATAGTATCTCGGGTTAAGAACTTTGCTTCAGGATGAGAACAGAAATTGTGGCGCGGCGGCAGCAGGAGGCCCCATTAGCTAAAGTGGTACCTCAGGTTAAGAACAGTTTCAGGTTAAGAACGGACCTCTGGAACAAATTAGGTACTTAACCCGAGGTACCACTGCATTTGATTTGGATTTTTGCCAATTTACTCAAGTGCTGTGCCAAAGCAAGTCTTAAAAACATCCCTGCAAGGTGGTCCAGTATCATATTGCAAGGATGGAGGCTGAGAGACAAGGACCTGGGAGAAATTTGAAGCAGCAGAACCTCACTCTTCTCCCTACTTTTTATTTTAAAAAGGGAAGAAAAGTTTCTAGCCCATATGAGTGCAAATAGACGCTTGCAGAGGCGGAGGAGTGTCTGGACTCAAGAGTTCCATCAGAATAACTTCTGCAAAATAAAACCTGTGGGAAAGTCATTTGAGTTGGTCAAGTTTGCACAATGTTGTATGAGTTTCGTAATTCCATCTTCCTTTTTTAAGTATGAACAGTTAGGAGGCATGTTTTGCTAATTTACCTCCCCTTCTCTCCTACGATCTACAGGGACCTGGGACGCTCCTCCTGGAAGACGACTCAATCTTTGTGGGAAACTTCACCAGAGACTTGACATTTGTCGGCAAAGTGAGTTGTGGGCTCAGCTTTTCGATTGCTCTGGGTTTAAAAAGCTGCGAACTGGGCTTGACTGACCACATTTGGGTCGGGAAAGAGTGTGCTGTTTGGAAAATATTCCTAAAGCCATGCTTTTAAGATGCTGGCAGGGCCGGATTTAGATTTGATGTGGCCCTCTGCTACTGAAGGTAATGGAGCCCTTTCGATGTCCAGCTGTCCTTTGTCAACAACAAATTGTTGCTGTTTTTTTGTGCTGAATATATGCTATATGGTAATTTATGGACCTCATAGGTATCTAGAGCCATTTTATTTGTTTTTTATCTTATATTTTGGAAATGTACATCCAGCTGTTTTTTTTTCTTTAATTTTTTGGGGGGCCCCAAGAGAGTGGGGCCCTAAGCTATACTTTGTTTAGCTTATACGTAAATCCGGCACTGCTCTCTGGTCATCATGAGAACCTCGTAACATGAAGAACTTCGTGTTTGCTTCTTTTTCCTTTTCCCTCCTCAACCTTTTCCCCTTTGCTGCTGTGTCACTTCCTTTGGGTATGTAAGCGCCATAGGAGGAACTATGTTGCTCTTGGACATGGGTAGGCAAACTAAGGCCCGAGGGCCGGATCCGGCCCAATTGCCTTCTAAATCCGGCCCACGGACGGTCCGGGAATCAGCATGTTTTTACATGAGTAGAATGTGTCCTTTTCTTTAAAATGCATCTCTGGGTTAATTGTGGGGCATAGGAATTCATTCATCCCCCCCCCAAAGAAAATATAGTCCGGCCCCCAACAAGGTCTGAGGGACAGTGGACCGGCCCCCTGCTGAAAAAATTGCTGACCCCTGTTAGAATTCCTGCTCCATGATTGCAGTCATGGGATTGTTGTCTATCACATGACGGTGTATGTTTTGACTCCACAGAGTGAGAAGTGACGGAGACAGGATGTTTGTGTTACTGTGTTCTGTGAAGTGGGACTATTGTCCTTGTTCTTTTCCTCTTTGCTGTCTGATGCTAGAGAGAGAGGGGGAGCCATGTTGCAGTGCTCTGTGTGTGTTTATATGTAAATAAAGTAGATTAGCCAAAATGCTGAGTTGCTGAGGTCTGTTACGCAACTGCGAAGACTCTGCAGATCCCTAAGTGTGCTAGTGTCGGTTGGCATCGGTTGCTATGATGTTTGGGCTGAAGAAAGCTTTTGAAGCTCCTGAACGAACGACCAGGAGGGAGAGAACATGCCAGTCGGGCATGTGTCTCTGCCAGGGTCCTACTCGAGTGTAGGACGAGCTCTTGACAACCCCTGCTCTTGGACTTACTCTGCCTGGAGAACAGTGGGGGCATTAATGAATATTTGGAGTTGTGTGTAAAGGTAAAGGGACCCCTGACCATTAGGTCCAGTCGCAGACGACTCAGGGGTTGCAGCGCTCATCTCGCTTTACTGGATGAGGGAGCCGGCGTACAGCTTCCAGGTCATGTGGCCAGCATGACTAAGCCACTTCTGGCGAACCAGAGCAGCGCACAGAAACGCCGTTTACCTTCCCGCCGGAGTGGTACCTATTTATCTACTTGCACTCTGGTGTGCTTTCCAACTGCTAGGTTGGCAGGAGCAGGGACCGAGCAACGGGAGCTCACCCTTTCACGGGGATTCGAACCGCCGACCTTTTGATCGGCAAGTCCTAAGCTGTGTGGTTTAACCCGCAGCGCCACCCGCGTCCCGGAGTTGTGTGTACCATGGCCCAATAGGGATGATTTCCCATTCCCTCCGCAAAGCAGGAATCTCAATTTGCCAGAGGAAATGGCATCCGTCGGTTAACCCGCCTGCTCCTTGCCAATGATGCCAGGCTACCTGAAATTCTGCTGCCGCTATACAATCCCAGGGTATGAATGGTTTTGAATGAATGAATGAAAAATTAACCCAGGCTTTTGGGGATGGTTTTCAGGGCAAGCTGACCTTCCCAAACGGATTCACTCTGGAGGGGACGTTCAGCAGCAAATCGACCCATGGGCTGCAAACTCAAGGAATCCTGGACACGTCTGGCGAACAGGATGACACCGCAGAGAAACTGTAAGTGGGAGTCGAGAGTGTGGTTTACTTCTGAAAAAATGTTCTTTCATATGTGGTCGACTTGTAAAAGGGTAAAGGAGTATTGGGAAATAATATTAATAATAATAATAATAATAATAATACAGTGGTACCTCAGGTTACATACGCTTCAGGTTACATACGCTTCAGGTTACAGACTCCGCTAACCCAGAAATAGTGCTTCAGGTTAAGAACTTTGCTTCAGGATGAGAACAGAAATTGTGCTCCGGTGGCGCGGCGGCAGTGGGAGACCCTATTAGCTAAAGTGGTGCTTCAGGTTAAGAACAGTTTCAGGTTAAGTACGGACCTCCGGAACAAATTAAGTACTTAACCTGAGGTACCACTGTAAATAATTTTATTTATACCCCGCCCTCCCCAGCCAAGACTGGGCTCAGGGCGGCTGACACCAGATATAAAACAATTGATTGAAATACAACTTAAAAAACAAAGATTAAAATACAACATTAAAATGCAGCCTCATTTCAGCAGAAACTCAAAAACTTTTTGGGGCATGAAAACGTCAAGTCTTCACCAAGGCTAACTATCCAGACTGGTCCTACGTGGGCCAGAAAATAATTTATAATGAAGTGAAAATAATGTTTAAAAGCACCTTTCCCCCAAAAGCCAGAGTCCTTTTTTTGGGTGGGTGGTGGATAATTCAGATGGAAATTCCCAGGTGTCAAGAAGGGTTATTTATGTATGCCACTACGGCGGCCCGAGGCCAAAAATGGAAAACGAGCGAGGTCCCAACCAAAGAAGAATGGCAATTTAAGCTGACGGAATATGCGCACCTTGCGGGCATAACATATAGAATAAAAGGACAAGAAGAACATGTTTGGAGAAGATTGGACAATGTTTATGGACTATATGGGGGGATTTGTGTACACTTGAAAATGTTGGCAGCTTAGGATAAATTCAACAGTGTAAATAAGTTTTGACGGAAGTAATAATGGAATATTGAATGGTTTCGTTTATGTAAAATCTGCAGGGATTTATGATATGTAAAATGAACCACGGAAAGGGAAGAAGGGAAGTCACTGATATTTTAAGATTGTATAAATGAATATTCTAAATTGTAAAACAGAAAATGTAATAAAAATTATATTTTGATTATTTTGCTAGAGCAGCCCCAGACGTTGAATCGCAGACAGAAAAATTAATAAAAATTATATAGACAGATTGATTAATAAAAAGAGAGTTTGGTTAACCTCTTAAGTACCAGTGCTTTGGCCTAAAGCGGGGGAAACTTTCTTCCTGCATTTCATAGGCTTGTTGAGTCAGGAGGAAACCTCAAGGGTTCTTACTGTTGTTAGCCACGCTGAGCCCGGCTTTGGCTGGGGAGGGCAGGATATAAATAAAACATTATTATTATTATTATTATTATTATTATTATTATTCTCCAGTCCAACCCCCTTCCACACAGGAATTGCAGCGGATCTTGGGCCAGCGGTTCCCTCTTAGCCTAACCTCCCTCACAAGGTTGTTTTTGTGAGGGTGAAAATGGAGGCGAGTGGGAACCATGGTTATTACGGTTATTTCTTGTTTTACCACCATACAAACACGTTTGTGCTTTTGCTGCCCCCTTGAGCTCTTCGGAGGGAAGGCGAGGAATAAATATAATTAAAAGCAGACAACTTAACGTGGGGCTGGAGAAGCGTTGCCTGGAGTGAAGGATCATTTGTGGTGATTTGATCTTAATTTACCGTATTTTTCGCTCCATAGGGCACACCTGACCATAGGGTCACCTAGTTTTCAGAGGGGGAAATCAAGGAAAAAAATATGAATTTTCCCCCACCCAGCTCTGGGAGCAGCAGACAGGCTGCGCGCAGCCTGTGAGCTTCTCCCAGACCTTCTCCCTGCTATTGCAAAGACCAGGACGCGGCGCCTTTCTGCTGTCCCCCGAGCTTGTGGGGCTGGCAGTGGGGGGAAGCGCTGCTTTCCCCCACCGCCAGCCTCAAAGACCAGACTCTCCTGGCTTCAGCGAAAGGAACCTGAAGCCTCCGGAACGCAGCGGGAACTCGCGCTGCGCTCCGAAGGCTTCAGGCGACTGTCCCTGAAGCCTGGAGAGCGAGAGGGGTCAGTGTGCAACGACCCCTCTAGCTCTCCAGGCTTCAGCGAAAGCAACACGAAGCCTCCGGAGCGCGGAGGGAGCGCTCCCTCTGCGCTTTGGAGGCTTCGTGTTGCTACCACTGAAGCTAAGGAGCCTGCATTCGCTCCATAGGACGCACACACATTTCCCCTTAATTTTTGGAGGGGAAAAAGTGCGTCCTATAGAGCGAAAAATACGGTATTTCTTGCATTTACACTACACTTTTCTCTCTCCCCGCAAAGGAGCTTAAAATGGCACACACGACCCTTTCCCTCCTCATTCAGTCCCCACGACAACAGCAACCCTGACAGGGAGACAGGGAGAAGGCGGCGACTGGTCCAAGGTGGAGACTCGAACCCGAGTCTCCCAGGTCCCTAATCCGGCCTTTCACAACCTACGATGCCGTTGGACTATCCTATCACACACACCCCCAGCCAGCTTGGCCAGTGGTCAGGGATGATGGGTCTTGTAGCTCAATAACATCTGAGAGAGGCTGCTCTAACCACTGCACCACGCTTCCTCTCTTGGCTCATTCACATAGGGATGCTGCCTCCGTTACTCTGCAGCCATCAAGGGACGGGGAGGTAGGGGTTTTTGTGAATTTGAATGCATAGCAGGAGGTTGGACTAGATTTAAAATATATATATATATAATATTTTATTTTTTACCAACCACCAAAACACAGTGAACCCCCCCCCAGCTGATACATTGGTTATACAATATTCAATAATATAATATTCAATAATAACATATTCAAATTAACCATATGTACACTTCCATATACCTTAACACTCCTCCTTCCACAAGGTTTATTTAACTATTAACTACCCCAAATTGTTCAAATAATTCAATATCTTCTCAAACCAATCCTCCTCTTTCTTACTGACCTTAAACCCTTTCATTCTGTGTATCTTCACAGTTAGGTATTCTAAAATTATAATATTATTCAGTTTTTCCCTCCATTGGTTCACCCCTAGCTCTTCTGCATTTTCTCAATCACTCACTATAACCTGTCTGGCTGCAATTACCATTCCTCTTTTGTTTTTAATTCGGTAACACGGGGGGTTGGACTAGATGACCCTCGGTGTCCCTTCCGACTCTGTGATTCTTGGAGACCTCGTCTGAGAAACTTTTCTCTCCTTGTTCAGACAACTGGGTCAGGAAGTATTCCCGGTAGAGAAACGATGGGAAGGCCTCTACAGTCCCTTCCTGGAGTTCATCCGCTCAGGCGGTCAAGGGGAAACAGAGGAGGCTTTCATGGGCTTCCACGTTCAGACGAGCAAAGAACTGAGGAAATCCCAGGAGTACCTCTTCTGCCACAGGTGAGGAGAAGGGCTTGGGGCGAAATCTGAACTCAGGTCACATTTGAAATGGGAGCCGAGACCATATAACCCCGGTCCAGACCTACAGTGGCTCCCAGTTCGTTTCCGAGCACAATTCAAAGTGTTGATGCTGACCTTTCAAGCCCTAAATGGTCTCAGCCCAGAATAATAATAAATAAGAATAAGAATAAGAATAATTTGTTTATTTATACCCCACCCATCTGGCTGGGTCTCCCCAGCCACTCTGGGCGGCTTCCAACAAAGTATTAAAATACAATAGTCTGTTAAACACAGGGACGTGGGTGGTGCTGTGGGTTAAACCACAGAGCCTAGGACTTGCCGATCGGAAGGTCAGCGGTTCGAATCCCCGCGACGGGGTGAGCTCCCGTTGCTCGGTCCCTGCTCCTGCCAAACTAGCAGTTCAAAAGCACGTCAAAGTGCAAGTAGATAAATAGGTACCGCTCCGGTGGGAAGGTAAACGGCCTTTCCGTGCGCTGCTCTGGTTCACCAGAAGCGGCTTAGTCATGCTGGCCACATGACCCGGAAGCTGTACGCTGGCTCCCTTGGCTAATAAAGCGAGATGAGCGTCGCAACCCCAGAGTCGGCCACGACTGGACCTAATGGTCAGGGGTCCCTTTACCTTTACCTTTAGTCTGTTAAACATTAAAAGCTTCCCTAAAGAGGGCTGACTTCAGATGTCTTATAGAAGTCTGGTAGTTATTCTTCCCTTTGACATCTGGTGGGAGGGCGTTCCACAGGGCGGGTGCTGCCACCGAGAAGGCCCTCTGCCTGGTTCCCTGTAACGTGGCTTCTCACAGGGAGGGAACCGCCAGAATGCCCTCGGAGCTGGACCTCAGTGTCCAGGCAGAACCTGAAGGAGCTTCTCCACCCCCATTGTTCTGCCCGGACATTGAGGTCCAGCTCCGAGGGCCTTCTGGCGGTTCTCTCCCTGTGAGAAGCCGTTACAGGGAACCAGGCAGAGGGCCTTCTCGGTGGTGGCGCCTGCCCTGTGGAATGTCCTCCCGTCAGATGTCAAGGAAATAAACAACACTCTGACTTGTAGAAGACATCTCAAAGGAGCCCTGTTTAGGGAAGTTTTCAATGTTTGATGTTTGCTGAGTTTTTATCATGTGGGAAGCCACCCAGGGTGGCAGTCAATATAAATGGGAGGGGTATACATCATCATCATCATCATCATCATCATCATTTATTTATTTATTTATTTATTTATAATACCTAATTTCCAGCAAATCCCTCTTTAGGCTACTAGATTCTTATTTATTTAATGTTATTTCTTATTTTCTTGTTTATAAACAGTACAAATTTACTCAGCCAATTTAAATTACCAAATAATAATAATTACACACACACACACCCCTTTTTCTGTGGTTGCTTATGTTACATCTTTTATCACTGCATATCCAATTTAAATCCATTTGTTGTTTATCCTATATATTCAATTTAAATTGTTTCCCGGCTCATTTTTAATTCAATCCTGCCAGTGTTTTAAGCTGTTGGCAATGGTTCTTCAAACAGGCCTTAAATCTTCCCTATTCTTAATTTTTAAAAAGTCTCATCTTGATTTCTTATTTGTCCGGTAACTTTCTCCATTGCTGCATCCTCTGGGCTACTCAATTCTGAAGTCACAAATAGTGATTTACTGCTGATTGTTAACAGCAGCAAAGCAGTGCACTGCACAAAAATGAGAAAATAAAAAAACCCTTCCCGATAATCGATTGGTTAAAGATAAACTAGCAAGCTAAGTTAATGATAAAACTTCTGCTGAGGAGGGAATCTTCCTTGGAATCTTGTTTCTTAGATTGGATATGTGGCTGTAAAATTTTAATCTGAAAAACCAAATAAATAATAAGAATAAATAATTGGAGGCAAATCGTGTTAGGAGACGTTTTGAGTGGTGCTGGACTACTGCGCTCTGTTAATCTTTGTTCTCTCAGAGGAAATGAAGAAGCTCCCAGGAAAGTTGACTACCTTGAAGAACTCATTGAACACCAGGAGAAGGATGACCTGCAAGATTACCTGCACCAGGTAACTTGTTCCACACTGTTTGCATAATAGCTCTGTTGATCAGAGTGTGATCCTGATAACGCCAAGCAAGGCCGTCTTTAGCATATGTGCTCCTGGGGTGCAAAGATCTGCCCAGCGCCCCCAAATTTAGTTTACCCCCCAAATTAACTTTTATTATACCTTATGTCAAAATTGGGGACGCGGGTGGCGCTGTGGTCTAAACCGATTGGAAGGTCGGCGGTTCAAATCCCCGCGACGGGGTGAGCTCCCCTTGTTCGGTCCCAGCTCCTGCCAACCTAGCCTTGAATCTTTTTTTTAAAATTGGTTTTACAATTTTATATTCAACATAATCATCATCAACACAAGAAGATATATATTAATCTTAATATCCCCCACCCACACCCACCCTTGACTTCTCTCAACTTCCTCTTCTGGTTCTTTAAATATTTGCTTCTTCTGCTTATTTTATTTTACCTTAATTCTGAAATCTTTTAACTAAATGTTCTTATATTCTTACCATTTTTATACCAAATCTTTCCAAATGACCTGTTGCACTTTATTTTCCCAGTTATCGCTCCTTAACTTTCACACTTGTTTTCTTAATTGTGTTTGCTCAAACCCTGCTAGTGAGTCCACTTCTTTACAATATTTTTCTATGTACAACATAAACGGTTCCCAATCTTTCTTAAAGTCTCTGTTTTCCTTATCTGTAAGTTTACCAATAAGCTTCTCCGTTTTGGTATATTCCATAAGTTTTGCTTGCCACTCTTCTTTCGTGTCTTTTCATCTTTCCATTTTTGGGCTAGCAAGATCCTAGCCGCTGTTGTAGCATGCATGAAAAACTTCTTCCAGTCTTTTGGCAAGTCCTGTCCTGTAATACCTAACAAAAAGGCTTCTGGGGTTTTTTTTTAACAAACGTCTTAAACATGTTTTTCATTTCATTGTACAGTCATACCTCTTGCTACCTTTGGTTCAGGTTACGTCTTTTCAGGTTGCGTCCCGCGGCGACCCGGAAGTACCAGAAAGGGTTACTTCCGGGTTTCGCCGCTCGCGCATGCGCAGACGCTCAAAGTGATGTCATGTGCATGCGCAGAAGCAGCGAATCGCGACCCGCAGGTGCAGGTTGCATTCTGCTCATGTTGCGAACGGAGCTCCGGAACGGATCCCGTTCGCAACCAGAGGTACCACTGTAAATCAATTCCCAATAGCTGAATCTTGCCTTGAATCTGAAGAGGCTATGTTTTCCCGTCGCTTTCGCAGGCTCTGCAATCTTCTCTGCACCCCCTGGGGAAATTCCTGAAGGCTCTGACGTTGGCGTTCCAAGCCAGCTACTCTGGAATCGGAGCAAATAAGCATCTTCTCAGCATGGCGCAAGAGGAGGTCAAGCATTACGCAAAGAAGATTTGGGAATTCTACCAGTACGTATTTGCACGCTGCGGCGCCCCTCTGGGATGGTCGTTTTTTGCTCCGAGAAACTCAAAGAGGATCCACCTTGCAGGTGACCTCTTTCGTAGCTTACCTTGCAACAAATTTTGCCAGGGGATTCTTTTCAAGGATGTGCTAGTGAAATCCAAACCCCCAGGGCTTTTGTATATGTGGAGAGAGTCTCTTCCTTTAAATTCCTAGGAGTTTATCTCAGTGAAGACCTTACTTGGAAAATTACTACAACCCAGGTGGTTAAGAAAGCCCAACAGAGACTCCATCTCCTCAGAGTATTGTGAAAGAACGATGTCAAACAACATTTGATGATCTCCTTCTACCGGTCCACAATAGAAAGTGTCCTTTCCTACTGCATCACGGTGTGGGACGCTGGTTTGACATCATCTGATAGGAAGTGCCTACAGAGGGTGGTGAATACAGCACAAGATATTATGGGCTGTCCCATGAATCTGCTGAATGAAATAGCGGAAGAACGTTGCCTCAGGAGAGTGAGGAAAATTCTCAGGGATGATTCACACTCCAGCCGGCACCTTCTTGATCTCCTGTCCTCGGGCAGAAGATATAGAAGCAGGATTAGTCGCACCAACAGGGTAAAGAACAGCTTCTATCCCTGGGCTGTTAGGCTGCTGAATGAAAAGATAACAACAGGGCAACTGACTTTCGGGTTGGGTGTGTGTGTGTGTCAGTAAACGAATTAAGACTAAGAGAGCTGAGTGGGGGGATGTGCTCGTGTAATCTCACTGTATACAAGTTGTACAAGTGACAATAAAGTATTTCAGTTTCAATATGCAGATAAGTAATGATGGGGCCCTGGAACATGGTTGCCGTTTAGAGGGAGGGATAATGGTTCCTGTCACAGCCAATGCAGGTGTTTAGCGAAGATAGAAACAGGGTTCAGAAAGTATTGGAATCCTGGGGTTTCGCAGAAGCACAAGAAATCTTTACTAGAATAATTCACAGGAAGCAAATCCAATGAGCATCCTCAGTAGCCAGTAGGTGCTGAGTCTTGGGTGGCAGAGGGAGAGAGTATGAAATGGGGCACCCTTGGGAGAGCCTGGCTGGTGAACTGCAATTCCCAGTATTCTTGGGTGCAAACCAGACCAGACTTTAAAGTTTCTCACGGGTAGCTAATGGTGGGAATGTTGAGGATAGTAGGAGAGGCTATATTGATTAAATATTATCCTTCCTCGCTCACGCTAGTGAGCTAGTGTTGTTGTTTAGTCGTTTAGTCGTGTCCGACTCTTCGTGACCCCATGGACTAGAGCACGCCAGGCCCTCCTGTCTTCCACTGCCTCCCGCAGTTTGGTCAAACTCATGCTGGTAGCTTCGAGAACACTATCCAACCATCTCGTCCTCTGTCATCCCCTTCTCCTTGTGCCCTCCATCTTTCCCAACATCAGGGTCTTTTCCAGGGAGTCTTCTCTTCTCATGAGGTGACCAAAGTATTGGAGCCTCAGCTTCAGGATCTGTCCTTGCAGTGAGCACTCAGGGCTGATTTCCTTAAGAATGGAGAGGTTTGATCTTCTTGCAGTCCATGGGACTCTCAAGAGTCTCCTCCAGCACCATAATTCAAAAGCATCAATTCTTTGGCGATCAGCCTTCCTTATGGTCCAGCTCTCACTTCCATACATCACTACTGGGGAAACCATAGCTTTAACTATACGGACCTTTGTTGGCAAGGTGATGTCTCTGCTTTTTAAGATGCTGTCTAGGTTTGTCATTGCTTTTCTCCCAAGAAGCAGGCGTCTCTTAATTTCGTGGCTGCTGTCACCATCTGCAGTGATCATGGAGCCCAAGAAAGTAAAATCTCTCACTGCCTCCATTTCTTCCCCTTCTATTTGCCAGGAGGTGATGGGACCAGTGGCCATGATCTTCGTTTTTTTTGATGTTGAGCTTCTGACCATATTTTGCGCTCTCCTCTTTCACCCTCAATAAAAGGTTCTTTAATTCCTCCTCACTTTCTGCCATCAAGGTTGTGTCATCTGCATATCTGAGGTTGTTGATATTTTTTCTGGCAATCTTAATTCCAGCTAGGGAAGTAAGCTAGTAGCAAAGCACATTCCCTTGTACATAGCAGGAAGCTAGCGGATAGATTTGTTAGAACCATTTGAGTTCAGCAATCCTGTCTGGCTTGTGAGCACCCACTGATTTTAAGTGGCCCTAACTTCCTTTTATTTGCTGTTTTTGCCATTCAGGGGCTTGCTGCGTCTTGCGTTGGAGGTCAAAGGTCAACCGTCTGCTGGAGGCATGGAGGAGAGGTAGTGGCACGAGATGGTTTTCTTGCTTCTTGAATGCAGGAAGCTGCTTCACACTGATTCAGATCCTTGGTCCAGCTAGTTCAGTATTGTCGACACTGGCTGGCAGCAGCTCGCCAGGTTTTTCAGCCCTACTTGGATGCCCTTGAGGATACCCTTGAGCATGCCCTACCCTTGACCCACAACCCTTATAATATGGGCATAGCCCCTGCCCTCCCAATTAATTATCACCATTGTGGGTTACATCCTAGTCCTATTTTAAAGTGCATTGCAATCTATTTATTTATTTGCAATTAGATTCTACTTTGGGGAGCCGGGTGGCACTGTGGTCTAAACCACTGAGCCTCTTGGGCTTGCCGATCAGAAGATCGGCGGTTCAAATCCCCGCAATGGGGTGAGCTCCCGTTGCTCGGTCCCAGCTCCTGCCAACCTAGCAGTTCGAAAGCACGTCAAAGTGCAAGTAGATAAATAGGTACCGCTCCGGCGGGAAGGTAAACGTCGTTTCCGTGCGGTGCTCTGGTTTGCCAAAAGCGGCTTAGTCATGCTGGCCACACGACCCAGAAAAACACTCTGCGGACAAACATTGGTTCCCTCGGCCTGTTAAGCGAGATGAGCGCCACACCCCAGAGTCGTTTGCGACTGGAATTAACTGTCAGGGGTTCTTTACCTTTTTAGATTCTACTTTATTTTCCTTCTAGAGCTCCATCAAAGCCCACGGTGTGCTTAGCAACAGGGGATTCTGATCAAAAACAGGTCCCTGCCCCTATGATCCTACAAGAAAAGACCCTCTCCAACTAACCTACCCTCAATGGTTGGCTCCATTCTGACCCAGCTACTTGATTAGAATGCATTAATCCAATTTGAGGTTTCGTTTTCAATCAAGCGGTGTCTAAATTTTACAAAATAGACACTCTGCATTTTTTTAAAAAAAATCCTTTTTACGCTGCTCTGTTTCCCAAGGCCGGTTTGCGAAAAGCAAGCACCAAGCACAAGGTCCTCTGTGAATAATAATAAATAATAATAATAATAATTTTTTACTTATACCCCACCCATCCGGCTGGGTTTCCCCAGCCACTCTGGGCGGCTTTCAACAGAGTGTTAAAATACAGTAGTCTGTTAAACATTAAAAGCTTCCCTAAAGAGGGCTGCCTTCAGATGTCTTCTAAAAGTCTGGTAGTTGTTCTTCTCCTTGACATCTGGTGGGAGGGCGTTCCACAGGGCGGGGGCCACCACCGAGAAGGCCCTCTGCCTGGTTCCCTGTAACTTGGCTTCTCGCAGGGAGGGAACCGCCAGAAGGCCCTCAGCGCTGGACCTCAGTGTCCGGGCAGAACAATGGAGGTGGAGACGCTCCTTCAGGTATACTGGACCGAGGCCGTTTAGGGCTTTCAAGGTCAGCACCAACACTTTGAATTGTGCTCAGAAATGTACTGGGAGCCAGTGTAGGTCTTTCAAGACCGCTGTTATGTGGTCTCAGCAGCCGCTCCCAGTCACCAGTCTAGCTGCCACAATCTGGATTGCAGCCCTTTGTACAAACTTCCCTTTCCGCTTCCTCTGCCTCAGTGACCTCAACGGACCGGCCCTCGTTCTGCCCCTCATCCTGCCGTGTTTCTACCCAGAACTCTCGATGCTCTACATGCTTTACCACCAGAAAGAGGATGACCTGTATTGCCAAGGGATTGTGGATCTGAGCCTGTTTCCTGACGTTAAGCTGCTTGAATTCCTGGAGGTCCAAAAGTGAGTGGTTGTGGATGCTGTAGAAATTCTCTCCCTCCCATTCTATATCCTGCATGCAAAGCAGATGTTCTACCATTGAGCTAAAGCCCTTTCCCGTCATATCTTTGGTCATGCAGTCTAGCTCAGTATTGTCCACCCATTGAAATTATTATTACAGTGGTACCTCGGGTTAAGTACTTAATTCGTTCCGGAGGTCCAATCTTAACCTGAAACTGTTCTTAACCTGAAGCACCACTTTAACTAATGGGGCCTCCAGCTGCCACCGCGCCGCCGGAGCACGATTTCTGCTCTCATCCTGAAGCAAAGTTCTTAACCTGAAGCACTATTTCTGGGTTAGCGGAGTCTGTAACCTGAAGCGTATGTAACCTGAAGCGTATGTAACCTGAGGTGGCCAGCTGTTTTTCTTCCTTTCTGATAACCTACAGTGGTACCTTGGTTCTCAAACTTAATCCGTTCCGGAAGTCCGTTCCAAAACCAAAGCGTTCCAAAACCAAGGCGCGCTTTCCCATAGAAAATAATGCAAAAGGGATTAATCCGTTCCAGACTTTTAAAAGCAAACCCTAAAACAGCAGTTTAACATGAATTCTACTATCTAACGAGACCATGGATCCATAAAATGAAAGCAATACACAATGTGCTGCGGTCACCCAGTCAATCCATCAGTAGCTGAGCTGGGTTCCACACAGTCACATTTTTTTTAAAAAAAAGAGCCGCACAAACGAAAATGCAAAATACTGTAAATAGCAAAAACAGACAGACCTCAGCGTCACACTCAAATCAGAAGCGTAACACTCAAAACGGAGCACGTTTGGCTTCTGAAAAGGTTTGTAAACCGGAACACATACTTCCTGGTTTCCAGTGTTTGGGTTCCAAGTTGTTTGAGTACCAAGGCGTTTGAGAACCAAGGTGCCACTGTATTGTTATTCAATTGGAGCGCTCGCAGGCCAGTGTTTCCCAATTGTTGGTGTTTAAATTTGCCTTGAGACAGTCTTGAAACCTCTTTTGTTGACCACCAGCATTACGCTTTCCATTTTTAAGTTGGGAATAGAGTAGTTGCTTTGGAAGACGATACTCAGTCATCTGCACAACATGACCAGTCCAACGAAGTTGTTGTTGAAGAATGCGCATCTGCGGCTGGAAGCAGCATTGCTTTTGAGTCCCAGTTGTTGGAAACTGCGAGAGAGGAGTTCTTATGCTCAGGGTTACCCATAAGGCATCTAGCTGGCCACTGTGAAAACAGGATTCTGGACTAGATGGGCTATTGGCTCATACCAAAAGGCTTGTGTTTCGTTCTTATCCTGTTTCCCACAATGCCTTTGGGAAGCCCACAAGCAAGCCTTGCTGCTCCAGACGCAAACCCCTCTTCCACCCTTTGACCCCAGCCTCTTCTCATTTCAGATATTTGTGGCCCCTCAAAGATCTGACGCTCACAAGTAACCAGGTAAGTCTACTCTCAGTTCTCTTCTGGTTTGCGTATGCAGTAAACTGGGACTGGACCGCTGCAGATGACAGCGAGAGAATGCCTTGAAAAAATGTAGAAACAGATCCCTCGTGTAAAACTCATTTGAGTAGCACAGGCGTGGCTCAATGGAGAGGGAGCTGCCTTGCAGGGAAAAGGAACCAGGGTCAATTCTGTGGTCACACACACACATATACAGTGGTACCTTGGTTCTCAAACTTAATCCATTCCAGAAGTCCATTCCGAAACCAAAGCGTCCCAGAACCAAGGCGAGCTTTCCCATAGAAAGTAGTGCAAAATGGATTAATCCGTTCCAGACTTTTAAAAACAACCCCTAAAACAGCAAACCCAACCAGATGGACGGGGTACAAATAATAAATCAATTATTATTGTTGTTATTATCATCATCATCATCATCAGTGCTTTTTTTCTGGGGGGACGCGGGGGGGCTCATACCCCTAAACATTTTGTGAATCTACGTTTGGCTTCATTGAGGGGCAGTTTTTCAATATGAGTAGGAAAATGAGAGTACCCCTAAAAAATTTTTTAGAAAAAAGCTCTGGTTGCTGTTGTTATTGACAAATTCAGTGATATTTGGAATTCAATTCTGTGGTTTCTTGAGCTGCAGCCAGTTAATATAGATAACTTAGAGGGTCTGGTGGTACAAAGGAGCTTTCCAATTTCCTTGTAATACACATCTTTTGCACGTAGTACAGGGACAGGCAAACTCGGCCCTCCAGATGTTTTGAGACTACAACTCCCATCATCCCTGACCACTGGTCCTGTTAGCTAGGGGTGATGGGAGTTGTAGTCCCAAAACACCTGGAGGGCCGAGTTTGCCTATGCCTGACGTAGAAGGTCCCAAGCTCAGTCCTCAATGGCATCTCTGGGCAGGGCAGGGAGACATTCTGTCTGAAGCAATACTGAGCTAGTGGACCAATGGTCTGGGCTCAGCATAAGGAAGCTTCCTCACTTCCAAGCGTGGGAAGGGACCACAGCTCTGGAGCAGAACATCTGCTTTTCAAGCACAAGGTCCCAGGTGCAAGTGGATAATAAATAAATGGGAACAACAATAATTCTATATATATGTATGTGTGTGTGTATTTTAGAGACGATCACTGGTCAAAGACCGCTGCTTTCTTTCTGCTACTGAATGTCTACAGAAGCTGATGTAAGTTGCCACCCATTTATTTTTTAAGTGGAGAAACAGTTAACAGCAGAAATTTGTTTTCTTTTTTCCTCTTTTTTTCCCTTGACATTTTCTTTCTTCCATTCTCTGACAAAGTAATAATCATAAATGAATAGGAATAAAAATGTGTGCCCCATCACCGAGACCATTTTATTGTAACTATCCAACCTCCCAAAATTTCAGAACCTCTTGCGATGGTTTGACCCCTTTTCGTTTTAACAGCACACATTCTGCAAACCCCCTCTATATCGCTTCAAAATCATTTCTCCTGCATATTCCCCGTCTTACTGTAATGGCACATGTTAATTTAACGTCAAGAGCGATATCTCACACCTCTTTATACCATTCTTCCATTTTATATTCTGCTTGCCCCTTCCACTTCCTAGCTATCATAATTTGTGCAGCTGTCAATAAATTTGTGAGCAAGTCCTTCATAGCCTGCAAACCTTCCACCCCATCATCATAAATTGATAATAATGGTGGTGGTTGTTTAGTTGTTTAGTCGTGTCCGACTCTTCATGACCCCATGGACCAGAGCAGGCCAGGCACTCCTGTCTTCCACTGCCTCCCGCAGTTTGGTCAAACTCATGCTGGTAGGTTCGAGAACACTGTCCAACCATCTCGTCTTCTGTCGCCCCCTTCTCCTTGTGCCCTCCATCTTTCCCAGCATCAGGGTCTTTTCCAGGGAGTCTTCCCTTCTCATGAGGTGGCCAAAGTATTGGAGCCCCAGCTTCAGGATCTGTCCTCCCAGTGAGCACTCAGGGCTGATTTCCTTCAGAATGGAGAGGTTTGATCTTCTTGCAGTCCATGGGACTCTCCAGAGTCTCCTCCAGCACCAGAATTCAAAAGCATCCATTCTTCGGCAATCAGCCTTCTTTATGGTCCAGCTCTCACTTCCATACATCACTACTGGGAAAACCAGAGCTTTAACTATACGGACCTTTGTTGGCAAGGTGATGTCTCTGCTTTTTAAGATGCTGTCCAGGTTTGTTATTGCTTTTCTCCCAAGAAGCAGGCGTCTTTTAATTTCGTGACTGCAATAATAATAATGGTACCTCTGGACTTTTGGTCAGCTTTAACCAATTTTATTTTTATTTTTCCTCCTTCCATGGTGTTGGAGGCAGCTTGCATGTTCTGCACCTCCTTATTCTCACAACAACCCTGTGAGATGGGTTCGATTGAGAAATAGTAACTTCCTATGAGCCTAGGTGGGCCATGAACTTTGGTCTGACTCTCTTAACTCAGCCACCCCCAACCCTATTGCCCTCCAGCCTGGCCAGCATTACTGTGGGTTGACAGAGGTTCCCCATTCCTCCATAGGGACTAGCAACTTGCTCATTCACCAAAAGGAAAGCAGAGATTCCCAAGGCACTGGATCATAGGCCCTATCCAAATCGAGGAGGACTAAGGCCACACTCGCCTCCCCAAGGATTTTCATATGCTTTCTGGTTTGAGTGTTTTAGGGCTTACGTTGATGCTCACCAGGTCTTCCCCTTTTTGCAGCACTACTGTTGACCCGCGGGAAAAACTGGACATCCTCCAAAAGACATACGAGGAAATTGAGAAGACAGTGAACCGGGTGCTGGAGAAGGAATATAGCCTGCCAATGGACGACCTCTTGCCACTGCTGATGTATGTTGTGACGAGGGCAAGGTAAGGAAAACAGGTCTCCTTCTTGCTCATCCTTTCCAATGTGGTTGGATCAGGTCCTCAGGAGGGTCCATTTCCGTGTCTGCAGATTGGAGTATAAATAGCTCCGGAACTGTTCCGTTGTTGCTGGTTTGTTTTGGAGCTTAGCATCATAAATTTCTTCTGGTTTTTCCCAGCTGGGGGTGGGGGTGTTATAAGAAAAAAACTGCTCCTTTTCCCTTATGGGGTACCCAAGAGCCCATATAGAGTCCTTATGTAGGTTCTCTATTGGTAAGAGAAAAATAACAGAGGCCAACCAGAGAATATTGAGAAGCAAAGCAGCTAGTAAGCCTGATATTTAATAATAATAATAATAATAATAATAATAATAATAATAATAATTTATTATTTGTACCCCGCCCATCTGGCTGGGTTTCCCCAGCCACTCTGGGCGGCTTCCATAGAAACCAAAAATACAGTAAAATATCACAGATTAAAAACTTCCCTGAACAGGGCTGCCTTAAGATATCTTCTAAATGTCAGGTAGTTGTTTATCGCTTTGACATCTGATGGGAGGGCGTTCCACAGGGCGGGCGCCACTACCGAGAAGGCCCTCTGCCTGGTTCCCTGTAGTTTTGCTTCTCGCAATGAGGGAACCGCCAGAAGGCTCTCGGCGCTGGACCTCAGCGTCCGGGCAGAACAATGAGGGTGGAGACGCTCCTTCAGGTATACTGGACCGAGGCCGTTTAGGGCTTTAAAGGTCAACACCAGCACTTTGAATTGTGCTCGGAAATGTACTAATCTGTTGCAATAGGGTGCTCACCCCCCCCCACTGCCCCTAAGGCAGGAGGAAGGGATCCAGAACATTGGTGTGCAAGCTCTTATATAGACTTTTGAAATTGCCTCCCCTGTAGCTCAAGAGGATGGATGGCGGCTAACAGATTGAGATTGAATCCAGACAAGACAGAAGTACTGTTAATGGGGAGACAGGGGGGAAGGTGTGGGGGACTCCCTGGTCCTGAATGGGGTAATTGTGCTCCTGAAGAACCAGGTATGCAGCCTGGGAGTCATTTTGGACTCACAGCCTTCCATGGAGGCACAGGTCAGTTCTGTGTCCAGGCCAGCTGTTTACCAGCTCCATCTGGTATGCAGGCTAAGACCCTACCTGCCCAGAGACTGTCTCGCCAGAGTGGTGCATGCTGTAGTTATTTCCCGCTTGGACTACTGCAATGCACTCCATGTGGGGCTACCTTTGAAGGTGACCCGGAAACTACAACTAATCCAGAATGCGGCAGCCAGACTGGTGACTGGGAGCGGCCGCCAAGACCATATAACACTGGTCTTGAAAGACCTACATAGGCTCCCAGTACGTTTCCGAGCACAATTCAAAGGGTTGGTGCTGACCTTTAAAGCCCTAAACGGCCTCAGTCCTGTATACCTGAAGGAGCATCTCCACCCCAATCGTTCAGTGCTGAGGGCCTTCTGGCGGTTCCTTCCTTGCAAGAAATGAGGTTACAGGGAACCAGGCACAGGGTTTTCTCGGTGGTGGCACCCACCCTGTGGAACGCCCTCCCACCAGATGTCAATGAGAACAACAACTACCAGACTTTTAGAAGGCATCTGAAGGCAGCCCTGTTTAGGGAAGCTTTTAATGTTTGATGCATTACTGTATTTTAATATTTTGTTGGAAGCCGCCCAGAGTGGCTGGGGAAACCCAGCCAGATGGGCGGGGTATAAATAATAAATTATTGTTGTTATTATTATTATTATTACTACACTGGTCAACAACAAATTTGTTGTCTGCGTTTTTTCAGCTGATTTAGGACAAATCTGATGTGCTGAATCCAAAAATCACATTGGTTTTGCTCAATCAGGTCAAGTTTTTGAGCTATGGCCACATGTCATTTTTTTACGTTTTTGTTCACATGTACGCTTGTGTGGAGCATTTTAGAAGAAGTTGGTGGGGGTAAAATGCCATGTCGAACAATTGTTTTGATTGGAAATGATTATTTTAATGACAAGAAGTATTCAGGTCCGATAGTTCTGGGTGATTATGTCGAAAAGGGATCAGTTTGAAGTCATAAAACCTCGAAATCTTCCATAAATTGGTGCGGCAAAGCATAAAGTTGGGGGATCAAAACCCCTGGCTCACTCGAGTACACTGAAGGAGAACTATGAAGGGGTGAAGTATGTGCTGGAGAAAATTGGTTATGATCAGCATAAGTGGTTTATTTGTGTTGACCTGAAGATGGTGAACTTTTTGTTGGGACAACAGTCTGGCTTCACCAAGTACCCATGTTTTCTGTGCATGTGGGATAGTAGGGACCGTGCTCAGCATTACACGAAGAAGGACTGGCCTGTGCGGGAGGAATTGGTGCCTTGCAGAAAAAGGAACGTCATCAACGACCCTCTGGTGGACAGAGACAGAATACTCTTCCCACTGCTGCACATCAAGCTCGGCTTAATCAAGCAGTTCACCAAGGCTCTGGACAAGGATGGTGACTGCTTCACTTACTTGTGCCAGGCTTTTCCAGGATTGACCATGGAGAAGTTGAAAGCTGGCATCTTTGACGGACCTCAGATCCGTCAGCTCATCAGAGATCCAGAGTTCGGAAACTCAATGAACGAAGTGGAACTGGAAGCGTGGAAGGCATTTGTTCTGGTAGTGAAGAACTTTCTTGGCAACAATAAGGCAGACAACTACGCAGAACTTGTCAACAACATGCTGACTGCTTTCAGAAACCTGGGCTGCAACATGAGCATCAAGATGCACTACCTATTTTCACATATGGACCAGTTTCCGGAGAACCTGGGTTCAATGAGTGACGAGCAGGGGGAGAGATTCCATCAGGACATGAAAGAGATGGAGACCAGGTATCAGGGTCGCTGGGACGCAGTCATGATGGCTGACTACTGCTGGACTCTGAAGAGAGACCTCCCTGCTGCTGAGCGTTCCAGGAGTTCCAAGAAATGGAAGTTCAAGCCCTGGAGTTTGAAAAATGGTGAAACAACATGCAATTTACGTGTACTTACCTTTATCAATGCCCACCATTCAGTTTACAGTAAACCTGACCTGATGGAGAGAAACGGATGCCATTTCCTGATTCAGCAATGCAAAAATACCCTAAATCAGTTGTAGAAATCTAGACAACATTCAAAAAGTAAAAAATTGTTGCCCAGTATTATTATTATTATTATTATTCTGTACCCGCTGGAGTTTCTGGGTCAGCTTCAAGGGCAGCCCTGCATAGAGCGAGCTACAATAATCAATAATCATGGTTAAAACACACCCCTCCCCTCAAGAACTCTGGGAACTGTAACGTATCATTCAGAGCTACTAATCTGACACTATTAACAAAGTACAGTTTCTATTATTATTATTATTATTATTATTATTATTATTATTTGGGGGCAGGGTCCTTTAAAAGTATGGTTTGTACCCGCAAAGCATTTTCCTGATTTGTTTCTTAGTAAGTGGGGCTTGCATGTGGTACCTTTTAAATTTGGCAGCAAATGCAAGCCCTTCTGGGATTGGTTACAAGAGCTGCCAAGTGGAGCTGGTTCTTGCTTAAAAGCGGGGCTTCCCGTCTCAGCACTAACCAGTGCTGACGGCAAGTCCCACTGAGATCTGCTTGCAAGTTCCCAGCTCGCAGGTGCGCAGTCGATCCCTGTTCAAAGTGGGCTTTCAGTTGATCAGATTTCAAGATGTGCTTAAAGTGCAGAGAACTGAGTTCAAGTCAGGCTACAAAGCGTGCTAACAGTTTGAAGCTGCACATTCAAAGGAAGAATGAGAGAAAGGAAAAACAACAACTTCAGAGCTAACTTAGACTGCGCTCAAGTTTCTTTTGAACTTGGGTCACCTGATGTCCTGGTGACATCAGGTGATTGACAGGAAAGTGGCCCCATCCACTATCCAAGTGGCGCACAAGTACTGCTGTTGCTCAGGATTTGGCCTGCTGACTGGAGTCTGTATACACACACAAAGACCCTTACCAAGAATCCCTTCAATGCAGCTGTTTTCTCTGGCGTAAGTGTCATACCCCTGAATTTATGCTGACTATACGCAACCAAAAGAGGCTGTTAAGGAGCATCTCCACCCCCATCATTCTGCCCGGACGCTGAGGTCCAGCGCCGAGGGCCTTCTGGCGGTTCCCTCATTGCGAGAAGCAAAGCTACAGGGAACCAGGCAGAGGGCCTTCTCGGTAGTGGCGCCCGCCCTGTGGAATGCCCTCCCATCAGATGTCAAAGCGATAAATAACTACCTGACATTTAGAAGGCATCTTAAGGCAGCCCTGTTCAGGGAAGCTTTTAATCTGTGATATTTTACTGTATTTTTGGTTTCTATGGAAGCCGCCCAGAGTGGCTGGGGAAACCCAGCCAGATGGGCGGGGTACAAATAATAAATTATTATTATTATTATTATTATTATTATTATTATTAAGGCAAGCTATATATACCTGCTAGAATTAAACCAAGATAATGGGTTTGAACTCCACTACAGGTATGGCACTGTGGGTTAAACCACAGAGCCTAGGACTTGCCAATCAGAAGGTCGGTGGTTCAAATCCCCGCTACGGGGTGAGGTCCCTGCTCCTGCCAACCTAGCATTTCGAAAGCACGTCAAAGTGCAAGTAGATAAATAGGTACCGCTCCGATGGGAAGGTAAACGGCGTTTCCGTGTGCTGCTCTGGTTCACCAGAAGCGGCTTAGTCCTGCTGGCCACATGACCCGGAAGCTGTATGCCAACTCCCTTGGCCAATAAAGCGAGATGAGCGCCGCAACCCGAGTCAGTCACTACTGGACGTAATGGTCAGGGGTACCTTTACCCTTTTTTACAGGTATTAATTAGGTTAACAATGCTGGGATGTTTTATCCTTGGCACATTTAACCTAATTAACAGTCTGCTTTTTGATGTTGTTTTTAGGGGGTGAGGTTGGCTTTGACCTCACTAACTAATACTTTCTGCCTGCATCTATACCACTGTACAGTATGTACAAATGAGGACGATGCCTTTATACATCTGACAAAATGGACTCTGGCCCATGAAAGCTTTAAGAAGTCTTTAAGATGTCATAAGACTTCACTGTTCTAACAGAATAATCTTGCCTTCCCCTCCACAATCCAGTATACAACATTTAGGAGCAGAAATCCACCTGATCAGAGATCTGATGGATCCGACAAATGAAGGAGGCATGTACGACTTCCTGCTGACAGCACTCGAGGTAAGGACAAAAATTAGACTGTGACGGTGGATAAAACAGTCGAATTAGATTGATGGAAAATAGATAACATTATTTCCTAAACTGGCCACCCAGGGGCTTCCACTAGTGAAACATGAATGCAATGGTCCACTCCTATAATTGCTAGAATCATAGAATACATCTAGTCCAATTTTTTGCTGATTCTGGGGCTCAAACCCATGACCTTCAGATTAAGTCCCTTGTTCTGCCAACTGAGCTACCCCAGAGAGCAGGCAGGCGTTCAGAGAAGTATACCACAGAACCAAGAGAGGTTTCATAGCACTGAGAGTATCTGCTATGGGTGCCACGAAAGATTTCTGGTGTATCTAGGATGATCTTAATCTTACAAATGAGTGCCAGTCTCCATCACAAGGTTTCTCTTCTTTCTTCCCATCTCCAGTCGTGTTATAAATTCATCCAGAAGGAAATAAGACTCCGCCCAAGTTGGCAGGTCCTACACAATTCCTGAGAGTTGCACAGCAGCATTCATTGTCCTAACAAAGGATACTGAAAAGAGAAGGAACTTGAAATTGTCGCTGCTGGGTTTTCCATTTTTTGGTCTTTCCTATGGGAAGGATGTTTGGTTTTTAAGACAAAATTTCTTTGAAATTGACATTTGAAAAAGAATGGTTCTTTGACATTGATGAGAAGGCTGCAGACAGAAGGAAGTCAACTTGATTCCAGGTGCAATACTCCCGTTCCTTGTGTCTCATCCTCATGCAAAAAGCAACTTTCTATTCCTGGACCAGAGGACTTCTCATTTTGGAGGCAAGAGGTTAATTCTGGTCCTGCTGGGGCCAGAAACAAAGCTGTTTTGAAGGTCACCAAAACCAGGAATTTGCCAGAACCAATCTTGTTTGGGCCAGTGCAATTTTTTAACCACGCGCTTTAACCTTTCATGTCAAATTACCTCCGTTTATTATTTCCTTGTTTATGATTCATGGAGCATCTTGCAGAAGACAGTCTTGTGTACTGCTAAAACATCCCGGTAGAATGTATACTGGAGGTTATTTTAGTTAATGCATTGCTTGTGGTGCGATCACTTTATTTGGGCTTTGCAAAATTTTGGCAAGCCACACTGAAATTGAAATATTTGAAGTCTTACTTGTTTCAGCAACGGTCTACTGGTAATCCAAACGCTCCGGTGAGCTGTCAGTGATCTCTGGATCACCATTAGTACAATAATGGCAATTCAAGCTCACTCAACCAGGAGTTCAGATGACCAATGCAACCCAGCTGGTCAGTCCAGCTCCTACCATACCATTTGGACTGTGATGATGCCCTTGAATTTGCAAAGACTCTCCTCTCTGCCTTTCTCCCATCAAAAGCAAACAGCATATCCAATACCAGGGCAGAAAATGTTCCACCGCACATTCCATTTATTCAAAGCTGCAACTTACCTTTTAACCGATTACCCCTTTTCCAATGTAAAGGGAAGATCATTTCAAGGATTGATTTCCGCAACCAGTTATCCACTGGAAAATGCAGCTCAAAGTGTAGCATTTTGCAAGTTACAACAACGGAGAGCTGTAGTTACACACATACACACTGCCTGTATTTCGCATGCAAGGGAGAGTGAACATGCACCGCCCAATTTTTCCAGTGACATCACTGCTTCTTTTATTTGGGTTTTGTGCTCAGACACACAAATAGAACATGACTTCCGGAATCTACATCTGGACTGGCAAATCTATGGCCCTCAGTGTTGTTGGAGGGATCTGGAGGGCCGCAGGTTCACACGCCCTGACCTCCACAGAGGCAGGTTAAACTCTTGACCTAATCCTTCGATGGGACTACAAGGTGTCGGCAGTCATAGTACAGGATTTTGGAGGTTTTTCTAAGCATCGGTTGTCTGGGTCTTTCAAACTGTTCCATTGTGCTTGAGCAGAGTGAAAATCCCATAGTTGCTCTTCCTTTGATTAACGAACCCTGCATCCTTGCCTCAGAGCTTTTTTCTGCAAAAGGGTTGGTGTTGCAAACCTTTTCTAAGGTAACTGACAAGTTTAATATAAAAATGCAGAGCCCCATTTTCTTAGGTCAAATTTAGCAAAATGAGAGATTCTGGCAAAAGCCTGGTTTATTCTTCAGTCTGGATGTAAACTAGGTCAATATTGGCTCATTTTTGACTACTGAAGGCATAAAAGAGTTGTTGCTTTGAAATTAATTGGAAGTGAAAACACTGTTCTTATCTGAATGGTGTAAGAGCTAAAACGTGTGTACATTTTTAACTAAACAACTTTTTAATGCTTTAATATGCTGCATAAAACTGTACATTACTGCCTCACTGTATTACACTGGATAAAATATTTAATATGCTAACTTCATTATAAATGACTTTGTATGGAAATTTTTTTATTGCGTTGTTTTGGAGACATGTAGCTATTTATATGAAACGAATAAATGAAGTTGCCTTAACTGAGTGAGAACACTGTTCTCTCAATTCTAATATTGTCTTTCTTTGGAGTACAGGTACATCTAATCTACAACTTGAAACAAACCTACCCAACTGATTTTACATTTCTCCAGTTGTTGGGAAGCAATTTTCAGCAGTGTATCAAAATACAGATTTAATGCATAGCTGGAGAGAAAACACATTTAAATGCATTATTTGGGGCCTTAATGTTTTGAAACAAATTTTACTGGATTAAGGTGGGAACAGAATTATGGGTAAAAACATGTGAAAGGGAGATGGAACTGGAAATTTGTCCATCCCCAATTTGGACTAGCTGTGGCTGTGGTGTTTTAAAGTGCAGCTTCAAAAATTGAACCTGCCCCCCCCCCCAGGCCCAGAGAATGTGTGATCTATATTGCATATCTGAGTACGTCATATAATTTCACAGGGTAACATCCATGTGTGTAGGAAGGAATTCCCTGAAGCTGCTCTGTAAAGTGTATAGAACTTTTTATTTCTCCCATCTGAGCCTCAGCAGCTGCTGCTACCAAGGAGAATCAGCAATTTGCCTGCCAAAGCATCAGATCACTTCTCATGGTTTCATATAGGTGCTCCACAATTGTGGCAAATGGAGCCTTTTGTAACATAGATACAGCAGTGCTTCACTCTCATGATCCCTGATCATTGGAGCAGGATAGCTGAGCACTGCAGTCAAACACCATTTGCAGAGTCACAGGAACACTAGCCATTCTCCAGAAAAACTTTGCATCTGTGGGCAAACTAGAGTGAATTAAAAATGTGTGTTCCCTTTGGAAGCCTAGGACGGCACAGCACAGAACACAGGATTTAAGAAACACCCCCCCTCAAGCGGACAGGGATTCAAGTAAACCTCATTTACAGCTATCCTCCTCTTTGTCCTGAACTATTTTCAGCATCAAACTGGCCATCTGCAAGAAAGACAGAAACCACGGACACTTAAATATTTTTAATGTGCAGTTTCAGAAAGGTCTCGGGGCAACTTGGCAGAACAGTCGAGGGTTGAGTAAACTTCAGCTCAGTGCTTAAACGTTCCCTACAAAGGGTTCAAGTGAAAGTCTAACAAACAGGCTAGATAGCAAATGGGAACAAACTCAGCCGGTCCCCATTCAGAAGAAAGCCCCTGCAATTTTAGTTCTGCCGCTGCTGCCAGCAGCAAGGGAAGTGCTTCTTGTACAAACCGTTTCCAGCCCTTACTCACATACAGTGCTATGACTAATTGTGCTCAGTAACAAGAAATGTTGGCGCTGGTATATTAAAACCACTGGTCCCAAAGGTGACACGCTCCATTCCAAAAGACAGTAGCCACCCAAGGTAAAAAGGCAAGCTGGCCCCCATTTTAACCTCTTATCCACCCAAGGGGATCACTGCCAAGATGTGTACCTGCTTAGTTGTGTACCATGTGATACCTTTTCAGAGAGGGACACATTTCCCACAAGGCAAATGAGAGGAGACACAAACATTTGGCTTGCTGAATGTTGCTGGTTGCTTTTAGAGCTTTTGCCTCGATTGGCAGACTGTGCTAAACTAGCTGGGCATTCCCAAGAAGCCCCAGGCTTCTTCCTCTGCTCTCCCCTAGTGGCTTTTCTTTTGGGGGGGTGGAGTTGGGGGAGAGAAGGCTCCAGTTCCAGCAACTGTGTTCCTTTAGGATATTCTGCATAGGCACAGAAACAATTCAGAAGAAGTGTAGGAGGAGAAAGGGAACTGGAGAAACAAAGGAGGATCACCGTTAAGACTGTAATCCGGTACAGTCAACTGGATTATGGGTAGGCTGCCATGCAACAAGCCCTGAAGGGTGATTTTTAAAAATATATCCATTTTTTTGGCCTCAACGTCTCTGGGGATGGTCGTGCTACAACTGTTCAGGCAGTGAAAAAGGCACCGCCGTTTCGGAATCGAAAAAGAAGCAAGACCATTCAACTACAGCTCTGAGACCACCTTATCTGGGAAATAACCAAAAAGGTAGCTTGAGAGAAGAGAGTGCTTGCAGTACACAATTGCCCCAGCTTATCATACTGGAGGGGAGGGCACACAGAGTTCAGCTGCCATGCTTGGGCTGTTTAGGCCCACTGAGTTTGATGGCTCAGAGTCCCTGAAAGTGTGGTGCCAATCCTGAGGTGAGTATATTCCTGATTTCTCTCTCACACATATAAAGCAGAGAGTGATGGAAGCAGGGGCTATGAACAGGCGAGTATTGCACACCAATGAATGAGGTGGTACACACGCCTTTTATTCCCATACCTACCTCAAGGAGTTAAGCCATTTCAACATATGAGCTGAAATTTTTTACTTTTCTTTCCCTCCCACCCCCATATTTATTTTACTCAAAACACATGTCTCTGGGAAGTGCTCAGGGGCAGGGAGGTGAGATGGTGGGAGGGAAAGGGGACAGTTATTGACCATGTAAATAGGATCAAATTCTTCCACTAACACTGTGGGTAAACAAGAAGACTCACCTGTACAGTCTAGTGTGAAATGCTTCTCACATGTATTTTGGTGGGACAAAAGCTCCCGAAACCAACAGTGCAATCCTACACGTTTACTCAAAAGTTAAGTTCCACTGTATTCAATAAGTCATACTCCCAGGTGAGAATGTAGAGCAGAGGATGAGGAGTCTGTGGCCCTCGAGATGCTGCTGGACTCCCAAGTCTCATCAGCTGCAGCTAGCAAGGTCAACAGGAATGACCAGTTGTAGTATAACATTATCTGGAGGGACGCAGGTGCTCCAATCTCTGCCATATAGGGTTGCAGCCCAAAGGGCTTAGAAATACTGGTAGAAGTAAGTGGTCATATTAGTCACTGAGGAAGTAGAACATCTCACCGAGGGATGCTCTCCTTTTCCAACTACTGCCAGTTTCCTAGATGCTTAAATTCCCTAACATTCTGCCTCTGGTTCTGTATTCGCTACTCGGTCACTAAAATCCACTGTGCTTACGACTTCTAAATGGGGCGATCGACATAACCTATCAGCATGCACCCAGCTTGCAAAAGAAGCATTTCTGCAAGTGGTCAAAATCAAAAGGGGAACTAGAGGAGGGCTGTATCTATCGCTGCTTTCAGGCGGTGCAGCAGCGCCTGAGGAGGAGGGGAAAGGGTCTCTGGGTTCAGTTTCTTGAATTCCTCATTGGCATTCAAAGAGGTCAAGACCTTTGCAGTCCTTTTCAAGTCAAAGACTGCATGCAGCATTCCCAGGCCGGAGATGGCAGCTCTGTACGAATGCTTGGAGGCATCTTCTTCAGAATGGTGGTTTTCAAGGACATAAATCCGGTTTTCTGCAATGATTTTGAGGAAGTTGTAGAATTCCTTGTAGTCGATTCCTGTGTAAGACTTCATCAACACCTGCAAAGGTGAGAGAACAAGTCAAAGGTCACAGTTGTTCCAACCGTTACATGGGAACTGGTGTTCAGTTGAAAACGTTGAATGAAAAGGAAATGCTTTAAAGTCATGTCAATTTTTGAAAAAGCACAAGGCACAAAGCTGGCCCAGGGAGCTAAGCATAGGAATGCTTAATTCTTGAGTTACTAGGGAGTCTGAATTCTTTCCCATTACAAAGCACGAGAATGGCCCTGAGAGTGAGGACACAGGTTGCGCTAGATCATATTTCTCAAAGCTGACAATAGAAGATAACACACTCTCTTTGGGCCCTTTCCAGACACCGCATAGAAAAGTTGCTCCTATTTGATGTGAACTAGCTTCACAAGAGCCTCCCATGTACCTACACATCCCCTTTCCATTTCTCCTGCTCAGTCCTCAGTAGTGATTGCTATAGCTAGCCAGCTGATGTGCAGGGGAATTTCTTTCCGAACAATTAAGACCGATGAGCTGGATCCAAATCTTGAAAACAATATTGAGCTGCTACTACAGTTCATCCCCGAATAGCCATTTAATTCCTGTGTTTCACCATTTCAGACACTCGATTGCTAATGGGCATCTATGACCATGTCAAACATTCTCAGACGGCTGCTCTACCTGGCATTGCAGGTGCCAGTCCTCCATGCTGTCTCTCCATTCTCTGATCTCCCGCTGGACAGCAGCTAGTTCGTCTTGGAGGAAGCTCCACATGATGGCTACATTGCATCCATTCACCCAGTTGTGGTTGATGGAGATTGTATCCTCCTGGAAAAAACAAGGACAGTCCCAATGGCTATTCCACATGTTTAAGGTTGAAGGGAGTCACAGTTTTTTGCCTGCTGGCCTATTCAGCTGGATTCCCATAGTGAACATATGACATCATGCAGCATACAAACTCAGCTTATCCAGTCGCCAGTAGAAGCCTGCTTCAAAGCCTCTGCTACCTAGCCCATCAGGTAGCACTGCTTGTCAGCTCCCTCCTCTATCTGTGTTGCCGTTCTAGAGCTCAGCAGGGCAGAGGATGCAGACACACTAGAATCAGATCTGCCTGTCACTGGCTGTGGCTCCATCTACTGTTCGGCTCCTGGCCTTAAGCCCTATCAGTCCCCAATGAGCAAAAGCATTGCCCAAATCCACTTAATGGTGCATTACCCCAAGGCTGTGGCTGTCTAAAACATCTTACCAAATTGTAAACCTGATGGTGCCATCCGCTCGGGATGAAGACGATCTCTCCAGCTTCCTGTATGATTTCAACAGGAGGGCTGCTTTGGGCATAGCGAGGGTAAAGGTTGCTCTTCTTCAGGTCAGGTGCAGTGATGTCAAATGGCAAGTGACCATGGCGATCACGAAGGAACTCCTCCTGCCCTGGGGGGAAAACAAGCCATTTCTTTTTCCCGCAAATGTTGGCCGACCAGCTGTAGGAGCGGAAGACATCTGCGTGAAATGGAGTCCTACAGGGAGGAGGGGAAAACCAGGAGGTTAGGAGAAGGCAGCTGAATAGCTGCAGGAATAGTATTTATGTAGTAGAAGCCGATATGTAATGGAGTAGGCCCTCCTCTCCTACCATCTCAGGATCCCCAAAACATTAGTATCACAGTCATTCAGAAAATTACTTTTGCACCCTGAAGACATGAGGTATACACACCCAAACCTAGACCTATTTTCCAGTAGAGACATTAATCAGGCTTTCACAGAAAGCTATTTGTGCATCAACGTCTATTTCTCCACTCTCCAAGTACTCTGATACACCCAGTGATTTACAAGGGCCGCTCATCTGAAAGTATGCAAGTGCATACCCTCCACCTGAGACAGTAATGTGTGCATACCTAACAACTTTCTGCTAACCTCTTACTGCAAACTGAAACTGGCTTGTGTTGTGGGAAGTCTAGAATTTCACCAATATCTTGACAGCTAAAAAGATGCAAAGTCTCAAAACAAAGAAGCATCTTCATATGCAGGGACTATACAATGCATAATATCCAAAGGGCTGAACACTGTCTGGCCCTGCAATCTGGGACGGGTAGGGATCCCATTGTGAAAAAGGTGCACAATGTTTAAAGCTCTGAGCAGGTGTGCTGTCTTCCTCTTCCTCGAAAAGACATCTCACAGGCTGCTCTCGTGAATAGTTACTAGGAAGTCCCACTGAATCAAGCTGCATGTCCTACCTCATACTTCTAATACGACTAACTTTTCCAAAGAGAACCTATGAAAGTATCTAAATGGCTGTACCATGAGCCTTTAGGTCCCATGTAGACAAAGCGATAGTCGTCCACTGATATGGCATCCCAGTATTCATTCAGCCAGTCAGATGAGAAATAGATGGGCGTGGTGTAAACATCTTGCTCCAGGAAAGCCCTTAAAATATTGAAAATGGTATCTCAGAAAGAAAAATCCACTCAAGACGCATTCAAAAGTTGCGTAACAGCATGATAAAGGTTAGATCATGGCCTGGCAATTGGTACTTTATTTCACTTCTGCACCAGCCACCTTTCCCAAGTCTTGGGGATATAACAAATATTACACACTTAGAAGTCTACTCAATGCTTTGAGAGTGCAATGACTACTCCCTCCAATAATTTTTACTGGTTTTCATGTAAATACAAAAACGTATTTGATCTCAAAAGGAAGAAGCCACCCAAACATCTGAATCAGTCCATGGACTCTAAGCCTAAGCCTGAAACAATGGATATGGAAGGGGTATCACTGTAATCCAGCTGTCTTTCCAACCTTCCCTTTCCACCAGTGGGAAAGGGCTTTGGGTTGGGACACATAAGACTTATGCAGGGAGGTAGTGTTTAGGCTCTGCATATGCAAAGGTTCAAGCCAAGAAGTACAGTACCTCTGAACATGCAAACATTCTCAATTTCTGAACTTGCAAGTTATCTTTTGAATGCCCTATAACCACAAAAAATAGCCAATATACACCAAGTAAAGGATCACGGTAGATTCATCAGAAGGAAAGCAAAGTGCCAAGAATACAAAAAGGCATTTAAGAAGTTGCCTTGGCATCCCATTTGTGTGGCACACTATGGCCCTGCCTGTATTAGGTGTTTCCTCACATCAGTGTTGCTTACAAGCACCTATTAAGTTCTTTTAAATTGAGACTTGGTGTAGGCGGTATATAACTAATTAAGTTGAACATTGCTTAAAGACTGATCAATTTTCCTGCTTCAACTTGCTGTGCAACCAAAACGTGGGAAGAGTATAAATTCAATTGACTGTATTAATGCAACGGCTAAGCGTGGGTGATGCCTACAGTGCATTTGTGTTCTCCTCAGCAGGTTCCCCTGCCTTCTCTTCTGTTTGATTCCAGTGCAACTATGCAAACATACAATGATAATTAATATAAGGAACAGGATCAGAGAAGGAAACTTCTCTCATGCAGACCAACTTTGGCATAATCAAAATGTGTGCAAACACAGGAAGAAAGAAAGAAAAAATGTGCATTCACATTGGAAAGAGCAGACAGTGCCAGGTACATGCACCGTAAGAAAGGTAAGCCAAACAGCACTATACATCACTGGGGTGTCCTACCATGCAGTCACAGCCGTAGATTCTTAGGATGCAGTTTTGAAACAGGCGGCTACTATCTAAGGATGCTCCCAAAAGCTGAATCATCTGGTAAGGGAACATCAGAGGTACAATTCAGCAGCATGCCAGGGATTCGTAAGAGCATGCCGAGGAGTTCAAAGGTTTTGCTTACCTGTGCAGGTGCCAGTCCTTGAGGTAAAGGCACCCCCGGGGCGACCGGTAGCTTTTTTTAATGTGTTCTCTCCAATAACTTATGTATTCCTTGAGTTTAAGATGTTCCTTTGGGTTAGAATTGTATTCCTTGACATCACAGTTGGCAACGGGTACTACAGCTTCCCCTGCAATATAAACCCTTTGAGCCCATATGGGAAAATAACTGATGCCCTGTTGGGGTTACCAATAAAAAAGAAAGTGTAAGGGCCTTGATCCTACCAGTTTGAACGTTCCACCTATGTGGCATGGTTAGGTGCTATGCAGAGCGACAATGGAAACAAAAGGAAATTCCTCCAATTGCTGCAATACCTGAATCATAGATACATTAACCAGCAGAATGCCCACAACGAATGTTGTCCCATCTTACAGGATTATGGTAAGGATTCCAACAGAATTATATCTTTACAGTGCTTTGAGCATACAAAAGCGCTATTTAATGGTAAGGGTTGCATTCAATGGGACCCAGGAATTTCTCTGGAGAGTTGAGGGAACAGAATGGGACAAGGCATAGCAGGCTGCAATTGGGGTGCCTCATCTAAAAACACTGCTTTCGCTAGTGGAAAGTCACATTTGTATACAACCCTATTTTTGATACAGCTCTAACTATGAGAGGTGATGCTGCAATTAAATGTGTCAATTAAGCCACCTCTTACAATATACTTTTCTTTCTACTCCATACTCAGGCATGAATACAAACATACCACATTAACAGTGAAGAAAGCATAAGGGCAGAATCAAACATTACTAGAAGCAAATGAAAAGGGACTTGGACATGGTCACCAGCAATCACAGGTTTTTGGCCAGTCAGAAGGCAGACTGAAAATTCTAAGAGGAGCAAAATCATAGCTAGCAATTTTAGTTTAAAGGTGGCTTACCAAAAGTCCGCAGAAGATACTCAAAGTTAGGCTTCCCATCAGGAGTCACCCACTTCCTCCTGCTGCCCCAGCCCTCAGTGAATTTGGCAGAGAAAACACAGGGGTCATTGGGGATCAAGTAATCCTTGAAAAAGTCTGCATAAGTGAATATTTCTGGCTTCTCGATGTAGTCAACATGTTCGTGGGATTGGCAGCTTGCGCCCCGAGTTGGGCCGCTGTAATCGCGAAAAAACTTGGTGGAGTAAGCAAAAGTGTCCCTGTCCATTCAGGCGATAGAAAGTGTCTGACACCTAACTTGTCAGGTGACAGACGGAATTAAATTATAAAATAAATAGCTGGGCTAGAAGACCAGTAAATTGAAAAAAAAAGGAAGTGTCACTGAAGACTCAGGAAAGATGGAGGGTATAGAATAAGCAAGTCCAGTTCCAAATCTTGCTGGAAAATCTTCCCATTTGGCTTGTATCATATATGGCTCCTTATGTTCTTGGTTCTTTAGGAGAAGGATGCCTGAAAGGCTGTAATGAGCAGCAGTAACTAACAGAGCAGTTTCACTTCAACCTTGGAACATCTGCACAGGCACAACTTCCACACTCCTCTTTGGCATTTTATGGAGAGCAGCAATCAAGGGCAACTTCCTCCTGAATTCTATAAGCAAACAATAATATATTCATAATTTTTTTTATAAAAAAGCCTTGCAAATTCCTGATTCTTTGAAGTGGCTCCCTCCTTCACATAACACCCCATGAAAGTCATTAATATTTTATTCTTATTAATATAAATGAGATTAGGCCAAATAGCACAAAGTCAGACATCCATACAACTCATTGCAGCAGAAAAGTCAAAAGAATTTATGGTTCTGCACTAATTAAAACACAAGTAGAGAACACAGTGCTGCTTATGAGAGAAACATAGGGATATATGGCACCTGTTTGCTTCCCCCCATGGGGCAAGTAGCAGGCTTTTATTTTTTGGGGGGGGAGAGAACAGAACTTCCCTCTCTGAGTACTATGGTCCTGATCTGCTCCCAACTCCAGCTGCTTTTACCCATCACAGGAACCACAACAGATCATGGCTGCAAATCTATGTCTGGTTTGTCCCTGAGTCTAGCCAAGAAACTCACTTGTCCCTTGGCAACTGCCTATATCTCACACTTTGCTAACTGTGGCCTCAAACTATCAATCACAGGAGACGACGCTTTATAAACTCCCATGCAGCGTACACTTGTTTTGAAATGAAGAGCAAATAAGCGAGAGATAAATGAGATTGCAAATTGGCTGCTCTATCCCCACTGTCCAAATCCTCTGGCTCTTCTAACAACCTTACATTTTCATTTTCTTCCAATTCCAGCAACTGCAGCGCAGCAGTTAAGCTGATGAGTTAGGAGCTGGAAGTCTTGGATTTAAATCTCAGCAAAGCCACAACACCATGTGGCCTTCAGCAATCTCTCTGGCAGGCCGACAGTAATAGTGGCCTACAGTTACTGCTCAAATAATCAGTGAAATGCACCAGAAACCTGACCCTATGCACAATTCTCAGAGGTTTGCTTCTTATGAAACATACACAGAACTGGGCCATTACTCAAAAAGCACTATCCTATATTATGTATAACACTGTACCAAAATGCACAATTATTTGGGATTAACCCCCACTGAGCTCAGCATGACTCTAAGTAAACCTGATTTGGCTGAAAAGCATGGCAACTATTTTACAACACACACACAAACATCCCTCCCAATCTACCCTTGCACTTTCCTTGTTTATAACCTCTCTCCAAAGGCAAAACCTCATGAAGTTTAGACACAATATCTCAACAGGTCTGTAAAATAGGATGGTGATGGAGAACCGTTTTTTCAGCCAGAGGGCCACTGTTTGCCCTGGGCAACTTTCCAGGGGCCACACACCAGCCGTGGGTGGGGCCAGATGGACAAGTGGGTGGAGCACTGAATGTAAACATTACCTTTGCACAGCAGGCTAGTTTCTACACACAATTCTCTATCCTCCATCTGGAAGCATCATCAGGGTGCGAGTGTATTTTGCAGCCAGGTAAAAACACGCAAAAGCATGTGTTGTGCCCATAGAGAGTCCCACGGGCCTGGAGGCATGGATTGGCCCCTGGCTCCACTTGACACAACAGGTTTCTTAGCACAACATGCCAGTTCAGAAATGCAAGGGAGGCAAATGACCTAAGACACCAGGGGCCTGTTTCACCTAACCAACCAGACAACCTGCCTCCCCTGCCAGGGCTATGTAACACCATCTGCCTTATAATGTTTCCTATATGCTGATGCAGGCTTATTATGCCTTTTTTGTGCTTATTTAGAGGGCAGAGATATTATTTCGCAAACCACCTTGAAATGATCAGTATTGCGAAAGGCAGGATATAAATAACTGCCGCAGATCAACGTAAGTGGCCACCTTTTTGGAGGGTGGGGGGTAAAGTTTAGCACCCACAAAACTCAACCCAGAATCTCCCACCCCCCTTCCCGCCCTGAAATCCCAACCCCTGCCTTCAAAGATCCCCTCAAAGATCCCCAGATCCCCTCAAAGGGTCCCCCCCTCAAGACCTCCGCCTCCCTTCCCCACCCCCTCCCCTAATTCCAGCCATGCCACCCCCACAATTTCTCAAGGCCTGTCATAGGTAGGACACAGCCTCCCCCCCCGGTTGTCCCCCCCCCTTAATTCACCCACCTCATAAAATAAACCCCACCGTGGGGTGAGGGGCTCTGCTGCCCCCATTAGCACAGCTCCCCCCCCCGTTTTGAAACCTGAGCCCCTCCCCCCAATACCTTCTCTACCCCCCAAAACACAGAGGACACGTTTTCTCCCCCCTCCCTCCTCTATTATTCACCCACCCCGCCCTCCCTCTCCTCCCCGCTTGTCCCCATTACTGACCCCCCTCCAGAGCCGGCTCGCGGTTCCTGCTGCCGCCGCTTCTTCCCTCAGAGGGAGCGCCCAGAGCGAAGCGCATGCGCCGTAACTGCTCCGGCGCGCGCGCGCGCCCCCTTATTCACTGACCGCACAGCGCACGTAAAAAAAACCAACAAAACCCGGAAAGTGGGCGGAGCTAGCCCAGAATAAGAGGAGGAAGAAGAAGCGACGACGGCTGCGGCGGTTTCCGCGCGTGCGCCCTCGAGCCGGCGCGAGGAAGCGTCCGTCGGTTTTTTTTGTTGTTGTTCGTTTCAAATACTTCGGCGCGTGCCCTCCGCTTGCGCGCAGGCGCGCCCAACGAACTTTCGGGGGAAGCCCCGCCCCCTTTGTAAAGCCCCGCCTACTCCTCCGTCTTCCTCCTTCGCCTCAGGTTCTTCTCCTCAGCCGCCGGGGGCTTTGGAAGCGAGAAGGTGGGCTGAGGGTAGAAGGTAAACGCCTCCGCGAGGCCTCGCCCGGGTTCTGAGGTGATTTCGGGGCGCCGCCACCCCCACCCCGGCCTTCCCCGCACCTGCCGCTGAGGTTGCCTCCATCCCTCCTTCCCTCTCGCAGGCCTTCTCGGGGACCGGGGGGCGGAGGAGGTGTGGGGAAGGGAAGACGCCCCCCTGTTGCCTGAAGTGGGTGAGCCCCCGCCGACCCCTGGCTGTGGGGAGGGCCCAGCAGCAGCAGCAGCATTGGGGAAGCCCGCAGCAAGGCCCTCTGAAAGTCCCCCCCCCCTCACACGGGCCAGGGAAGCTTGGCCCCTTCGTATTTTTATTTATTTATTCAACACTGGCAAAGTCGTGTGTGGGAACCTTCATCATATTCTGTATATTACAGAATTGTTGAGTTTATGCTGTGAGATCTATGAGTGAAAGGCGGTACGCAAACTTATTAATATACTGTAATAGTGCTGGATTTACGTGTAAGCTAAACAAGCTGTAGCTTAGGGCCCCCCTCCCATAAATTTCACTATTAATATACTTCTTAATTGTATTTCAGTTCAACAATTACTTTGATAAAATACATACAGTGGTGCCCCGCAAGACGAATGCCTCGCAAGACGGAAAACCCGCTAGATGAAAGGGTTTTCCGTTTTCAATGTGCTTCGCAGGATGAATTTCCCTATGGGCTTGCTTTGCAAGACGAAAATGTCTTGCGAGTCTTGAGATTTTTTTTCCGCTTTCCCCCCCCTTTTTCTAAGCCGCTAAGCCTTTAATAGCCTTTTAGCAGCTAAGCCGCTAAGCCTTTAATAGCCGCTAAACCGCTAATAGCGCTAAGCCGCTAATAGGGTTGCTTCGCAAGACGAAAAAACCGCCAAACGAAGATACTCGCGGAACGGATTAATTTCGTCTTGCGAGGCACCACTGTATATTGTTTCGTGCAAATGGCTATAGATACCCATTAGATGCATAAATTACCATATAGCATATACAGTTATACCTCATGTTACGTTTACTTCTTTCAGGTTACATCCCACGGCAACCCGGAAGTACCGGAAAGGGTTACTTCCGGTTTTTGCTGCATGCGCAGAAGCGGCAAATTGCAACCCGCGCATGCGCGCACACGCCGCTGCAGGTTGCACGCTTTTCATGTTGCGAACGGGCCTCTGGAATGGAGGCCGTTCGCAACCAGAGGTACCACTGTATTCAACACAAAAAACAGTGACAATTTGTTGTTGACAAAGGACAGTGGAACATATAAAGGGCCCCATTACCTTCAGGAGCTTAGGGCCTCATCAAACCTAAATCCGGCCCTGATAATATTAATAGTAATAGTAATAATAATAATAGATCCATAGAATAACAAGATGCGTCCTTCCACCCCTAAGAGACCATGTACACTACCCAGTGATCCTTGGAACATAAAAGTGGTGTATAAATGTAAGAAATCTATATATGGAAGAGCAGGTGCAGAATTAATCGTTGAGAAGTAAGGTCAGCAATGGCACCATCCAAAGTGGGTAAGAGACAGCGTAGCGCTAAGGATGTAAATAAGTTTAATGATAATGACACACAGAATGGAGAACTGGACCAGAATTAACAAAGTGATTTTCATAGAATCATAGAGTTGGAAGGGACCCCAAGGGCCATTCCTGCAATGCAGAAATCTCAACACTCGGCCCCCAATCCAATTTGAAACCACACCATGCCCTGCTTAGTTTTGCGAATACGTGGGAGTTACATTCCGGGGATCATGTCTAAAGCCAAAATTGCATATAGTCAAAACACAGTGGGCTCAATGGTGAGTGGATTTGCCCAAGTCATTTTTCCTGTAACCCTGCAACCTTTTTAATTTTTTGAATGGGCACAAGTTAAATGAGTGGAAGTTGTGGGCTTGCCGTAATTTTTTTTCTTAAATTAATAAAATTAAAACATACACTTGTTAGGGTTATAGAGGTGCCACTCATTGCCAATGCTAGTTAATGTATGCTTCGTGTTTTGTTTTATATTAGGGAAAGCAATTCCATGTGGAAAATGTGCTATCCATTCACACACACGTTTATGTGTCTTTGGGGACCGGTGATCTCGAGTACAATTGATAGCCATCTTTTCTCTTCAGTGCCAATTTAACACATACTTATTTGCCCAGGCATTTCCACTATACAACAGCATATTTAGTAATAATTGTTTTAATATGGTGTTTTAGTGATGTGTTTTATCCACTGTGGCTTAGCGGTATTTTCATGTGATCTTTTTATGCTGTCACTCACCCTAGGATTGGTAATAATGAAGGTTGGTTAGAAATGTGCCCCTGCCCCTTGCCAATTCCCTGCTATTTCCCCTCACATTAACTCCCTTGATCTTCCCCTTTCTACCCCATGCAACCACTCAGCTTACTTTTCTTGACCTTTTGGGTTTTCCCTCATGCAAATCCAGGTTTGTGATTCGGCACCACAAATCATCCAATGGGGGCTGTATGATGACAGTCTTACATTTTTATGTATATAAGAAGAAATGAATGTGTGGATTGTGATGATTAAATGTTTACTTCCCAGGAGGGGAATTTTTATTTCCCTGTTTTCTTCCCCATTTCTTGAGGGTGAAGCATTACTGCTTTATAGCAGCTTTCACCAACTGGATAACCTCCAGATGTTTTCACTGCAACTCCCATAAGCCCCAGCCAGAACAGCTGATGGACGTTATAGTCTACAACATCTGGAGGGCACCAGGTTGGTGAAGGCTGCTTAACAGTAAATAACGGAGTATGGATAACACTGTACCTGGTAAACATTGTCTAGTGTTTTGAATCTGATAATAACATTATTATTTCTTAGGAAAAAAGTGAATCACATTTATTATTGTGTGTTTGTAACAAACTTCTAAGGTAGGTCAGCACTGCTAATGTGCTGAAGCAGAAATAAAATTGAACCCTGAGGAACCCTGCATTGAAGGGTATCATTGTATTTTAATATTCTCCTGGAAGCCGCCCAGAGTGGCTGGGGAAACCCAGCCAGATGGGCAGGGTATAAATAAAAAATTATTATTATTATTATTATTATTATTATTGGCACTCCCCAAGTATCACCCTCTGGAAACAACCATCCATGTAGGACTGGAACCACTGCAAAGCGGTGCTACTGACCCCTACTTGGACAGTCATTCCAGAAGAATACCATGGTCAATGATATAAAAAACCCACTAAGGGTCAATGAGAATTAACACGGACACATTTCCCCTGTCTCTCCTCCAACATAGGTCATCATTCAGGGCAAGTAATGCAGTTTCTATGCCAAAACGGCCTAACCCCTGATTGAAATGAATCTAGAATATCTGTTTCCTCCAAGAGTGCCTGGATCTGTTCTGTGACCTGACAAATAAATAATACCCCAAGGATATGTGAGCTCTAAAGTGGCAGGGGCTTTTCAGTAATTGTTCCAGTGTTAGATCTATTGGAAAGATATGGCAGCCTGACTACTATGGAACTGAATGACTTTGAACTATCCATTCAGGCTGACATGACGAACAGTTCTCTGTCATCTCAAATTTATTGCAACATGATTTTTGTAGACACACAAAATGATGACACACAATATGATGCAGGTGTAGAATCACATGTTGCAACAAACTTCTAAACCTTCAGTTGGGTCACGGCCTCTTGTTTTTCCACAGCAGGCCTAGCAGGGCTGCTCCTTTGGCATTCTTTCATTCTAAATTGAAAGGCACTGATTCATAGAAAACCAGGAGTTGGGTGGGTAAGAATTAAGACCAAGCTATACGCAGGTGGTGCTGTGGGTTAAACCCCAGAGCCTAGGACTTGCCGATCAGAAGGTCGGCGGTTCGAATCCCCGCGACGGGGTGAGCTCCCGTTGCTCAGTCCCTTCTCCTGCCAACCTAGCAGTTCGAAAGCACGTCAAAGTGCAAGTAGATAAATAGGTCCTGCTCCAGCGGGAAGGTAAACGATGTTTCCATGCGCTGCTCTGGTTCGCCAGAAGCGGCTTAGTCATGCTGGCCACATGAGCCGGAAACTGTACGCCGGCTCCCTCGACCAATAAAGTGAGATGAGCGCCGCAACCCCAGAGTCGGTCACGACTGGACCTAATGGTCAGGGGTCCCTTTACCTTTATACATTATACAGGCAATCCACGGTTTGCGCAGGGGTTGCATTCTGGGTCATCATCCGTGGTAGCAGAGCGCATATAACCACGCCCCCTTTCACTGCCACTTCCTGGTTTGTGGCGATGCTTATGTGCTTTGAACATGCGCAAAATGGTCCTTGCCTATATGCCGATGCATATAATAGTAGACTTAGAGCCTACGTAGCTATCACTGCTTCCCAGTTCCCATTGGAAGCAGCATTCCTGGAACTAAATGGGTTGTTGGGTTGCTGTTACGTTTCTTTGTGTGTAATATATAAGGCAGACTTTAGTTTGGTAAAACAAACTTGTAACTCATTAATGCTGAGACACTGATGATAAGAGAATCTATGGCTACTTCCTTTGTGAGTACCTCTTGCAGTTAGTTGGGTGAAAACATGAAAAATAGAGCTTCATGTCCGGCATTCTTTAAAAACCCTGTTTCGCTCAGAGTTTCCATGGAACCTCCAGACAATCTCTGTTAGCAGTGTCTCAGTTTGAATGCAGTATGTACAATTTTTGTTTCTTTTGGTGTAACTTTCCTGTTTAAGCCATCTGCTTAGGGTAGTCCCAGTGTCCTCCTCTGAGACATAGAGTAATGGTATTTAGGGTTTCTCATCTGGCATGGCTCACCTGACACCTTTAAGATCATTTTGCACGAGTGATCAGCTGTAGTGTGGTCTGCATGTGATACCTGGGATAGTAATAGTATACTAGGTTCTGCAACATGACTAGTCAAATGGTAACTGGCTCACAGATGAACAGTGACTCATGAGAGCCAAGAGTATATAATATCCAGTGTTCTCCAGAGACACTTAATTTCCTTGTGTTCTTGGAAGGCTAGCAAGTATCTGCTGCTAAGAGATTGGACAATTTTTGTTTGACTCTGAAATTAAAAGAAAACTCAGTGACATGAAAATTTCAGAGATGACAGCCTTAAAGTGGTTGTCTGAATCAACATCCAGAGAAGGTAACATTGGGAACAACATAGTTACAGATGTATGGAAACATATCTTGCAAAGTAATTTGTGTGTGTGCTTGTAAACCATACCAGCATGAAACACTGTTTATAGAAGGCAAAATGGCTATGATTGTTGGGCTTGAGACACATGTATATTGTTTTTTGAGCACTTGATTTCTCTAATGACAACTGTAAACCAAATATGAATTGACTATTGAAAAAGACTACATTTGCTGGAACTTCTGTTGGCATTTATGTGTGATGGACCATTCATTCATTTTTGTGTTCATTCTGGGAAAGAATAATACATACATGAACTAGTCTCCTGTGTATGTTTAGATGTCTCCAGGACTGACATTATTTGAACAGGTTCTCTGTGTAAGAATTATATAGTCTTGTTTATTGGAGACTAGATTACTCTTCCAGAATTTTGTGCTATGTTTTATGTAATAATTACAGGCAGTCATTATACCTTTTAATTTACTTAAGTATTATTTTCTGCTTGGGGTTGTCAGGATTGTTTTGTGACTAGGGCATCAGGGTTTTGTTAATGGATTATGTTAAGGTGCTTCCAGTTAAAATAGTTTATTAAACCCCCTGAAAACCTTGCTTCTAGAATTGGCATGATGGTCAAATAATAGGCGATCAGATATCATTGAACATGCCATGAAGCTGATGATGCTTGAAGAAATAGATTGCTGTCTATTCAGCAAAATACTGTAGTGACTTTTGCATTGTTTTGAATAGTTTATGTTCTATTTACTTCTTTTTAAATTAAAGCATCTTAAAATAGGCTTTCCTCTGCTCTCCCATACCTCCTCCAAGGAATGTCTCTTCTGAAATGTTGCCTGTTCTGAGATGTGCATACATCATCAAAATGCTTTTCCTTCTTCTGAACAACTTTGATTCATTTGCAAAGACCAACAACCCTGTAGGTCACAAAGTACCGGTACTTAAAGGCTACAAAGGGTGGACCTGCCTCTAATGGAGGTTAACAATGGTAATAGCCTTTCTTATCAAATGATAGCAACAACACTTAAGATATTTTTATATTACATATAATATAAAAATGCCCTTGACCATACTGCCCCACCCGCTAGTCCCAGCCGAAAATATTAATTGGTATACAAAATAGAAAAAGAGACTATTTTACACTCAGTTGTGTGCAAGTCCACAGTTTGTTTTGTTTTGTGATACACCAAGGGGATATAGTTTAACATCGTAAGCCATAGTTGGATCAGTGGCATCGAACTGCAATAAAAGAATACAACAGGAAGATTTTCTTTTTCATATTGGCAACTCAGATAATAGCTTGCACTGTGCAAACTTGTGTAGATTAAATTAATGGGCACCATATGAAACATAAATGTCATTTTAGATCTTCATTGAGTACAGCATGTAAATTGCAGTGACATGTAACCTTTCATAGTGATCAATCAAAAGCTTATAATAGACTATTATTCATGACATAATTATTCAGTGTCTTGCAACAAGCAAGGCCTTGAAATTGTTTATTAGGCTAGGCAGTGGCTAACAAATTGCAAATATAATAACATAATTGCCTGAAGAGCCCCAGTTATTAGCTTTGACTTACTGTGAATCTTCATGTGGGAGAAAGAATACAGTGGACTTTCCATAATGGACAGAAACTTTTTACCCCTATGTCTCATAATACTAGAACTTGGAATCATCTACTGAAATTGGCAGGCAATTCAGGACAGATGAAAGAAAATACTTTTTCATGTAACACGGCACATAATCAATTTATAGAACTTGCTTCCATAAGAGGAGATGGCCACTGGCTTAGATTTAGATGGCGATTCAACAAATTCGCAAAGAAGAGTTTGGTCAGTGCCTGTTAGCCACGCTGGCTAAAGGGACCCTTCACATGTGGAGGCATGTTACTGTTGAACACAAAATATGGGGCGGGGGGAGAGGGTTGTTGCCTTCATGGCATGTTTTGTAGGTTTTAGCCTCCCAAAGGCATTTGGCTGGCCAGTGTTGGCAACAGAATGCTAAGCTACACAGGCTTGATCTGACCTATTTCATTTCAGTTAAAATATTTTTCAACTACCCTTGTATGTTACTTAAGTTATAAAGCAACTGCTGCCAGCTTTTCTAGACCTAAGGCCCACCATTCATTTGCGACATGAGATTCGCTTTTAATTTATCTCCAGTCTTATTACTCCATTCTACTCAAGGTCAGGATAGTTCTACATCTGATGAAGCAGACTAGTCTGTGAAAGCCTATCCCATAATTAAACTATTAGTCTTTATGGTGCCACAACACTTGTATTTATGGAACACACTAACTCAGCTAACCCTCTAAAACTTGTGTACATCGTACTAGCCTACATTCTGCTTAATAATGAGTGTTGGCAGCAGAACAAGGCAAGTAAAAGCAAGAGAAGCGAACACACAATAAAATATTGTTTTGATTTATTAGATTTGTATATTGCTTCATACTAAAAGTCACAAAGTGATTTACAGTACAGTGCATATAATACAATAAAACATTAAACAATTCACAATATCAGTATTACTCAAAACACACCCTAAAGCCAGGATTATAACACTATTATTAAAGCTGCCTGTATGCCTAGGAGGATAAAAACATTCTTATCTAGTGCTGAAATGGTAGTAGTCAGTGCCAGACATGCTTTACTGGAGAAGAAATATTGTGGAAAATATATTTTGTTTTTCTTAAAAGAGTGTGCCACATGGCATCCTTCTGTTGCTTTAATCCTATAGGATCTCATTCTGTTCTCTGCCAATTTTTGTCTTTCTGGTGGTTTTTTTACCAGTTCTCTCTTGATTTTCTCAGGAGATGGCATCCTGCAACTAATGTTAGGTTTTGATCTCTTTGTGGGTTATAACCCACCAATGCAAGGCCATATAATGGTCTGCAATCCTCCTGTATCTTTGGCAGAAAGAAGGGTGTGGCACCACCCATTCCCTTCTCTAGGTCTTGCTTATATTGTCTAATGCCTGTTGATGTGGCTGTTTAGATTAAATCATCTATTTACAGACAACCCCCTCATTTACGTAGGTGTTGTTAATATTTTTATTATTTATTGAATTTATGTACCGCCCTATACCCACAAGTTATGTTCCAAGGCACCGTGTGTTTAAGTGAAATCACATATATTTGAAACCCCATTGAAAAAGCCTGCAAGCACCCAATTCTGTCCCTTTTTGTGATATTTTTGGGTCACTTCTGGGTTCAGCGCAAAGCGCTTGTGTGCAGTTGCACGCATATTGAATGCTCGTTAATGGGGAGTTGCCTGTATTTGAAAAGACTTTACATCAGGTCCTCTTCACGCACTGCAGATGTGGTAGAATTATTACGTTTTTAGAGAAAATTTTGGTGTGTGTGTTCATATTAGGCTTCATTACAGTTTGTGGTCAGAATTATTTGTGCATCCATGTGGGGTTGTTTGTGACTAAAAGCATCAGAAAGGAATCACTAAATTATTTATTTATTTTATTTTTAATGTTAATAGACACCATACGTGTAGTGATGAGCGAGGCCTCTTTGGTTCAGTTGAGAACTGGGCTCAGCAAACTGAGTTACTATCCTCATAATAAGTTTACTTGATTGATTAATTCGTGGGCTAATTTGAGCCCCATTGTATTCCAAATGGCATAAGTTGATGTGCAAAGGAGTCTGACTCTCTTTCCCCACTGCTTCACTCTGTGAGCCATTAGCTCAGTTGGTAGAGCATGAGACTCTTAATCTCAGGGCCATGGGCTCGAGCCCCATGTTGGGCAAAAGATTCCTGCTTTGCAGGGAGTTGGACTAGTTGACCCCGGTGGACCCTTCCAACTCTACAATTCTATGATTATGTGAAATCCCTCTCTGCATCTCCAGAATTCAGAACCTCAAACTCCCCTATGAGCACCCCAAATTCCAAATGTTGCAGTTGCTGATGCTTCAGCAGGATGGGGGTTTCAGATTATATTTTATTCCCTCTAAGCACCTCTTTCCTTTCTTCCCTGGCCCCTGGAGTCACTGATACAACAGCATCCTTGTTATCTGTGATATAGCCCTAGCAGGGTTTTTTCAGGTGCAAGAGAGGGGGAATAAAAGACCTAGGGTTAGTGACTGGGAGCACAGAGTTATTCTCTGGTTTAGATTTCATTCTGTGACTCAGATAGCAGAGGGGAGTGTTTCAGTTCTGACTACTGGTGTGCTTTATCAGCATATCAAATTTATATTATGAATCGGGGCTGTCCAAATTTTGGCAACCAAGTGCAGCAGTGAACACACTTTGCTTTGCTTTTCACATGCTAAGTAGATAAATGCAGAACTGACACCCTTTATCAGATATGGTCACTGAGTAATAGAATGGATGTCTGTGCATATAATCAACTCAGGTGTGACATAATTACTACAGTTATTACCACATAGCTTGGGAAGAAAACCAGTAGCCTTTGTCTATATGGATGCCGCCCTAATTGCTTCCTACTACTCAGCATGGAAAAGGTAAATGTCACTTGGTAGCTGTGCCAAGATATTTATAGGTTCTATTATAATCACAACTCTTGTCTCCCAAAAATACTGTCTTTCTCTTTTTTATCAATAGAGCATTTTACAAAAGGTCTCAGGCTTACTCTCTGGCATCAGTTGTTAAAAGGTTCTCTGGTAGTAGTTCTGGGAAACTAATGTCCACTGGGGCTTTGAAGAGCTACTGCCAATCACAACTGGGCTATGTAGACCAGTAGTTTTACTTCGAATAAGGCAGCTTCTCATATAAATAACACCATGCTTACATACCAAAATATCAACCTATTACAGTTCATAATTGAGAAATGCTAGTTTCTGAGTTCATCTGAGAGACTTCATATTGCAATTGATAAGGATCCTTGTTCAGATTTAGTATTAATGGGTTCAGATTTGGGATCAGTGGGTTGAAATTTCAATCCAGCCTTGGATTGTATGTTTCAGTCCAAACCCACCCCAAAATTAGGGAAGCGGGGGAATAATTTCACAGCAATTTTTTTTACAGAAAAAAAAATTATTGGGCTAAATGTCATTTTGTTGTGTCAACATGTCATTTTGTTGTGAATCGTGAATTGCATCATTTGTTTGCTCCTTGTTTAGAAATTGATTGTTCCATTTGCCTTGAGGAAGAAGACACAAGCAAAAAGGTGATGAATGAGGTCATTCGTATCCACACGTGGCCCTGCTCCTATTACATCAACTCTGAGAAACGATGGATTTCTGGCAAACTCTGCCTGACACCCATTTCGGTCAGATTTACAGCTGACAAATCTGGAGAGGTCCTGGCTGACTTCCATCTCTCTGGCATCAGTGAGATCAAGAAGGAATCTTCCAACTTCATCTTCAGTTCCCTCACTGTTTTGGAAAAGAGCACCAAGCACTGGTTCAGTTCCCTTCAGCCCAACCGAAATGTTGTTTTCAATATCCTTGAGCACTTTTGGAGGGAACAGCTGCTCTCCTCGGAGGGGGCTGCAGCCGGGGCCATTTGCCCCCAAACATCCAAGGGGCAAGAGTTGACCGGCTTACTGGCAGGATCTCAGAAACGGCTAGAAGACACTGCAAAGGTGCTTGAGCACCAGGGGGAACAGTTTGATAACATCATGAAAGGGCTGGACAAGATTGAATCAGAGATGGATGTAGCAGACAGGTATGGTAACACACAACTGACATCGGAATGATTCTTTTACTTGCACACTCAGGTCCTTTGTCTTCCTTTTGTGAGGAAACAAACCAGAAAGTCTTCAATTAGCCATAGTTCTCTGTTTGTCCAAAACAGGAAACAGTGGTTAACAGCTTCAGAAGAAGTCAGAATAGTAAACCATGGATTGAATGTGACTGAATATCCTGGCTTGTTCCAAAGCTGATAACCACAGTTTCTTTATTTTAACAAAGTAGGAAACTATGGTTTATTAGAGACTTCCTTATTAAATCATGGCTCATGTGAATGGGTTTTGTGCACAGGCAAAGTTTAATTCGTATCTCTGCTTGTTAGGTTAAGATATGGTAGTCTGTACTATCCCTTTGTGTGATCCAGCAGGCCCACAGTTAAACTTTTAAAAAAATAAAGACAAATTCCTGGTTTGGTTGGTTGCAAAGTTTTGGAAAACATAGCTGAATATGTACATAACCAGACAAGAGAGAGCCAACTTATCAGCTTGGCCCGTGATGAAAGAACTATTTTAGGCTCACTTTTTTAGATCTTATACAAACACTTTGAATTTTTTTGCTTTTGTTTCTCATTGTGTCCCCCCCCCCCCATTAGTTGATGGCTGTATCATATTACAAACTATTTTTAAAATACCTCTTGGTTTCAAAAGCAATTTGCCACATGGTGTAGGTTAGGTATTATTGGAGAAACAAGCCCACAGCACCATTGTGCCTGTGGAACTAGGCATTCTGTTTTTAATTTAAAGGAATAAAATCTTAACAGTGGAGAAAGAAGTTACTTGCCCAAGTCCATTTCAGGAGTTGGTGGCTGGGTTGGCAGATGAACCAAAGGACTGGCCAGATTCAAAATGCTTTCACTGGATGATGTTAGCTCCCAGAGGAAGGATAGGTATTCGTAACAGGCCAGAGTCTCACCTGGATGATGTCGTGCAAAGGGGCCAATCGGAAAATAGTTTGTGTGTTACCTCAGTGAAGTGCAAGCTGAGTAACCTTTCAGGAGTAATTCCACAATCATACCACAAGGGGCCATTCTGAGTCTGTTGCCAGACTGGGAGGACGCAAGGAAAGGTTTTCTGAGTCCGAGAAACTAATACTTGCAGACATATCTATAACAAAAGCAGAATTCTGTTGATGCATTTCTTTGGTAGTAGTTTGAGAACTATTTTGTTAGACACAGTAGATCTACCCACTGAATTGACTTCCTACCTTTCTGGATTTTTTAAAAAAAGTTCTCCCCCTGGTGAGATATTTAATTGGCTTTTGAAATCGGAAACAACTGGCATTTTCCGTCAAGTGGAAGCTGAATATGTTTTACAGTGATTGCACCTTTATTTCCTTGTGTTCTTGAGCAATCTCCAAACTCCAAATTAATTAATTTAATTTCGATTTGAGGTTAACTGTGGTTCTACAGGTTTAATTTGGATTATTCAAGATTAAAGAAATACTCGGTTTCAACCTTCTTGGCTAGCTTCCTTCTTCAGAATTGCTGCCTGACTCACCAGTTTCCAAACAGGAACATTTGCTAGAATATGATGTAACTTGGGCTTTTGACAAATAATTCTTAGCTGTGGTTCACCATGTGTAAAATGAGAATAACAAGAACATTCAAGGGTTGTTGTGAATAGACCCTCCCATCCCCAGTTGGCTGAGTACCTGTGATGTCATGGAGCATTCATAAACATTCCAACTTCTCACAGTAAAGGTATTCCCAAGAGACATTTGTCATAAAAGTTAGCTTGGGAGAAAACTTGTCCCGAGGCCTAAGGACAACAGTTGCTGTTTGGCAGGGAGAGAGGTAGGGAAACAGAGCTGAAAAACTGGATAGGAAGAAGGCCCAGAACAAGGAGAGTTGAGGGAAAGACGAAAGGAAGGGTGAGAGATTAGATGTGGGAAAAGGGAAAACCTCACAAAGAATCCTGGGAAACCATACAGAACTCAGATACGAATGTTAAAGCAACTCAGAAAATTAGATGTTGTTACTGCTTGGTGTTGCTCGCCTCTCCAAGTCAGAGGAGGATATCTTCACTTGCTCACAGAGCTGTTCGACTTTACCAGTCATCCTTGGAAGCTTCAAAACCTCCCAAGAAATATTATAATACAATGGTACCTTGCTTCTCAAACTTAATCCATTTTGGGAGTCTGTTGGACCCCTAAACTGTTCAAAAACCAAGGCGCGGCTTCCAATTAGCTGCAGGAGCTTCCTGCACTCAATTGGAAGCCGCAGAAGCTGTGTCAGACATTCGGCTTCTGAAAAACCTTCTCAAACCATAACACTTACTTCTGGGTTTGCGGCGTTCAGGAGCTGATTTGTTCGGGAGCCAAGCCGTTCGAATACCAAGGTACCACTGTAAGAAATATATAAAAACTTAATCTGGCTAATGACTAGACACTAAAAGCTAACTAAAAACAAACTGCAGTCTTCAGAGCTCAAAGGAGATGCAGCCTTCTCATGGCCATATTGCATTCCCCCACCCCCACTATACAGAACAGGCAGGCAAAAATGTTTGGTGCTCTTTGATTTAGGCAGGGCATTAGAGGGGGAAGAACTGAATTTCACATACTGATCTTTGATTTCAGGCCTGCAATATACATAATGATTAACAACCTCATAGGGGAAATGGCGTACTAGACTGGTCTTGAATATTCCAGTAATGTCGGAACAAATGCTTACCAAAATAAATGGTAAGGATAGATTCCAAAACCAAGGCAGTATTTTGTATGACTAGGTTTACAGTGCCAAACCAAGAGAGATTCTCTTGAGTTGTGCAACTAGGAATGCATAGTTACAGATGCAGCCTCTTAATGTTTGCAGCCCTAAGCACAACCTGTTTCCAGATTGATTTTCAATTCCAGAGCTTTTTCCAAGCAACTGTTTGCAGTCTCAGTCAGTGGTAGATGTAGACTTAGTAGCCTGCAAGCCCAGGTGTATACACAAGTATTGCTCTCTCTTCACTACGTGCTTGAATTTGCTGTGCCTGCTCTTTGTGATGGAAGTATGTTTTAAGAACAGGTGCTTGGAAGAATAAGGTTTTGTTTTAAGAACCAATGCTGGACTTCATAGCGATTTGGCTCCTAGTTCATCAGTGAAGCTTGTTGGATTGGGGGGTGGGGCGGCCTTGAGCAAGTTGCTCTCTCAGCTTACTTTATCTTACAGATCCTCCACCAAAAGATGTGATGATGGATGGCAGCTTAAATGTCTTTAAAAATGGAATGGAAATGCTAATGGAAGGAGGGGTTCTCAGCAACTATTAGCTCTATGATGGAAGTGCTGTGGACAGTAAAAGCGGGTGGCCATCACCTTCATGCCCTGCATGTGGGGTATTCTAGGAGAATCTTGCAGGTTGTTGTTGGACCTAGAGTAGCTGGACCTTAGTCAGATCCAGCTAGGCAGTTTCTGTTTCTTTTGCTGAAACTACACTTTTTCAAGGAAAAGTGTGTGAGATGCCAATATAGCTTTCTGTTTCTGATCATGCTGTATGTTTCTTCCTGTTAGGCTATTGTCAGAACTGGAATCTCCCGCTTGGTGGCCATTTGGTAGCAAACTGTTGAAGGGGCCATTAAACATAAAGCCAAAGGAAATCCCTGCCGTTTCTGATTCTGGAAACAAGGATGGAGTAATATTGCGAATCCCAGTTATTATCACTGAAAGGACAGATTCCAACGTCAAGCCAGGCAAACTCGCCCTCCTGGCTTCTGGCCTGGAGATCAGCGATTCCAACTCTCAGCTCCTTCACTGGTTTGACAAGAAGGATGTAGACGATGTCAAAGTTCATACACCATATGAAATAAGCATCCGCCAGAGGTTCATTGGGAAACCAGACATCAGCTATCGGCTGCTGTCAGCAAAGATGCCGGAAGCCATCCCCATCTTAGAGATGCAGTTCAGCAAGAAAATACAGTTCATGGAAGATGCTTTGGCATTTGCTGGGGCAAGGAAGACTCATCAGGAAGATGTTGGCGCTTCCATTTGGCAAGCAGGTAAAGGGCAGAAAGAAGATGATCACTAATCCTGCATATTAATCAACAGAACTAACCATCTGTTAAATAAATTTAGTGCATTTATTGAGAACACGTATTAGCAATAATAATACATGGCATTTTAGGAGGATTTTAAGAGTATTCAGAGCACCTCAAATACATCATCTCAGTAATTCTTACAACAATGCATTAAGGCAGGTTTGCATTAATATCAGCAATTGCTGATGAGTTTGTGGCTGCAGTAGAATTTGGACTAGGAATTTGCTGATTGTTAGTTCTCAAATGTTTTGTCCTCCTTAGCCTATGCAAATAATATTCTTCTGGTAGTTCTGCAGTACAGTTTTAGATGCAAGAGAGGACCACTGGGACATTACTGAAATAATCTTGGAGGAAGCTCAGTGAATGAATGTCCTCCTTTCATAGTTTGCTTAAACTGGAGATTGCTAAGCCTTACAGATATCCTTACATATAGACCCATATTAACTGCTACCTCCAAACATGGGTGATGTAAGCCCATTCCACAGCACACACAAGACCGGATGGAATCTACATCTCCAGCCTTCTATTACCATAATGCAACACATCTTTCTGTGAAATTCCTGTGTGTTCTTTTTGTCATTTCCATCATTTCCTGTCTTAATTACTCTATGGAAATTCCAAATTTTGGAACTGTGAGTAGGCTGTTTTGAACAATTAAGCACAGCATTTGGGTTATATTACAGAAGACCCTGTGCATCTTAGTCTTTGGTTGTGTGTTTCTTCCTTAAGCAGTTGGGATGAATCTGGTTTTGCAAAGACTTTGTTTTAAGAGAATTTTCCAGCACTCAAAAACATACAATGCAATCACAAGCCAATCTGTTAAGAGGCTGTGCTCTGTTTTGCCCCATGCTAAAATTAGATTTCAGCAGGGATTAAAACGTTCTCTTGTTGACCAGTCGCTGAGGTCCAGTGCTTGGAAAAGCTTATTAATTTTAAAGGAAATAACTCCCAGGCACCTGGCGGTAAAATGTCAGCGTTAACAACTCAGAGGAAAAACAACCTGCTGGTTTTTTAAGCACTGAGCTACATCCTGGCAAATTGGTGTTTAGTTCCTGATGTGACAACTGCTGTTACATAAAGAACTTCTTTTGTGGTCCGGATCTTAACTCTCTCCTCTTTCCTACTTCTATATTTCAGTAAGCTTTATTTTTTATTTTTTACACACCAACCAAAAAGTGTTTTTACTGTTAAGTAGGAAACATTAATAACAGAAAGCAAGAGGTGGTGGAAATTTTGACTTTTTGCAATTCCCCCAAAAGCTGCTCCAGTCATCTTGCTTGTTCTTTCGTTCTCTATATTATTTTGCCATTGACGTTGCACTGCCACTAGATGGTAGTCTACCACCACACCTTACCCGCCAGTGTTTTCTCTTCTCCATCTCTTTTTACATAAACAAAAAATTAATTTTCCTAAAGTGGTAGGGCAGGGAGGAAGCAAGTAGATCTGTCTTTTTTATTCACAGATCAAGGCAATCTAGAGACTTCTTGTAGAGTCCCTGTATGAAGTGACACATGGGCATACTATTGCTGCTTTGTAACTAGCTATTGTCTGTTGAATGGTGGGCTGAGATCAAACTGTGAATAGCATGAATTGTGTGCACTTGCCTCTTAGTTGAACATAATCTCTGAAAGAGCACTTCGTTTTACCAAAGTGACTTGTTCAGCTGTCAGAATCAAGAGGCCCACAATTTTAGGTGCAAATTGCTATCATTCAATCTTCTCTGGCATTTTAAACCAGTAATCTTAAACCTCTGGAAGCTGAGGTCCTTCTTTTTGCCCTAACCTGCAACACAGGTTGTCGTTATTACTATTATTAATAGTTAGAGCCATGTATGTCTATCCTTCGACTGTCTAATATAAAAAAGTCATTGATGGTTCTGCTTCAAGTCCAGTCTTCCTCGGGCCAATGGCACAACCTGTTTGTTGCAACCTGTTTTAAACTGCAGTGAGCAAAATCATCAAGGAAATATCGCAAAAGTATTTTCGGCTTTTTAAAAAGCCTTGTGTCTGGGAATATCCCAGGGCATTTGAGCCATAGGTTTCTTGTTGGAAGTGGCAGACACTTTCATGGAACAGTTCCCAGAAAGGAGAATTGCACCTGAGCTGAAATGCATTGGCATTGTCAAAACTTGATTTGATGAGGATGCTTGGGTGCTACGGTTCATTGTCTGGCTTCCTCCCTTCCAGAATCCAGGTGTCTGCTTGCTTTTGCAGCCCGGGGGGGGGGGGACACGCTGGGGTCTGGGCTTATACCAAAGTCACCTTATTGATCCAGCTAGCTCAGACGCCAGTCTTTCCCAGCTCTTCCTGAAGATGCTGTAGGTTGAAGCGGGGACCTTTTTATGCAAACATGTGTTCTGTGGCCCTTCTCCCTGTTGCCACAGTGTAAGCACAAATTAGATTTTGCCAGAGATACCAATAGGACAATAGGCGTACACGAACACCAAACTAGAGAGAATGACTTGCCAAATGCCACCCAGTGAGCTTCATGACCAAGGATGAGTTGACCTTGACTCTTTGAGACTCAAACCCCTCCTTCCCACTGCACCACACTGTGGCTTCCTGGGACATCAGGTCAGCCTTTATTCCAAGGTAGAATTCCCTAGAACTGAATAATTATTGAGAGACACCAACCTAGAGACTCTGGAGGAAGGTGTGCCCCATATTGCTCAGGGTAGTTAATTTTGCTGCGCATGCCTTGTATTGTGAGGACACTTTTCATACTTTTCGTATGAAGGCACCGTGTATTGAATCAGGCTGCCAGTTCATTCAGCTGATGGTTGTCTGCTCCTGCTACCTGCAGTGCCTCCCAGAGTCCTGCCCAGAGGTTCTTCCCAGCCCTGCTCCCTGAGATTTCTGGAGATGTTGGGGAATGAACCTGAGCCTCCCCTTGTTGCTCTCATGTTTGTGAAAATAAATCAAAACTTGATGATAGGTGCAGAGCGTGAGGAAATGAGGCAAGTGGAAGGAATTAAAAACCATTGTATTGTTATAATTCTGATAGAATTTAGCCTCAAATAAAAGTTTTGAGGCTCTTTGGAATTCTTAACATTTGAGGCTACCAATCATTTGTCAGATACAGCATCTTCCTTAACTTGGTGCTTCTGTACACACTGGGAAAAGTATATACATATTGTCTACTTTATGTACACATGGCAGGAAGCCACAGCACTTCCTCTTCCCTGGAAAATGTACATTGTCAGAAACAAGTTTGCAGCATGTGCACATTGCAAGTTCACATGTACATCTCAAATGTTTGTGTATCCTTTTTTTTAAAAAAGGTGTGAAATGCCTACCAACGGTATTGGCAAGTTTGCATATATTGTGCTATCTTCTTACTCCTCAACCTTGTAGGAGCCACATTGAACAAAATTTGAGTATATGTCCTCTTCCAACTTGGGTCCACTGTCTGCCTTAGAAAAAACTTGCCACCTCTTATTAGGAAGGTATAACAAATTTGATGGAATGAATTAATTTTATGCGGAGAGGAGCGACTTTGATGGATCTGTGTTGAGTCTCAGCTCAGCAACTCAGAATGTGAGATCACCATCTACCCTAACTTAACCAGAGCTCTAGCAGAATTCACAGTTGTCCGAGTATGGTGCTGCCCTGCACTTGCCATATTTCCCCGCACTTGAGTCATTGTGTGCCTGCTTCCCATCCTGAACTTATTCTTATAAAGCAGTGTATACCAAGCAGCTAAAGTTTTAGTAGAGGCACCTGAAAGGGGAAGTTGCAGAACATCCCTAGCACACACAGAAACAAGTTTCAGCCAGTGTGTTACTGTGGAAATTACAGTGTTACACCTGTACCAGGAGTTTGATTCACTGGGCACAAGCTGATGATTTCAGACAAAGTTTAAATTTATACCGGTATGAATGGTTCTCTTGTAGCAGATCTGCCTGGGTCCCAGCTCAGGAGCTAATGCTGCGATAACCAAATAATTCCAGGGGATTAGGAGTTTGCAGTAATTACTCCTGTGGGGATTTAGAAGCTTTTATTTTTAGCCGTAGCTTTTGTGTCTGCCTTTTACATTAAGTAACACAATCCAGAGCAGTGGAGCAGGCTCTGTCACAGGGCCAGACATTTTGGCATGGGTCCTTCGAAACCAAGAGCGAGCTTCAGCTTCCGACGCACTTTCTGGCCCGTTGCCCCACAGCTGTCGGGGTGGTGGAGGATGCTATATGGCAGTGGCAGCTTCCTCTAAAATGTGTTGTCCTCCTCCCTTCCAGCAAGGACCACAGGTTGGGGGGGGGGGTACTCAGAGCATTTCAAGAACGAGATACTCCTGGTGCTAAGCACCTGCAACTATCTGCGTTGCAAATAATGCCCTTTAATTGCCACATTTAGCTGGTATCAGATGCCATGATAGGAGCCAGCACTTTAAATAAACCACAGGTGGCTTGCTGTTTCAGGAGTCGCCACCTGCGTGCTACCATGTGGATTCACTCCGGGAGCCCCAATATCATCCGGCTTACATTTTTGTTCTGAGGTTGCCTAGCTGACTGCCTTTGCAAGTGGTTTTCAGAGGATCTGCACCCTGCTGGTTAATCAGCACTGAGGGAGAGGAGTAAACGGGCATCAGCACTGACGTTAAGAGAAAAGTTAATGCAGCTTTCCAAATAATAAAGCGAGGGAAGTTCAGAGTTGCAATAGGCTACAGACAACTTGGGCCTCCTTTACCAAACGCCAAGAGGAAGATGAGTCTTGGGCATGAGAGGGGAGGGGGCTGTTTTGTGGGATTTGCGCCAGGATGGAAGTTGCGCCCCCCCTTTCCTGTTTCCCTTTCTCCAGAAATGGGAGCGCCCATCTCCCCTACAGGATCTTGTACTCTGGGCTTGTTCATGTACTCCAAGTCCTATCCACCTATGGCAAAGGCAGATAGCATGTGGACATTAGCTTGGAAGTTATAAGTGAGCACTGTGGTGTCGTCCACATGTATTACTTATGCATGTTGCCCATTAAACCTTCATCTAGTTATTCAGATCCATCCCTGCTAGTTGTTCATCCCTGGCCTCTTCCCACCAGCCCAGTCACAACCCACTTTTTAGAATGCAAGCCACCCAGTGAGCTTGCCTAATATGCACAACGAGTGGTAAATCAGAAGGTGACCTCTGCCTTTGCAGGAAGCCTTGTAGATTTTCCTTTAGTGCACACTGCCCTACAGGAAAGGCCATGAATAAGTTTTTCCTAAGCAAGCAATTGCAGGCCATTGCCACCTCAGGATATGAAAACTATATTTCTGCAGCAGACGGAAGGTCTCTCATCCAGTATTCCCTTTTCAACAGTGGTGAACTCTGAAGCCGTATGGGAAGCTCTTGCATGGAGGGAGTAACCCCCATGCTTAGCAATTCTTGATTCCTCCCCACCCTCGCCGCACCCAGTTCCATCTGCTACATGAAGTCTTGTTTGCAGTTAATAGCATGTTTTATCCTGCAGGTGTCACTGTGTTGCTATCTTCCCCCACCACCACCTCTTTAAGCAAGAATACACTGGTTGAAAGGCGCACAGCCCTTTGCAAGTCTGTAGAACTGCCTGTTCTTTAGCACACAAATGTGTTAATGTAATCCCCGTGTCAAGATCTCCCACTCCGAGGAACAGCTGACTTTGACATCATGGTTCTGAGAATTTTGCTGCCACAACGGCATCAGCTGGTGACATGGAGCCTGGGCAAAGAGGTGTCCATCAACCCCCCCCCCCGGGTGAAAAGTCCTTCACATTATGGAGGGGGTGTGGGGTATGGGCATAGCTGTCAACTTTTCCCTTTTCTTGCGAGGAATCCTATTCAGAATAAGGGAATTTCCCTTTAAAAAAGGGAAATGTTGACAGCTATGGGTATGGGCTCAATACAGGGTTGCTGCTTTGGGTAGCCTACATTTATATCAGTGTACAGTTGTGTCCATGGTATGTGAAATGGTTACCCTAATGAATAGAAAGCTTTGGATTTTTCCAAATAAAATATGTCAAGTGCTCTTGTTTTTCTGGATTCCAACCTGCCGTCTTCTTCTTGCAGCAACAGGACTGATAGGAAACATAGTGCAAGCTGGACCAACACCCTCCTCCTCGCGAGGAGCAGGAGGAAGCCAGCAGGCTCAGATACAGAAGCAACAGCAGGTGGTTTCAGAGTCTGAAACTCAGGAACTCAAACAGGTACGTCAGCGTCAGTTCAGGCTGATAGCAGGGTGGGCAGGCCAGCTTCTTGGTCTGCAGCATACTTATTACACTCCCATTTTTCAACTAGGGACTCCCTCCTTTCTTGCTGTGTGGTTTGTGGAGCATGGAGTAAATGTCTAGAAGGGAGATGGTTAACTTGTTTGTATTGCCCAGCTAGGGTCTGGCTAGTTCTAACATAGGAGCAGGAGGGAAGGAAAGTGTAAATACTTGCTTATTTCAAATCAGAATTACTCAGCATAAAAATGCATACCGAAATGGAATGCAAGCTCTATTAAAAAAAACCATAGTTCATTCAAACTAATGTGGCCTCCAGCTCACAGCTGCCACATACACTGCCTCTGCCTCTTATCTGCCTGACATTCCTGCTTCTTGACCTCCTGGCTCATAATTGCCCAGCCTCCTGTACTCTGGTTACACATTCCCTCCCTTCCTGCCAACAAAACAGAGCCTCCCTCTCCTTAGAACCCATGTGAAGGTTTTCTTTCCCCCCCACAGCCTCAAGGAAGAATTCTGGCACAAAGCAAGCAGAATCCCCTGTGAGGTAGGACATTTAGCTTGAGGAATTTTGTTGCTTCTTCACGTGCTGGTTCTATATTCCAGCTATATTCAGCTAGAGCAGAAATGGTGGTAGTACTTTGAGCGAGTGCCACATACTTGGTTGACCGATCTACCCTAATCTTACAATAATTAAGTGCAATTTTGGCTCAGGCTCATGAGATACAGGAGAAGGATTGGGGTTTGTTGAAAGAATGCAAGTTTCCAGAGAAATGTGACTATCTAGGGCTTGACTAAGACTTTCCCGGGCTCATGAAAAGAGCCTACTGGATCAGGCCAATGGCCCATCTATTCCAGCATCCTGTTTTTACGATGGCCAACCAGATGCCAATGGGGAAATGATGTCAGAGAAAAGGTTAGCCTTCCACTCCATTTCTAAACCCCTTTTATTCAAGCCGAGTTGCACCCAAACTTCCAACAGTGGGCTCTAGTTGCCTTAGCAGAGAAGTCCTATAAGCTTTATAGAGAATGTTACCTTGGTCTGTCGTTGGAGGAAGGGCCAATGAACAGGTGTGAGTAGCTGAGAGAGGGCACATCTCCATTTTCATCCAGTTAGAGGTGGATCACTGCAAATTAGCAACTCAAAACCCATTAAGTGTCTTCCTGCTGAGAGTTTTTCCTTTACCAGAGGCAATGAAATTCCAAGAAATGAGGGAATGGGATGCACAGGACATATGATGAGTGTTGATAGGTACGGTCCTCTCCTGCTAGAATGTAGAAACTCATTCTGGTGCCCATGTCTGCAGCTGTTGATAGAGCAATTCACATGTTAACAACCCAGACCATACCATGGTTTACTCCATGACTGTATAGATGGATACTGAGAAAGTGGGAATGAATTGCCTTTGGACAAGTGCAAAAAGTGTTGTGGTAAGAAATAGGTGTATGCAGTTCAGTGCCACGGAGAAGGAAGCTGCTCACCAATGTTTTCCCTGAAAGGCTTTTTAATTGGATCATGCTGTTTTGGGGCTAAATGGGGACACTTGTTGAATGTCTATAATTAGCTGGTTTGCATAATAGAGTTTCCTTGGTTAATGACAGATTATCAGATTTTGGGGAGCTGATTACCCAATACATGCTATCATGTTGTACAGTAAAATGAGGTTTTCAGTTTTGATTTGTAATCCCTCTGTCCAAATTAGAGTTTGATTTTAAAAAAAGGGCATTGAAACTTTTAGGAAACCGGTTGAGCCCAGGCTTCAATGACCAGACATCTTGTCATCATTTTACTTCACCAAAATAGCCATCTCTTTCTCTCTCCCCCAACTTGGCCCAACCTCAGAGTCAAACCTCATTCTCACACAAAGCAGCCCTAGCTGCAAAGCTGCTGAAAGAGGAGGATTTAATCCAGCTGTTGTCAGCTGCTGGAAAAAAGAATGGATTTTTATTTTACTCCCTTTTTATTTTACTGATGCTGCCTATGCCTCAGTTGGTCATTACATTGCAGATGGAAAAGTTATTAAGGCAGAACAAATAGAACTGATGTTTTAGCTACTGAGGTGAAAATCATAGGCACACTTGACTGGAAGCAAACCTCACTGTACACAGTTGTAGTTACTTTGGAGTAAGCATACATAGGAAATTCACTTACTAATAATTTTTAATACTGTCTGTTCAGGTTGAAATGTTTGTTAACGATGCCTGGGTTTTTATGTGTGTTTATGTGAGAGAGTCCCTGCATACCTGCACACATGTTCAAAAACGAGCCATTTTTTCTGGAAAGCAATGTTGTGAAGATCAGTGCCTATCACAAATAATTGATATTGAGCACCATATCTTGTATGTGTCATACATTGAAATAATAGGGGTTTGGGACTAGAAGACCCTTGTCTTGTCAGTCTTCTGATATTGATCCTTCATCGACAGAATTTCCCTATCTATGCTGCCTCATCCAGCACAAAAAAATTAATCAGCAGATTGGTTTCACATGCATACATCCACTCCCTCCATAGTGGAAGACAGCCCTCTTATCAATTAATCAGAGGAATACGTTATTTGGGATTTTAGATAAGCTCTAGGTCTCTTCCCACAGTGTATTTTTTCTATTCTCCTCACCCCGCAGTAAAGAATCTGAAAGATTTTAAAGTGTATTGTGCTAATTGCTGGCAAAGCTTTTAACCAAGTGTTGCTGATAAATTGATCTTGGTGTCTTTTCTGAACAGATTCTCCGGAAACTCAAGAGCCTGGCCTTGGAAACGGAGACAGAACTGGAAAGGCAGGACGAAGCCCTTGATGGCATCACTTCTTCTGTGGATCGAGCCACCATGAATATTGACAAACAAAACCGCAGAATGAAGAAACTGACGTAGCGCCCCCGAGAAGCTGGTTGCAGAAATTGCTGCTTGGAGCTCAAGCCATAAGATCTCCAATGTTTGTGTTAGCTGACTGAATTGCTGAGAGGGCTTAGGACTGGAAGAAACAAATGCTGAGCAATGGAGGTGATTTTGATAAGCCCCTTCTAAATTGCAGTGAAGTTCTGCTAAAGTATGAGGAGCTTAATCTCTACTGCTGGAATGGGGCAGTATCCTGATTTGTGGCAGATTTGAGAATACTTCCTTGCATGCTCATTGACTTTTTGAAAGAAAACTGCACTGTGATTCAAGGGAATGAATAGAATACAGCAGTGTGTTGGGGAGAATCCTGAAGTCCACTCATGGTAATGTAGGCAAAGCATGATTTGCAAATGATGCATTTTATGACTAACAATAATTGAAAATTTAGAATAGCACTTTTAGTTGCTGTGTTTATTCAGCCATAAGGGAACTGACTTGTCTTGGCAGCATGTGATCAGTGAATCACTATACCTGCTGGATTGGGGCCAATATTTATTTATTTATTTATTAATCTCACATTTTTATCCTGCCTTTCCTTCAAGGCAGCATATATGCTCTCTTTCTCCCTGTTTCATCCTCACAACAGTAGGTTAGATTGAAAGGCAGTGACTGGCTCAAGGTCACCCAGTGAGCTTCCTGGCTGACTGCAGATTCGAACCCTGGTCTCCTGGGTCATACTCCAGCACTCTTAACCACTACACTGCACTGGTGTATCCATATTTTCCAGTTTTCTGTTTCCACCAGCAGTGAGTGACCCAGATGCAGCAGCTCTTCCTTTTCTGTTACCAACAACTTTGCATTTTTGAGATATACTACTGCTTCTGAACGTGGAGGTGCCATTGGACTATTGTGGCTAATAACCGGACTCAAAATGCATCAGTTTGCCTAATCTCTTTTTCAGGCCATCTAAACTAGTGGCAATCACCTATTGACTTAATTGGAATCACTGTCAGTTCGTGCCAGTGAACTGGAAGTGAAATCCTCTTCTATTTCTACTGTCTTTTCTAAACAGATACTTAAGAGGAAAAGCATGAGGTGCCCCTCTTTGAAAAGCCAGTTTTAGATGCCTGTGATACAATGTACATATTTAATATCATTGAAAAAAGAAACAGCCACAATGTTTGAACTTCATTGTTCCTATGGCTATACAGTCTATTTAGCTGAATATGATTGATTTATTACCAAGAATTACTTCATAAAACAAGTTTTAGATGTGATGTAATAGTTTATAGGAAGAATCCAATCCTCCTTACCTTGGGTTTCTCTGGTGTTGAACACAGTAGTTCAGTGCCATTCTAAATTTACCTCGGCATAACCATGTGTCTTATGTCAAAGCTAGTTCTAAAAGTTGAATTTGCCGATTTATCGTTATTCGCTCTGGACTTACTGAACTCTGTGAGAAACTTGGGATCCAGAAGTAACATTTGTGAATTAAGTGTCAGATTAAGTGTTTTCTCCGGCACCTGAATTTGAATTTGGGGGCAGTTTTTGCAAAGTTGAAAAAAAAAGCAGTTTTTGCATTTCAGCCAGAATACCCATTAGGTTCTCTGAACTTCTACAGACAAAAATGTGTTTTAGCTGTACTTTAATATTATTCACATGTATATTGCCTGCTAATTGCACTTTTAGAGCAAATTAGTTTGAAGAAAAAGTAATGCTGTGCCAAATTTAGGTGAGGTTCCTTTTCCAGTGCATGGGGTGGGGGTGAGTGGAATCTTTGAAAAATCCTATCCACTATTCCCAATATTTTGAACTTCTCTTTTTTTGCAGGTGTTGTTAGCCTGCTTCAACACACACACTTTTTAAAAATAAAAAATCACACCAGAATAATAGAATTTTAGAGCTGGAATGGGCTACAGGGTCATCTAGGCCAACCCATCGCTTGCAGGAATATTATGCCTAACAAGGGGCTCAAACTCACGACTCTGAAACAGGTGATTCCTGCATTGGAAGGGATTGAGCTAGATGACCCTCAGGGTCCCTTCCAACTCTACATTTCTATGATATTGTGGATCATGAGTGACTACACAGCCAATCAGGGATCACATATTGGACACATGACTACTTTGCTGGGCTGATGCTCCCTGTCTTGCTCTTGTTTGTTTAGTCGTTTAGTTGTGTCCGACTCTTCGTGACCCCATGGACCAGAGCATGCCAGGCACTCCTGTCTTCTACTGCCTCCCGCAGTTTGGTCAAACTCATGCTGGTAGCTTCGAGAACACTGTCCAACCATCTCGTCCTCTGTTGCCCCCTTCTCCTTGTGCCCTCCATCTTTCCCAACATCAGGATCTTTTCCAGGGAGTCTTCTCTTCTCATGAGGTGGCCAAAGTATTGGAGCCTCAGCTTCAGGATCTGTCCTTCCAGTGAGCACTCAGGGCTGATTTCCTTCAGAATGGAGAGGTTTGATCTTCTTATAGTCCATGGGACTCTCAAGAGTCTCCTCCAGCACCAGAATTCAAAAGCATCCATTCTTCGGCGATCAGCCTTCTTTATGGGTCTTGCTCTAGTTTTTATCATTTATTACGCTCTTCACCCTAAGGTCCCAGGGCAGGTTGCAGCATTAAAACACAACATTTAAAGCAACTTGCAATCATAAAAATAAGGTGGGTCCCAAAACAGTACACCTCAAGTGTGAAAAGCCAGGGTAAAGCAGTGCATCTTCAGCATTCATTGGAAGCTGTACAATGAAGGTGCCAGCCACTGTTATGTGGGCAGGGAGTTCCACAGCTTAGGGGCCACCGCAGAGAAGGCCCTCTTCTGGGCCACCGCTCCCTGCAAGCCTTTAAGGGTGGAGGCACTACCAAGAGGGCCCCTCTGCCGATCTCAACACCTGAGAGGTTCTGTAGGGAAGGAGAAAGTGTTCCAGGTATTTGGGGCTTTCATTCTGCAAGATTTGCAACTTAAGATGCACCCAACTTAAGATGCATATTTGGTTATGATGTTGTCCATTTGTACTATATTACTTTCAGCAATGCTTCCTTCCAGATGTGGAACCCCTATCGCATTTTGCCTGGCTTGTCTGCTGTTTACTTGACTAGATTGGGATGAAGGAGAACTGGCAACAAGGACATGTTCCCCCTTCCTCATATTTTTTTGCAAAGGCATGCCAAAAAAAAAAAAAAAGCAAGCCCCAAAGAGGTGTTAGTTTTGGGGGACAAAAGTACTCATGGGACATCTCCAAGCCCCATTTTGACTCAGCGGTAAAAGGCGCTTTGGCAAATTAATGACTAGCTTAGTGTGGCATGAGATTTCACTGGCCCAGAGCCCAGCTCATTGGTTTTAGAGCATGCCATTTTGCAGACTTGGATGCTATTTTATCTGGTGATTATTTTGCAATCATGATCTTTGTGGGACTGTGCCTTTATTCAGTAAAGGGAGGTGGAATTTTTTTCAATTCTTGGTGCTGTATTTCAGGCACTTACCATGAGATGCTTTGTTTCTTCATTACACTAATTAAGCAGCAGAGCCATTAAACATGTTTGGAATGGTCAGCTGGATGCAACAGCCTTGCATCCTTTAGTGGTGGATGACTTTGAGATCTTAAGACCTCCATGATGAACCCAAATCATTGTGCCAACTTGCAAATTTTTGAACTGTTTACTGCCCATTCCGATTTCCCACTACATTTATGATTGGTTTGTACCTTTTGTATGCCACACCTGAGGCTGTTGGCCTGCATCCCAAACACTTTTCTATCCATAGTAAGATGCAGGTTAGTTTATATACGGTCCAGGTGTTTTGCCAGCTTTGTATTACTGTGAGAAGAAGCTTATGTTTACAATGTTTGTGTATTTAAATATTGTTTCTAGCCATCATTTGATATGACGACGAACTATATTTTCACATGATTGAACGGTCTTGTGGGGAAACCACATTTCCCATGATGCTTTACTTGTGAGGGCGGACAGATCGCTTCTCTATTGCTTACTGTAAAACGGACAATGGCCGATCCCCACATGCTGCATGGATTTTAAGGGTTCAGAATTTAAAGCAGAATATTTGGGGAAAGTATCCTGAATTTCAGGGAATTAAGTGAAAATTATCAACTGATGCCTGCTTAAAGGGAAACTTAAGTTCATTTTTATCCTATGAAAACAACAACAACCCAAAACCTGCGTTTCGCAGTTGAAATGAATTCAGGGGTGGTTGTGATTAAGCAACTGTACCCAATGATTTTGTGGCATTCAGTTGAAATTGAGGCAGCTTGGTAAGGGTGCAGAATACAAACCCATAGAAAGGAATAGAAGCAGCAAAAGAGCTTCAGGCTTGACCTGTCTGTGACTTAAATTGCATAAAATCAGGTTGTTCTAACACACTCAAATATAGAAAGAATACCTGTACATAGCACATGCACTTTTATTAAGTTATGTTTATCTTCTGTTGTTTTTTCTAACATGGCCTTCTTTTTTTATTTTTATTTTTCATGAGTTGTATTTAGTTTTGCTAATTTCAATGACTGGGTTTGAATTCCTTGACTTTGTGAGGTGGGGAGTGTCATCAAACAACCTTGATCGGCGTATGTTCAAAAGGATTTTCCAAGTTCAAATTGGGGTGTTCATTTGGCAGTTTGTAGCACATTTCTTCCTGCCATTAAAATGGTGGCATATCTTCGAATACCAGACTGTTTTTGCTTATGGAAAGACATGCTGGTGTTGGATAACTTTTGGTAACGCTAGCCTGCAACCCTTTTAAAGAATGGATGCTTTGAGTGTCCTGCTCAATTGTGTGCAGGCTCAGTTTCATAAACTGCTAAATGGTTTGGGACCTCAGTTTCATGCAGGGCTTTCCCTGTCTTGTTTCCTTCTTCTAATTCAGTGCTTCCCAAAATGGGCAGTACCTCCCTCTGGGGGACAGTGGGATTACCTAGAAGAGGTATAAATGATTATCAGACTTTGAAAAGCTGGTATCACTGGATCCAGTCCCTCAATGTTGTTAATTAATTAAACTAAATAGTTTTCATTGGATTTTGAATAAAGGTGCAATTAATTGTTCCTGTTTTGTATTTCATTGCGTCGATACCTTCATTAGTGGGTCATGCAAACCACTATTCTGAGTAATGCTTTTTATAGGGTGGGGTAGGGGGAACTGCAGATAAATTTATGGAGCCAAAGGAGCGGTGGCTTGAAAAAGTGTGGGATCTAGGTTCTACACTCACGTGTGTGTGTGTGTGTGTGTGTGTGTGTGTGTGTGGTGGATGCTTTATATGAGATTCCTGCATTGCATGGGGATGGACTGTGTGATCCTTGAGGTCCATTCCAACTCTACAGTTCTGTGATTTCATAATTGTATGCTTTGCCCAGGCAAGCAAAAGACATCAGAGTTCCAAGACCAATTCCAGCCAGACACACACTAATGAAGGGCATGAAGGATACAGGTGAGGAGAATTACTAAGGAGGAGATGTGGCCTGCAGAGAGTCCTGAGAGTCAGATGGAGAGGACTGGAAGGCCGTCTTTTGCCCCTCAGCCTGATATTCCCTATCACTGTCTTAGATTGCAAACCCCATGGCCTCTGAGAAATCATGCACATTAACGGTGCTATAAAATAATGTGCCCTGAGTGCACCTCTGACTCCTTCAGTTCACACTTGCTGAGTTGCCCGTGCCTAATCCCTTTCCTCTTCTTTACTCCCCATCACGCAATGCACCAGGGAGTTCATTGCATGCTATGGTTCTGCACTTTTATTTTTTTAAAAAAATGATATTTATTGAGAATTTAAAATTACAGAAAGAGAAAGGAAAAAGCAAGAAAAAAGAAAAGGGAAAAAGGTATACAAAAAAAAGAAATTAAACAATATAAGTCAATAAAAACAAAAGTCAAAAAAGGGGAAAAAAACCACACAATACATCAGAATAAACAAAAAAATAAACAAAAAAATTTAAAAGCAAATCCAATATTCCCAAATCCTTATCTTTCATTAACTTGTTTCATCGACCTCCTCACACCTCCCTTTTTTGTATTCTAGTTATTAATTATCTCAGCAAATCCTTTCCATCTTTCACAATATTCTGTCATTAGATTACCTTAATCTATTTTAACCTTATCTTACCATAAAAAAACCCTAAAGCTTAAAACTTAAATCTTATTTATACCTAATTCTTTTTAACAAAACATATTTATACATAATTCTTTTTAACATTTCTACTAAAGCCAAATAGTTTCATTCCAACGTTTTTCTAATACTCATTAATTTTACACTAATTTTCTAAATGAATTTTAAAAACTTTCTTCCAATCTTCATCCGTCGTCTCTTCTTCCTGGTCTCGGGTTTTATCAGTCCTTTCTGTTCCATCCATCTAGTCCATCAACCTGGTGACCTTCTATCCGAGGCTCTTAAGTCTTTTCCATGTCCCTTCTGCAGGTCTTCTTCATATTTATACCTGCACTTTACTTTATCTTCTGCTGATCTTATTCTTAATTTCCTTCCTTTCTCTCGCGGAGACTCCAACTTGACAATATCTTTATCCCTTCTCGACAAGTCAGCCCATTCTCCATAGTCAACACTGAAATCCAAAAGATATTTAAAGGCATGTTTCAAAGTCCCTCCAAGATTAAGGGCCCCCACAACTCCGAACTCCCCCTGGCCCAAAGCCAGATCTGAAAAGTCAAAACATCCCTGCATAGGGGGATCTATCCAACTTCCCATCTCCAGACCAAACAGTACTCCATCTCTCCAAATCTGACTTTCTCCAGGTTCAGTCGTCAAAGACAGCAACTTATGTTCCTGCAAGGCCGCAGCTCTCTCCATTTCTGGTACTTGAGGTTCAGCAACTACCTCCTCCTTTATCTTCTTCACCACTTGCTCTGTCAAAGCACATTCCTGGATTGATTCCTGAGTGGTTACTATATAAGTATTCACTGTTTGTCCAAAATTTCCAACTGCAACAGTCATCAAATCCATCTTCTCATGTAGCTGTTCCAGTAAAGCACTTGTCTTGCAAAAAGCAAGCACTAAAGCTTCTTCTGGGTACATTCTTGTTCAAGGTCGGTGTCTAGTTCCCACGATCTTTTATCTCTACAGCTGTAGAATTCCCCAGATTGACTCCAGCAACAGTTTCACAGGCTCCCTCTAGAGGAAACAATTTCTATTTGTATCCATCTTTTTAAAAGCAGATTCTAGCAACAAAGTTCCTTTCGTTTCCCAGATATTTCGTTCCTTTTAAATGCAAAAGGGAACATTGGAATCAATATGTTTCTCTTTTTTAACTATCTGTCAAAAACGTTTTGTCCACAGTCAATAAACTTCCCCAAAGTGTCTGTCTCTGACACCCGCTCCCAGGATCAAGACGGCGGAAATTTATCTTTCTTTACTCTCTCTTCTGCAGGTTTAAACAGTCTAAAAAGATTCCCCCCTCTTCTCCTGCTTCCAAGGGGGGTTTAGTGATTTCAACTGATGGAAATGTAGTCCTTTACAAACGACTTTCCAGACTCTAGCTTGCAATGTCTTTGCTTCAATCTATTTACAAAAGCGGAAGGCGGTCTTCCTGTTTAGACCTTCCCGCTTCGGTGCCAAATTAAAAAAGTTTCTTAATCCAATTTTCCGTTCTACTCACGGGCAGTTGTTTAAAATCCAATTGTCCACAGGAAAAAGTCAGCGCTTTCCGGCAACAGCAATGCGGCTTCACTCCGTGAAAAAAGCAGTCGATTCAAAGCACTGTGCCATTCACCCCACGTCGCTCCGGATCCCCGAAACCGGGTTTCCCCGTGAGTAGGGGAGGCGCAAAAAGTGCCAGCCGAATCCCACGTCCACAGGCTTCTCCTGCCTGTGGTTTTTAATGGGTCTCCACCTCGCCGCGGCGGTCCAGACCCTAGTTCTCACGAAGCGGATTCCTCCTGGTCAGAGGAAATCCGCCATTGCCGGAGGCGCTAACCCGGAAGTCTGGTTCTGCACTTTTAGTTTGTACAAGTGCACCGGCTTCTCCCCAGTGTAACTCTAAATAAACATACCATTGGTGCAAGAATTTCTGCTAGTGCAATGGGACTTCCCTCCTGTTAGATCTGCTCCAGAAGATAATGAGAGCCCACAGAACATTTTTAGGGGGTACATGGGGGAGGAGGTGGAATCCTGCAGCTGAAGTGGAAATCCTTGTCCTAACAGGACGGTTACTTAGCACGAAATTGGATGCAAGCTTCTGTGTCTGCAAAAATGGACTTTAAATATGTGAGGATTTCTAGTGAGATTTCAGAAATGCGGTGGAACATGAATTCCTTTGATTCTTCAGTTCCCTGCGTAGTTTGTTGTCCCTCCCCTCCAATTAGCAGAAACCTCAATCAACAATGCAGAAGTTACACAAATTTGCTGGCCTGCGACACATGGCAGGATTCCATTTTCCTGTTTTCAAACTTTTAGAACACACACAGCCCTGGTGGTGTGTGATCCTGTTTGAGGTGTGGGGCAGGGAACCTCCAAGGGGGAAACAGGCCAGCTTTGGCAAGCGAGGCCCCTCTCCACCCTTCCATGTTCAAGCTTCCCTAACAAACTTGGCAAGCTGCTGTGTGGGCCTGTCTGGAGGAAAACAAACTCTGGTCTCAGATGGAAGATGACGGCGCTTAGTGTGGGGAGATGCCCGATGCGAGGAGCAAGGGCTGTGGCTGGCTCTGATTAGCGTGTCGAGACAGAGCCTCAATAGGAACCATCTGGACCTCTGTGGCTCTGAGATGTCCGAGGAACGCAGGCGGAGAACGATGATGTGCAGCACGTTAGAAAATGACGGGGATGCCTCAGGCAGCCAACAACATGTGGTGAAACGAGCATCAGTCTTCGATAAGATAATCTACCCCTACGTCTGTCAATGAGGTTTCTTTTTGCAACAGGGCCAGCTGAAGAGCAGGCTTGGACTTGGATCCTGACCCCTCTCATTTGTGGCATTCCCCACCTGTCCTTGTGGCTGTGAGGATCATTCCCGGTGGATTGTGGGTAAGGTTTTCCCTTCCTTCTCAAGTGTTGGGCTTGGCTGCAACGGCAGACAATGTGGTCAAATCAGCAGAGTCACTCTTGGAGAACCCCAAAGTGCGGAGAAACGATCGTCTGGACTGGACAATTGAGGCATCGAGTCGAGCGGCTGGGGAGAATTTATGGCCTGGAACTATGAACCTCAAAGGCGCAATCTGCTGTGTCCTCAAAACCTCTTCCCTTCCCCTGTGGGCATTGCAACCCAAGGCAGGGTTTCTGCCCTTCCATATGACTTCACCGCACTCGTTCCCTGAACTTTCCTCTCTCCCATCGGCAAAGCCAGCAATATTTATAGCTCCTGTTTTTCCATTTCCCCTCTTGTTCTGAGAAGCTACCAAGGGATTTGGGAAGGGCCATAGCTCAGCGGTGGAGCATGTGTTCGGCATGCAGGAAGTCCCTGATCCGGCCTCCAAAATCTCCCATTAAAAGGATTCTTAAGTAGCAGCGCATCGAAATTTATAAAATCACGCAGTGCTCCTCCCTCACAATGCTGTCACTTGAGGCTCATGTGGCCTCGGTGCCTTCCATCAGCTTCGGCTGGTGGCCCAGCCGCATCCCTATCTGGACAGGGATAGCATAACTACTGTTGTCTATGATCCGGTAACCTCAAGGTTAGATTACTGCAATGCATTGTACATAGGGCTGCCTCTGAAGACGCTGTGGAAACAAGCCAGTGCATAATTCAGGTTGCTCACCAGACCAAAAGGGTTTGAGCATATTACACCAATCCTGGCCCAACTGCACTGGTTGCCTGTTAGTTTCTGGGCCTAATTCAAAGTGCTGGTTTTGACCTATAAAGCCCTAAACTGCTCAGGACCGCCTCTTTCCATATGAACCTACCCGGTGAGGTCCAGAGGCTGGCAATACAAGAACAGGGCCTTTTCTGCAGTGGCTCCCCAACTGTGGAATTCTCTCCCCAGGGAGCTTCACCTGGTTCCTTCATTATACACCTTTAGGCACCAGGTGAAAGGGTTCCTCTTCAGCCAGGCCTTGGGTTGACTGACATCCAATGCCCTTTTTAAATGGGGAGGGGGTTACTGGGGTTTTTATTTTTATTATGTATTTTTTATTTTTATATTGAGATTTTATGTTATAACTGCCCTGAGACCTGTTGGTACAGGGCAGTATACAAATATTATTAGTATTAGTATTAGTATTATTAATAAGTATTGTTGCTGTATGTCAGCCTTCGTTAACCTAGTGCCTTCTGTTTGATTTGATTTGGGGGAGAGTGTTGCGGTCCAAAGCAAATCATGGGCATCAAGTTGTCTGCAGCATCCGAGGGAAATATTGCTGGGAATGCGATGCCAAAACCACGGTGAGCAAGAAACCTGTGCCCATCTAGTCTAGAACAGACTTTCTATGTATGTTTCTCCCCCCAAAATGAATGGAGGTGTTCGCATCCCTGCTGGAGCCTTATTAGATCCAATTTCGGTGGCTTTTGAGCCTAGGCATTATTTTGCTTCCCATCGTTCCTTTCCCCTCCCCTCCCTTCTTTTTGTTTTCCTGCCTCTGGCATCGGGTGGCTTGGCAGCGGCACGGCCAAATAAATGTGCCGTAATGGAAGGGAGACAGCTGTGCCCGCAATTACCTTCTCTGTCTGTATCTGTGACTTCATGGCTGTAAACAACCTTCGCCACCATATAAATGGCTAAATTAAAAACACATTCGAGGCCCCGGAACAAAACACACCTTGTGGTTGCAAATCGAGTCGAGTCGAGATGGAGGATGGTGCTCATTTTCAATGCAGATGTTTTTAGCAGAAAGGAAATAATTTTTTTTTAAAAAAAAATTATTGCTCCCAAGTGAAGATGTTCTGTCCCAAGTCCCTCTCTCTCTCTCATTCTCTCTCTGTGTGTTTGTGTGTGTGTGTATCACAGTCACATAAACACATAGGGCTGTTCACAGGGATGAGACCCGAACCAAATAGGGTCAATGTGAGAGGATTCTCGGATTGCTTGAGCCAGGGTGAGACAGCCCCAGATCTCTGCAGGATGGCTTAGGTGTTCCAGGTCAATCTGGGGCTGTCAGAGCATGGGGTGATATTATTATTATTATTATTATTATTATTATTATTATTATTATTAATAAACTGCCCTATACCTGCAGGTCTCAGGATGGTTAGAACATAAAATCACAATAGGTAAAAGGTAAAGGGACCCCTGACCATTAGGTCCAGTCGTGGCCGACTCTGGGGTTGCGGCGCTCATCTCGCTTTATTGGCCGAGGGAGCCGACGTACAGCTTCCGGGTCATGTGGCCAGCATGACTAAGCCACTTCTGGCGAACCAGAGCAGCGCATGGAAACACCGTTTACCTTCCCGCTGGAGCAGTACCTATTTATCTACTTGCACTTTGATGTGCTTTCGAACTGCTAGGTTGGCAGGAGCTGGGGCCGAGCAACGGGAGCTCACCCTGTGGCGGGGATTCGAACCGCAACCTTCTGATCAGCAAGCCCTAGTCTCTGTGGTTTAGACCACAGCACCACCCGCGTCCCTTCACTACATTACTAGCATGTCACAAATGGGGAGTGGTATCCAAGGGTTACACAAGTTCAACATTAGGTCACTTTATCAAACACCTCTTAAGTACCTGTCACCGCAAGAACAATAAAACTCCTTAAATAGCCTTGCTTTCAGGACTTGTCGGGAGATGGGCTTTCAGAACACCTGACCTGCTCAACTGCCTCTGCGGATGCCTATTGTTTTCCCCCTGGTCGCTCCCTGGGTGGGGGGCCTTATATGGGATGCCCTGTTCCTGCTGCCTACATGACTTCCTGCTTCCTGGTTCATGGAGGGAGGGGGAGCCCAAATTCACCTTTCTTTAAGGGTTAAAATGGCGTTGGAATGAGGAGAGTCGGTTAAAGTATGGATTTTGCACAAATTTATAAAGCTAGGTATCTTCCCAAAGCTATGGTTTTCCCAGTAGTGATGTATGGAAGTGAGAGCTGGACCATAAAGAAAGTTGATTGCCAAAGAATTGATGCTTTTGAATTCTGGTGCTGGAGAAGACTCTTGAGAGTCCCATGGACTGCAAGAAGATCAAACCTCTCCATTCTGAAGGAAATCAGCCCTGAGTGCTCACTGGAAGGACAGATCGTGAAGCTGAGGCTCCAAGACTTTGGCCACCTCATGAGAAGAGAAGACTCCCTGGAAAAGACCCTGATGTTGGGAAAGATGGAGGGCACAATGAGGAGGGGACGACAGAGGAGGAGACGGTTGGACAGTGTTCTCGAAGCTACGAACATGAGTTTGACCAAACTGCGGGAGGCAGTGGAAGACAGAAGTGCCTGGCATGCTCTGGTCCATGGGGTCATGAAGAGTCGGACATGACTAAACGACTAAACAACAACAATCTTCCCTGAGCTGTCAAGTCGAAGGGATACATCCAGGCATAATATCTGTAACATTGTAACAACTTTAAGATGTGCCCCCCCCCCGGTCATTTCCGTAACAGTTTAAACGAAAAGATTTTAGCAGGTGGCCTTCCTAATATCAATGGGCAGGGAGTTCCAAAGGGTAGCTGCTGCCACACTGAAGGATCGATTCCTTGCAAGTGCAGAATGCTACTTGCAAAAGGCATTTACAGGCCTGCTGTGCCAATTTCTGCCCTGAAACTCTATTTTAGCCTCTTCTTAACTACACAGCGATGGGGTATCCCCAGCTGCCATTCGCTCGGCTATCTCTAATGTTCTTACCCGATCCGAAATCGTCGATGTGTGTGCAGGAAATGAAGCCGTTCCACCAACTGGTCCTGCTAACTGGAACGCAGAACCTGGATTGACTCAGCTGAACCCACTGACCCAGTTTGCTTTCTTAGCCCCAGCTAGCAGGAAATTTGCAAGATCCCATGCCTTCAGGTTATGGGTGGAAAGTCACTTAAGGGACATTTTTGCAGGGGCCTCTGCCTGAGAGGTTTCTTGAGAGCCTGGTGAAAAAAGTCATGGGGAATTGATCCTCCGGCAAGGACAGGAGGGGAAGATTTCTGAGCTCAGATGCCTTTCTCCCAAGGAGATTACCCTCGCGACACAAAAACCGAGAGTGTTTCCCGCAAGTGTGTTGGTACGTTTCTCCCCCCGGGCTCCCTGTCTGGTTTCATTGTAATAGGGTTTTAATTGGACCGTTTCATGTGCCATTTTATATTATTCTCCAGGCCCGTTTGAAAATGATTTCCAAGCCGACTCTGGAGGGCTGGTTAATGTCTGCCTCGCTCCAGCTGGGGAAAGGTCCTAAAAGATGGCAAGGAAAGAACAGTGCCCTTGGAGGAAGCATGTGGTGGCCAGCTGTTTTTCTCCCTTTCTGATAACACTACAGTGGTACCTTGGTTCTCAAACTTAATCCGTTTTGGAAATCCGTACCAAAACCAAAGCGTTCCAAAACCAAGGCGCGCTTTCCCATAGAAAGTAATGCAAAATGGATTAATCCGTGCCAGACTTTTTTTTAAAAAAGCCCTAAAACAGCAATTTAACATGAATTTTACTATCTAACGAGACCAACATGAAAGCAATAAGCAATGTACTGCAGTCATACAGTCAGTCAATCAATAGCTGAACTGGGTTCCACACAGTCACAAAAATAAAAAACAAAAGAGTCGCAAAAACAAAAATGCAAAATAAATAGCAAAAACAGGCAGACCTCAGCATAACACTCAAATTGGAAGTGTAACACTCAAAACGGAGTCCGTACAGCTTCTGAAAAAAGTTCGCAAACCAGAACACTTCTGGGTTTGTAGTGTTTGGGTTCCAAGTTGTTTAAGCACCAAGACATTTGAGAACCAAGGTACCACTGTGCAACTTTTGGACATCTAATGAAGCAGAATGTTGGAAGATTTGGGACAGATAAAAAACAAAGGACTTCCTCATGCTCCTGGTGGTGGGAGATGTTCAGCATGTAAGACAGAGTGTTCCGCCTGGCCTTTGGCTTGGAATCCGCTTGATCCCCTCCCCCTCTTTCCTTTTCCCTTTCTCCTCCTGTGATGGAACTCCTATTTGGGGACTTCCCTGGCTTTTTTCCGGCCCACATAGGACCAGTCTGAATAGTTGGCCTAGGTGAAGATTTGATGTTTGCATCCCCCAAAAGTTTTTGATTTGAGTTTCTACTGAAATGAGGCTGCGTTTTAATGTTGTATTTTCATCTTGTTTTTAAGTTGTATTTCAATCAATTGTTTTTATACCTGGTGTTAGGCGCCCTGAGCCCGATCTTGGCTGGGGAGGGCGGGGTATAAATAAAATTTATTATTATTTATTATTATACGAACCAGGGCTATTTTTCTAGAAAAAGAGGTGCCGGGACTCACCATGAACACCTCCCTTATTCTCTTATAATGGCAATGGCCCCCAACTGAGAGGTGCCGGAATTGAGATCTGGTGAGTTGCAGCTGCAAAAGAAAA